TTATTTGTATATAAATATAATTTATTTGTAACTTACTATCAAAAAATTCGAGTAGTTTAGTGGTTGGAGTATCAGCCTCCAACACTAAGGTACTTGAATCCTGTCGATGACAAAAAAATAATTTGGTAATGCTTTAAACTTAAAAAAAATATGATAAATAATAAAAATATAATATAAAAGAGAGAGAGACCTAATAAAAATATAATATAAAAGAGAGGGGGGATTTCTAAATAAATAGAGGCCTTGGAAAGACCTTCAACGTCACCTGATACAACGTCGGTTCTGGAACCAACGTTGAAGGCCTTATTTGTAGTAGTGTATATTACACCAAGTATGAATTTTTATTTTTTTTATATGATTATAGTGGCCATGTACATGTAACAAGCAAATCAATGGCATGATGATGATGATGATGATGGTGGTTGCTGCAAATGCAAGAGTTTGGGAACAGCTGGATCATGCTAAGCTTCAACAATCTTCATCAATAAAATAATACACACTTCCTTTTCACCAATACCAACTCACATAAATTCACATACTTTCATTGTCCATGCCACCATACACACACATATATATACACCTGCATATACTTACATATACGAACTCCGCGTTAAGTTTCGTTGAGATTTTTGTTTGACTCTTTGATTCTTAATTCTGCATTTAGTCAACGCAAGAATTAATAGAGTTGAGATGGATATGTTTTATCCGTCAAAGAGTTCTTCTTATAAAGGATTCTCTAATCTTGTAATTTGGATTAAATAAATGTTATACGGTAATACCATATTTATAATATAAGTGAACACATTTTTTTTATTAAACCGATTTTATAGAATTAATTATAAGCATCTTATTTTTAATATCATATTAAAACTAATTTAATAATCAAAATTTTTAAAACAATGGAATGTGATTATTTTTTTTAGGTATAATGAAATTTCATATAAAATAGAGTTTATTTTATTTTAGTGAACCACTTTTATAATGTTTATATTAATTTTAATTATTTTTTTTATTTTAAATTACTTTATTAAAATAATTATAATTATATATTTAAACTTCTAAATTTCTGAACTTTTGTATTTTTTTTGTGAAATATTTTAAAAGAAGTAATTGTTCTTGTCTGTTTAACCCATTCATTTTGTTTAGTTTGAGACCCAAGTTAATTGTTAAAAAATTAAAACAATATTGTATTAGGTATTATAATTTAAGGTTTCCAATTTTAAAATGCAAGTATTATTTGAATTTTTAAAAAGGATGAAGTTTTGATGAGTTGAATTTCAGTAATAATTATTTGAAAAAACTATGGGAAAGAAAGATGGATTAAATAATGGAGGAAATTTTAACCGAAGGAAGGAATAAACTTTTTGTTCCACCGACAATGAATCGCTGATTTACAATTAACAACAGTGGCTAATTATAAATTAACTTTAACCAAAGATTCTCTAACATTCCTGGATATTCTTGAAAATTGTTCGTATCGTAAGAGTCTCACGTCAGTCAAAGTTTTATATACGTCCTTTTTTTTTAATTTATTAAAGTATTTTTTAAAGATAAAATGGTGATTAACAATAATTTAAAAGTGTGTAATATTTTAAATATAAAAATTAATATTATCGATATTATTATAAAACTAATGTAACATTAATGTTTATTATAATGGATAAATGATTTAAAATAAATAATAGTTTAGATATAAAAATTGATAAAAAGAAGAAGAAGAAGTGAAATCTCTTATGATTTTAGAACGAATAAAAATATTATCCTGAAAGAAAGTTGATAGAAGATGAATGGAGAGAGGGAAACAGCTGCAATGCAAGAGAGTGAGTAGGAATGAATTAATAGTAAAAGACATTATTTAACTTTTGACCTAATTTTATTGGTAATTGGGAGGATGTTGTGGGGCTGAGTGCTGCAAATGGCGGTGTCGACGGAACACAAAAAGGAGCAAACTTTGATATTTTATTTTTTTGGTGATTCTTCTTTTTCCTCTCAATTACAACACAGACATCAACCTCGTATCCGTAAATTCAGCTCCAAATAACCACCCAACTCACTTTATGAGAAGATTTTAATTTAATAAAATCCACTTCTATTCAATACTTTTTATTAATTGTTTTAGGTCAAAGGGTAACATTCAAATATACATAGGGTATATATTTATATAATTTTTGATTCTAGATTATTCAATTGAGTTGAAAATCAATTTATAAAATAACTATTTTTCATGTCTCTTTTAGTATCACCGTCATTTTTATCTTTGTAGTGATTATATTATCACAATATGATATCTTGTCAATAATAATAATAATAATAATAATATTATTATTATTATATTAATTAAATCAATAATTTATTAATATTATATTCACTCATCAACTCTATTGTTATATATATATATTTGATGAAATTAAAGTTGGTTATACTTTTATTTTATCTTATCATATTGTTACCAACTATCACACTTTTAAAATAGGATAAAATATTGTTAATCAAGTTTAGTATGATCTTTATGGCATCTTATCTGTGGTTATTGAGAAAAAAATAAGCATATATATCCACTAACGTTTTTTTTCCAAGAGAAATATTGGAAAAAAATATTTTATTAAAATTATAAAATGATAAATATCCATTGTCTCTTTCCATCACTTACATGCAACTTTCATATATTTGAAAAAAAAATTGTGAAAGTTGATAATGATAATATAATGTTTCAATTATTATTATTGGGTCTTTTAAGGAATTCCACTTAAGATTAATATTACTCGCAATTTAAAATCTTAATATTTTAAAATATGAGTTTTTATTCTTTATTCAATTTTCTTATTCTTATTTATTATAAGACTTAAAATCATTCTTAGATTATTTAATTATTAATAAATGAATAAAATAATAAAATTTTGAATAAAACTTTATTATAAAAAGATATTTTGATACTTCAATAAGTAAAAATATTTAAAATATATAATATAAATAGGTTTGCAAGGCTAGAATCCTCTCTATGTATTTTAACAAATTGAGTTTCGTGTCTTTTCTGATAAAACAATGGAAGAAATAGTTTACTTTAGACCAGTCATTTTGAAGGCCCTAAAAGGGCCCAACTTAGGAAAGTTTGGGCTTATCAATTTAAAAGATTAAGAGATGATGGGTTTTTCATATGTTACAAAAGGCTTCTATTTTTTTCCCCTGATCTCATACTTTTTTTCTTGCATTCCATATTTATAAAATAGAAGAGAGATAATATTATCCTTAATATAAATAAGTTTTAGATTTACTATTTTGAAAAAATTTCAAAACGATTTTTTTTAAAATATTATAAATCCACCTTTTGAAAAGGTTTTTTAGAAACGTTTTAAAAATAGTTTTTTGAAAATATTATAAAAAAGTGATTTTTGAAAAGCTTGAACACGTGATGAGTAGATTATTTAAGCATTTGAATGGCTAACACGTGGTTGAATGACACTGAATTCAAAGAGTGGTGTAATGTGAATGTCTAATTGCTTTGTTATGAAAAAGGGTAACAGCTGGATGTGGATTATGGAACCATGCAATTCTATTCGGATTCAAATATTAGTCAAAAGTCTCACATTATAAAAACACAAAAAAAAATTTGAAAAAAAAATTATAATTTTAAATTAAAACCAATATCCTATTCTTTTAGATAAACTCATAAATCATCAATAAAAAAGTGTTTCAAACACAAAGCAAAGTTTGTATTGAAAAGATAAGAGAGAAGCCACCGTCCCAAACCGTACCTACGCGTACACACCGTCACTTTACTTCACATTTTCTAATTTTAATAATAATAATATTTTAAGATAAAGAGAAGTTACGAAACTCGTAATCTAAACTTTAATTTTTCTTTACATGTTAAACTATGTAGTTTGCAAATTGTGCATTTATTTATTTTTTTTGTTCCTTTTTATCGTGATCAGAAGATTATTATTCTAAATTTCCAGAATATATGACTTAAAACGCGTGTTTCCATGAGGTACTGTTCTCTTCAACAAAGACCGTCCCTGTCCTTGTCTTATTCTTTCAGCCTTCGCTTTTCTTTTTAATAATTTTGGACCCACCTTTTCTTGCTTATACTTTCTTAGTCACATTCAAAATTTCTTCATTATCCACCATATATTTATTTTCTCTTCTTATATTTCATGCTTCAATGTTATTTAGTGAAAAAAAAAAAAGTATCAGTCTTGAAAACGAGTTTTAACAGCTGTTATTATCTACAAATACTAATTCAGCAATTGACAAAAATGGCAGTGAAAATTTTTATACGTCGATTCTAGAAGAAGAAATTAAAGCATGAACATAACCACCATGCATGTGGGTTTGGTGGTAGGTAAATAAGTAGAACACCGGGCACCGCCATTTACTTTAGTGAACAGAAAAAATCATTTTTTTTTATCATAACAAGATTTATCATTCATAATTCCTCAAATCTAAAAAATAAATTATTAATTTCACACAAAAGAAAAATGACATGAAAATGGGTAATCTTTCATTCACTTATACATAAAATTTACTTTTTCTTTTCTGCCAAGTAGCTCCTACCTTCATTTACACTCACGAACAAGCTTGGACCACAAGATAAAAAAAAATTATAAATAAAATAGAATTAACACCAATCACCATTTTTAGAAATGAGAAGAAGAAATTAAACACAAACACATGGGAAATCAAAGAAAGGATTTATTTAAATAATGACATGAAGGTAGTATTGAAATTAAATTAATCCAAGGGTTTGTTGTGACATCACAGAGATTCAATAATGCAAAAAAAGAAAAAAAGAAAAAAAAAAAAGAAGAAGTAGCAGTAAACGTGCCTCATTGCTCTCTCACTGACAGCATGTTCCCCACTTACGTGTAACTACGACGAACCTTACTTCTTCTCAACCTTACCTTATAAATCATCACATCACAGATATATATGCACTCTCACACTCTCGCCAATCAAATAACACCAAACACTTTCAAGAAAAGAAAAAAACTTTTCGTTCGATGGATCAAGAACCAACAAGCACCATGCAACGATGTGTCGTGGCCCCAGCAGCATCGTATCGTGGTGTTCGACAACGAAAATGGGGGAAATGGGTGTCGGAAATTCGTGAGCCGGGGAAGAAGAGCAGAATATGGTTAGGGAGCTACGAGTCACCGGAGATGGCAGCAGCAGCCTATGACGTGGCAGCGTTGCACCTCAGAGGACGCGCCGCCAGGCTCAATTTTCCTGAACTGGCGGAGACACTGCCACGTCCCGCCAGCTCGAAACCCGAGGATGTACAGGTGGCAGCACAGCAAGCGGCATTGAAGTTCACTGTGTCACCATCAGTGTCACGTAATGAAATATGTAGTATGAATGAAAGTGGTAGCAATGGTGGTAATAGTGTGAGTAAGAGTAGTGGTGTGGTTCCTGTGAGAGTGGGACTTTCGGCTACACAAATCCAAGCTATCAATGAGTCTCCGTTGGACTCACCAAAGATGTGGATGATGCAGATGGCAGAGACAATTAGGTTTGGGTTTGGTGATGAGTATTCTGCGATGATGCTGTCTTGTGATGATGATGATGATTATGCTATGGAGTTGAGTGGATGGGAAGAAATGCATCATGAATCATTGTGGGACTCTCCTGAATATATGTGATTCATTACGTAACAGTTAGTGATTCAAACTCAATGTGTACCCTTGTTTCAGGGCATTATATTTATTTAGTATGATTAAAAGAATCATGTGGTTTTAGTGAGACTGATTCAATGAAGCAAAAGGATTATTTAATTTTGTCAATGGCGTATTTCATTACCCATTTGTTTCTCCTAGATTAATTAATTTATAATCCATTTGCTTATTCATTAATATATATGGTAGCATATTAAATTAACTTCTATCCTTTCACCTAAGACGACAAATTAATGCCTTGCATTCTGGTAAGAAAATTGTGATGTTGTTTACGTACGTAACGAGAGAAGAGAAATAAAGTCGGGATTTTATGTAGTTTTAAGGAATTAAAGAAGGGTGTTTGTGAAAAAATGGAACAAAGAGAAGAATGAATGATTGAATGAATATAATAATAATATGGGAATCGTCTTCGTAAGCAGGCCAAATCTATGAGGACCTAGTGGGCATGACTTTCGTGGTAGGAATTCACCATTCACATTTGACTGTTACATCTCTCATTTCTATTTTATAAGTACTAACCAACACCACTTTTGAAATTAAAAAAGGTGCTTTATTTTCTTCGGAATAATTAATAAGATTTAACCACCTCTGTGTGTGCCACCTGCACGCCTGACACAACACGTTTACGAAATATTTACAACGTTTATTGTAATTTACGAATGTTATGGGTTTGAAAGAGGTAAGGAGTATATAAATAAATTTAAAATATAATTTAATATAAAGTTGGATAAGATGCTTGAACGGTTTTTTTAACTAAATACAAATGCAGATACAAAATAATTTACCAATTTAAGATTTATTTCGACTCGTTAAAACCCATGCATTTTGCACAATTATCTCACACAATAAAGTTGCACAGCATTTTAAATGCTGTAACACCTAACTGTAAGATTATTAGATGGTTTAAGATTATTATAATAGTTCCAATAATTTTATAACTAATATGTATTTAAATTTCTTATGTTAAAAAAATTGCTAACATTTAATTAGGTCCAATGTGTGTTGGTGCCAGTGGACACATAACTTAGGACGTAGATGTTTGTCATGAATTGTTGTGATAAAAAGATGTAGCAGCCCAATAACATGTATAATGACTAGATTTGATTGATTTGAAAAATCTTAGTCGCTCCTTTTTAAAAGAAACCTCGCCCCTTTTTACCACATCCCCACCAGTAGGCTCACCACACTTGTACAAATTCCTTTAGTATTCATTCTCAAAACAGCTTACCATTCACAAACAGAATAAGAGGTGGTAATGTTTCCTCTGTTTGGCAAGTGCGAAAGCTAAGCAAAGCAGTGGTCAGGGCACTAATGTGATGAAGATTCAGCCAAAGTCTCTCCAAGACTCCTGAAATTATTCAACTAAGCGAATCAAAGTACAACATCTAAAAATTAATAAATTCAGTTAAGCACACTAATGAGCTGTGATTCCAATTAAATTAAATGCTGATAATAAGAATGTTTCAATTTTCAATAGATAATTTGTTACACCAGCCAATGCTCGGCTCTTTTGTAGAAGCAATGCAAAATAAACAAATAGCATTGCAGACCAATGTAGCCTACATTATTTGCCAAAGATACGGCATTTCCCACACGGCAGAACTAATGTCCGAAAACTAAATCTCCAGAACGTTGAAAAGACACTGCAAAATTGAATGTACGAAAATGTGTAATCACTGGGCAGTGGATTCTTTCAGATAAGCAATAAGATCAGCACGTTCCTGGGGCTTCTTGAGACCAGGAAACACCATCTTAGTCCCTGGAATATACTGCACAAGAACCAAACACAACAGGCGTGTCAGTGACATAATATATGGTGGGGGATATTTTTTTTTTAATTATTACAGAACAAATTCAACAAGGTAGAAGATACTAATAAATCCAATAACGAAAATTATGTAGTCTGTATGCTATCTACAATTTATTCAGAGAAAGGGATCCAAAATATAAATGAGGGAAGGCAACAAAATAAAAGGAACTTCTAGCATGCATTAACAATTAACAAGTTCTCAATGCACATAATGCATTGTACAGATATCTCAAAATTTAGATATAAAAAGATATATTAAAGAAGAAAAATATGGCATTGTCAAATAATTAATAAAGAACATTGTATAATTAACAGACGACACCCATTGTAATAATTTAATTTTATCTAATTATATAGGAATGAAAGATACATAACTTTTTGAAATTAAAAAATAAATCACATAAATAAATTGTTTAAAACAACTATTAAAATGATACGAAGTGTCAAATTTGTGTGTCCATTTATAACTATAGAAAGTTTGAAATAAAAAATTATAGTGTGTAATTTTATATAAAAAAATAAAATTGATACACTTAATTTTAAAAGAAATATATTTAGAGAGGGGGTCAGGGTCCACCCCTGCCACCTTTCTGTCCATCCAGTTCAGGGAGAACATTGGTGAAACATATCGTACACATGGATGGTCAATAATTAATAGCCGTTCATATGGAAATACTGGTTTCTGTTGTACCTTTTTGGGGTTAAGCAAGTAATCGTACAGTGTCTTTTCTTCCCAAATCACAGCCATGCTCTTGTTAGCTGAAGAGTAGGAATATCCGGGAGTTGTGCCTGATTGCCTTCCAAACAATCCATTCAGATTGGGACCTGAGATCGTCAAAAGAGAAAATATTAGAATAAATAACGGTACTCAAGAGTGTGACACGGTAATAGATTGTCATCAGATGAGTTCCGACAAACTGTAAAAAATTAATGACAGTGATCACATTGTTTATTAAAATAAATTCACCATTCTGAAACTGGAAAGAAAAAAATTTATCCTTGTAAATGTATCAGATTGTTTATTATAGTGTCACCTAATGGTCCTAGGCTACCCATTGAAATCAAATTTGGTCATAAAGCTACAACATGAACGAGAGAAATTTTGAGTGGGAACCTGCCACATTAGACATGCAAAATGTCATTTTTAACACAGCTCGCAGCCCAACAGAACTATAAGCATGTAAATGGTTATTTGTACGCCTAAGGTACAAGGTTTCATCGAATAAATTTCTCGAACCAAAATACATGTTTTGTGTTGGCAATTGTAAACAAAAAAATAAATTCAATCTGAAATGTCTCAATGACTAGTTCTAACCGCCGTTAAATTCATAAATTGACAATATTCTATTTGTCCAATCATTATCACGCCAAAAACAGGTAAAAAGCAATAGGACGATTAATCTTCAATTCCTAAACGCCGGACATAGGTATTTCCCTCATTTTCTACAACAATGAGGGCAAATCATAGATGCAGTCCATGTCCAAATCCTCAAAATCCTTGAATCAACAAGCATTCAATCATTAGCTTCAAAACCACATAATAACATTTCAACTGAGGATCCAACAGAATTATAGTACGTTCTTAATTAAGATCGACCTGATCAGTGCTATCACCAACGAGCAATCAAATTTAAACGCAGATTGCCTCCGCACGGTTTCAACGAACGTGTCCACAACTAAACCAAAACTACGCCACGGAGGCAATCGGAAAAATCAAATCGAATATTTAGAGACATAATTCATAAGAAACAAAAAAAACACGCACATCAACAAGGCGCAACAACAATTACATATTACAACACAAATCACATAACGCGTGAAAGAGAGGAATGAAGAAACAAAGAAATCCACAACCTGATTTCTAGGTCCACGTTATATTTAAAAAAACAAAAAAAAGACAGAGATCCAAAGATTAACGATACGTAAAAGGTGAAATCCATTGAAAAAGAAAAACGCATTAATAAGGAGAAATAAAGGAAGCGAGCGCGGACCTTGCTTGTGACCGGCACCTTTCTCGACGGTGTGGCACTGAGCGCATTTAGTCCTGAAGATCTTGTCGCCGGACTTGATATCGCCGGGAGGAGCCTCATCGAACGACGCCATTGGGAGAGGTATGTTTGGGGAATTCGAAAGGAAAGAGAGAGATGTGTAGAAAAGTTGGGCGGAATAAACTATTCAGAAGACATGCAATGCAACGCAATGCATGTGTATGTATTTATATATAAGGGAGTGAGGCGGCAGGGTGAGAATTTTGGAATGCGGTCGCCACGGGACTCTTGGGCCAGACCTAATTTTTTTGTTGTTGACGTGGATCCTTTATAGCGCTCCTTTTTTATTTATTTATTATTAATTTTTTTTTTTAAATTGCCTTTATTGGTCACTGGTAGCGTTAGCTTGAGGCCAAAGTCAAGTTTGGCATGTGGTTTGCGTGGTGAAACTAACTACCTCTCCGCTTCACGAATCACGATCACTACCATTTCACTCTTTAGAATAAATTAAATTCACAATTTTAATAATTTTTTTTATATATATTTATCCCAATAAATTATATTAGTGTTAGGAGTAATGTGTTACGACTGTTGTATCCATTTAATCTATCAATCATAAACTCACTTAGAAAACCATGACTTAAAATATTTTAATAATGTAGAGAAAAATACGACTCTTTCAATTTTTGTTATGAGTTCACTTACGAAGTTACGAGAATAACTGAGGAGCATAGGTAGAATGAAGTATCCCACTAGAATTACCAAACATCTCTTTATCCATTTCAATTTCAATGCATAAAATGGAAAAGTGTCAACAATTCTTGGGTGGGAAAAAAAGTGAGTTAGATTTAATTGAAATGTATAACCAACCAAATTCTGAATACATTGCAAATATGATTGGATTTTAACTTTCATGTAAAATTAGTGAAAAAACACATTTTAAAATGAATAATTAATATTTTTAATATTAAAACTATTTTATTTAGTATTATTTTTTCTTATATGCGATAAATGTGAAAAATTAAATATTTGTTCAATATAGGAAAGAGAGTTTCACGCTGATATTATTAGAGTCAATTCGCATTAGTTAATTTCGATGTCTAAAGCATTCTCTATTTTAAAACTCTGATTTATCAAAAATTTAACATTAACAGACGTTTCAATAAGTTAAAAGAAGATAATGTATATAAATTATTATTGACCTCTATTTTTATAAATGTGAGACTATAAATGTACTAGAACATACTTCACTCAGTCGAGAACTAAGGATATGAATGGAGTGAAAGTCAACTTTTACTCTCACGGTGAATGTTAAGTGTTCTTACTGGACCGGTGGAGTCAACAAGAGAACGTGAAATTGAACTGAGGAAATTGATAGATTATATTTTGAGTTGTAACTTTAATATGGTTGAAAGTAGTTTTCTTTTTTAAATAATATAGGTTCACTGGACTTGTAGAGGTCGAGAAGAGCGTATGAGATTGAACCGAGAAAATCAATAAATTAGATTATAAATTGCGATTTCAAGATGGTTGAAAATAAATTTATTTGAAAATATCATATACTCATCTAAAATATAATTAAAATATAACATTATTATTATGAAATTAGAAGTGATCAAATATATAAAAACAAAATTTTGTTTAACATGTACAAATAACAGAAAGGAATTATCAAACTAATGTTAGTATTTAAGAGAATGAAGTATATATTTTATTAATTTAATATTTGAATTTACAAAATGTTTTTTTGTCAAAAAATTGTTCAATGGGAGTATTTAGAAATTTTGAATTTTTTATATATGAATTATATATATATATATATATATATATATATATAAATAAGATAAAATATGAAATGTTAATAATATATCAATTATAATTAATTAAATTAAAATAATAATCTAATATATGATTCAAAATAATAATAAAATATTTTTAATATCTAAATAAAAAATAATAAAATAATATTCTAAATATGCATCCTTATTTTAATATCGGTTAAATTTGATATTTTTTCATTTTATACTTATTTTTTTCTCCTTTTTACTTGTAAATTAATTTTCATTGTCTTTCTTGTATAATTTATTGTTTTACTCGTGTTTTTCGTTTGCACTCACTTGTAAATAATATTTTTCTTCAACATGATATTTTTTATTATAAGACTTTTTCTTATATGTCCTTATAGTATTTCATTTAGCTTACCTGTTGGAATTTACTTTTTTAATCTTATTCCATTGATTTCTATTTACGAAAAATATATTTTCTTTTTAAAACGTCTCTTTTTATTATTATTTTTTATTGTGTTTTAAGAAAGACATATTCATACTAGGCACATGCATATATTTAGGGGGAGGCCACGAAGGGCCACGAACCTTCTTCCACCAATTGTTTTTCTTCTTTATATATATATATATATATATATATATATATATATATATATATATATATATATATATATATATATATATATATATATATATATATTAGTTATTTTTAAAAATTAAATAACATTTATTTTATTAATATAATTAAAATTAATTTTTTTCCTAATTTTTTGTTTATAATAAATATCATATTTATTTTCTTAAATAAAATTTCACTTGTACTTTTTTTTCTCTTTATTTCTTCTATTTTTATATTTAAATTATCTTTTATGGTTTCATCTTGCAAAATAAAATATAAATTTATTTTTTTATTATTTTTGTTTATGATTATATCAATTTTAACATGCTTAGAACAATATAAAAATATGAAATATTAATATTTTTTAATTTGTTATTAATTAGTTTTTTATGATTTTTTATTTTGATATTAAAATGTGGAGGTTGAATTTTAAAGATGTTTACAAAGAAAATTATAAACTTGTTTTTTAAGAGAAATAAACATAAAAATAAAGAAATATATTTTAGTTTTTAAAATTAAAATTTAATTAATAATGTTGAATATATTATGAAATATTTTATATAATATATTTTTTATTTTTATTATTATTAATATAATATTAAAATATGGAATATTAATATTTTTTATTTGTTATTAATAGTTAGTTATTTTATTTGTTGTGATATTTTACTTTGATAGTAAAATATGGAGGTTGAGTTTTAAAGATGTTTATAACAAAAATAAAAAACTTGTTTTTTTAAGAGATATAAGCGGATAGATAAATAAATAAATTTTAGTTTTAAAAATTTAAATTTAATTAGTAACGGTGAATATGCTATGAAATATTTTATATAATATATTTATTTTTATATGATAATTAATTTTTATATGTTGTTCCTCTTATATGAAATTCTTGGTTTCATTTATGAAGATATGTTTAATCTCCCTTCAATTTGTGTAGTTTTTTCAGTCTTAAGTTTTTCTATTTTATAGTCACAGTTTACAATTAAACTCTTTTTGTTTTTGCTTGAGAGTCTCATCTTCGGCTTTTAAGGTCTTTTTGATCTTCTCCTTCTTTGTTATAATATTTTTTACCGCTCTAACAATTCTTTATCGAGCCATTATTACTTTTTAAAATATTATTTTCTAGTTTTTTTTTTTGAGTTATTCTACCACTCTTTATAGGTATTTCATATTTTTCTTTTAAACAATCTCAGATTTACTTGGGTGACTTAAGGGTTAGGATTTTAAGAATTATTTATAAAATACTTGCTTATAAACATAAATTCGCTTTTGCCCTCTCATTTTTTTTTCCTCTAAATTTTAATTTGGACTACGATGAAATTTTCAAGCAACGAAATAATAATATAATCCTCTTTTATAACTTCTCATAAATATAATTATTCAAGATAAGATTATATTCTCATATCTCACAAAAGTGAAATAAGAATTTATAAAAAACATTATTTTCGTTCTTTTAATTTTTTTAGTAAGTTTTTTTAGTAAGAATCAAAGTCTTAGATACCATTTATTAGAATTTTTAGATATATTTTTATATATAAATTATATCCAATATAAATATATTTATGTACTCATAAAAATATATAACAAAATATTAAATATTAATAATATCTCAATCATAATCTATCTCAAAATAATAATTTAATATTTTTTTCTCTTATTTTAAATAACAATAATTTTTGTTATATCTAATTTGAATAATAATTAATAAAATAATATTTTCAAAACAAATACAACATATATACTAATGAATAAAATAAATGAAATATCAATTAATGCAAAAACAACTAATTGGAAAACAATATGTTATTTTTCCGACAAACTAATATTTTTCTATTTTTCTGGGGTACATATATCGATGACGTTGGGTGTGTAATAAAAGGACCTATCCATAGACAAAGACTAATTTGTTTCAAAAAATCACCAAGGATCAAAATGTAAAAGGTTAAAACAATAATAGAAAATAACATTTGGATGTTTGTCGTTTCAACAAAATTAAAAGGTTTGGACGATTTTTCAAACTATAAAGTTGGAAAGACAGACATGACATACCGTGTTTGTTTTCTAAAAGGCATTAAATTATTGTAATAGAACCTTATTATACATTTGCATGTATGCTAATCTTAGGAAAAAAAGGGAGGGTGCGGTTTATCATATTGAAAAAGTTAAAGTGCAGTTTAGTAAAAAAATTGTGTAAACCAAAATTTCCTGTAATCTTTATTATCGATATATATATAGAATATATAAATGAGAACTAAAAGTCTAAAATCACATATTGCATCCCGTGTGATAACATTTACCAACTTCGCTTAGCTATGCCCAACCTTAACTTCCGGACTGCTCATTAAATTTGATAATAATCTGAGATGTAGAATCGCTTCACCTACCCTCCTCCCCCACCAACATAGTGGTGTACATAATTATATTAATTCCAAAGGAATGTCAAAGTAAGTGATCCATCATCATCATCATCATCTTCTAGTAGTGGTCATTCTTGATTTATCTAACATCTGATTCAAGGTTTTGAAAAAGCTGGCTTGCGAAGGCCAGGTATCTGCAAAATAATTTTATCAAGAATCATACAAACCACATTCCAAGTATTGTGACAATCAAGTGAAATCTAAAATAGTAGTAATTTATATAAAAAGTGCATGGTAAACGAATTTTAATTTCTAATTTTATCTAAGCTATTTATAAAAGAATTTTAATGAATTGCAAATTGGAACTTTGTCCTTGATATAGACTAAGTGTAATGTGTATCATCAAAATACAAAACTCGTATTGTTGGAGAGAAAATTACTAAATTTAGGATAACCAACTATCCTACAATATACTCTTTTAGTTAACTTCTCCAGTTACTCATTATGTAAAAAAAGAAGTGTATAGAGCTATACCTTAACAACAAATCACCTTTGAAAACGTGTTTAGGTTCTTGAGTCTGATAACTATATCCCTTAATGAATGCAGGTTTTTCATGCTCATGATTTCGAAACTTAGAGATATCTCGTGCAGACAAAGGAGTAGAGTGTTATGCTCCGCCCTCAACAGAGTGAAACCCAAGACCAACACGTCTCAGCAGATCCAGATGAAGGAAAAGAGACTCAATTCGGTTAGAAGCTAGGAAACCATCACGGAGAATGAAGCATAAAGGGTGTGGGGGTGTGGAAGTTTTTGATTAATATTCTCTCCCTTTTATATTTCTAATTTCCTCTTCTCTGTACTTTTCCGCATTTCTGTCTTTTTTCCCTAAAGTTTCTTTTGTGAGACCTAAAATACTGTTATGTCATTTTAATTCCTGCAAATTAATATATTCCTTTGCTATTATTTTGTTATTGCTATTGAAATTATAAGCTGGTCATTACATAGAGCACAGTGTCAAAGATCCATCGATCAGAACTAAATCTACTTTCAAATACAGACGGGTAGTTTGTGTTGAATCAAAATATTAGACGACCTAAACTGAAGGATGTCGAACTTTCTACCAGATAATTGGATTGTTTGCCTTTTCAACTTATTTGCATGTTTATCTTTTCACCAAATGGGAAGAAGAAAAGAACTATTGCCAAGGGGAGCGGGACAGAATCAAAAGTTTCCAATTCCCTTCCTTGGGATATCCCCAATCTGGTATGTAACCACTTTCTTCCCTTATGGCTGCAAAAGAATAGGGAGAACAGATTCCCCTAACGGTTGTTTCACGAGTAGAAGTGCTCATATGCATGCTTTTTACTGGAGACAGAATAGTAAGAATTTGGATCTAATTTGGAGTTGGAAGGGTGATGAAAGAATTATAATGTTCTTCTAGCTTACTGCCCACAACATCCTTCTTCTTATGGCCTTGAGAAATTATCGGGGCAGAGGAGACAGCCCTAACTCCTCTGTTTAGATGCTGCCAAAACAACTGCATATGATCCAATGGCTTTCAGAGTTCAGATTTGTTGATTAGCATCCCATAAGAATAATTTTACCTGCGATATTTTACATCGATACCATTCAAAGTGATAGTGCAACTGAAATTAATAACTACGACAAACTGCTTGAGTATTGATGTAAAATGGATCAAATGAAGTTTCTTGAGGTAATCCTGGCGATGCTACTTGTGGAGCTGCTGGGGGATGAAACTGGGAAGTGGTTGATAGGATTTACTCAGCATATTAGCCATGAGACAGCTCTTTTAGCTGAACTCGGGTGTTTTATGGGAAATCATGCGCGCAACAAAATCATTGACAGTGATTGACAAGTTGCTATTTCTTTGATTAATCAGTTAGTTGTCCTTGAGCCAGCCTAAGGCAGAATACTCATAAGAATCATACACCAGAGAAACAAAGATTGGGGGTTGAGGTTGACCACACCAACTAAGAAGGTAACCACAGAACATACTAGATGCCTAACTAGGCATTCTATCATGAATCCGGACCACATGAATGATTATGTCTTTGCTTTTGATTTCTGAAACTTCAATGGCCTATGTGCCCAATCTCACTCTTGTAGCAACTTAGTTTTTTATTAATTCCCCTCCAATATACCCCACCAACCCATACCCCCCACCCCCTTGGGGAGCAAAACCCCTCTATTTTCATCGAAGTTGAGGTTGATGCACCCAATTGAAGTGGCTCTTTGAAATGGAAGGATGCAGACTAAGAAACTCTACCCAAAGTCCTCATAATAAAAACAAAGTACGAACATTCTGATTATAATAATAGAACAATCTCCAGGGCAGTTGTAAGTAAAGCAGCAAGAGAAATACCTCAATTCCATGAGGGCCAATTCGGTTCCGAGTAATGAAGTTGACAATCAGAGTTGAAAATTCATCCGGTACATCTTCCTAAAAATATTACGCCAGAAGTTGTTAAAATACAAATTAGAGAAACAGCATAGTGAATGCTGAAAGAGACATGGCTAGTACAAACCTGAATAGCGTGCCCTGTATGCCTTACAACCACCATTTGAAACTTCCCTTGCATTTGACCAATTGTGAGAGACCTGTTACAGGAATAATTCCAAGAAAATATCAGAACTCCACTTGAACAAATCTGTTTTCCCTCAACTTTGCGAGAGAAAGAATAGGAGAAACAGAATAACACGATGTACAGTGCCATTAAATTTATACCTGATTTGTTCGTATAAAAAGTTCATATCAGTATCCACATATATTATCACCTTCATTTAAAACTATATAAATCCTTCTTATTCAAATAAAATAAATACTCTTACAATCTACATAATAAAGCATACCAGGATGACCTAAATTTAATTTAAAAAAAATAGATCATATTTGCTTATCACCTTGGATTTTTATAAGAATCAGGATTGTGCTTATAATTGCTACCATTGTATACTGTAACAAAGGAACAAAACAGAAAAGGAACAATCAGAGTGTGGGACACAGTTTCGGATGGTACTAGTGAATGACAATCAATAAACTAAGAATTACTTAATCCCCATTCCTTCATTGAACTTTTCCCAAAAAAAAAAAAAGGCTTCAAAGATATTAACACAACTATAATTTAACTGATTATGCATTTGATTAACAGCTATTAACGAACCAACAACAAAAACTTTACCCCCACAAAGAGACATCAGCTACATGGATCACACAAAGTCGATCCACTTGGTTGAAGACCAAATCTTTTGAGATATTATTCGCTGAGATCCCTCTTCACAACACACCCCAAATGCCGTTCTTAGTCTCCCTCTCTCCCTTTTCTTAGAAGTCAAAACCAGGCAATCTCCTCTCCTACCTAGTGCTTTTAGTGACCTTTGAACATATTCAAATCACCTTAACCAATTTTCTGTTATATTTTTCACAATTGGTGTCATGTCAATATCTCCTTATACCTTATCCTTTCCTCTGAGGCCACACATCCAACTTAACATACTGATTCTAGCTACTCCCACCTTTTCCTAATGGTCTCTTAAAAGATCAGCATTAATTAGTATAGTCAGAAATGTATAGCTATGAATGAAAGCCACTTAAAAAGTTGAGCTAATCTCAGATCTCAATATGCTATGCTACTTGGACCATATATTTTATTAACACTAATAATACATAAAGTTGGAATATGATTTGCATCCAACTATTTTAAATTCTATTTTAACTATTGACATTGGCAAGCTACAAAAGAAGTTTCCATTGAAAACCAACAAATAAAGTTTAGGGCACCAGCAAAAATTAAAATAATTCAAAAAGGGTTACCTGTCCAATCTATCTGTTCCTGCTAATAACAACAGCTTTGGAACAGGACATGACAAAAATTTATCTGAGAGTCCTTCATACCTGTAAGAAAAAAATATTAATTGCTTAATGGGATGGTAAATATACCATGAGAGTTACTTTCAATTTGATGAAAATTTAGGCTAGTTCTCTTTGTTTAGAAAGTAATCATGTTCTGCATAACAAGGAAGTATATTATCATAAAATTCTAAAACCATAAAAAAATGAAGAAACATTGTGGAAAGAGAGGAGACAATTGTTCTTGTTTTATGTGATTGTCTCTGCATAAAGACCCATAACCAAACAATCTATCTCTTGCTTAGAAGTTGGAACACGCAGAAAGTCACTGGTTTCATTCATATAGAAAATTTGCAATTACTGTGAACAGCTGGCATAAAAAACTTAAGATAAAACATACCAGCCTTTCCAATATTCTTCAGTCTTTTCCAGCTCAGTTCGGTAAAGATAACTGCAATATCAAATCAAGATCATACTAATCAAGCATAAACTAAACTAAAGGATATGTAATCAGATGTCTAGAATGAATAACGGAACAAGTGAACACTATTATATTTTGAATTATTTTATCAATGTTATGAAAATCTAAGAGAAGAATTACTACTCACCATTTCTTTGACTCATCATATTTTAATGTGGCAGGGATGGATACGCGAGCAGAATCAATATTTCTTATGGAGCCAACCTTGACACTCCATTCAATCTGAACAGAAACACTTTATACTTGAGTCAAAATTCACCACAATAAATGAAACAACATTGATCCTTCATTCAAATCTACAGCTCATGCAGGTGTATTAACACAACCATATTGATATGAAAAGCAATAAATGCCTCCCCAAGAATGGTATGCCATTGGCCAGTGAACGGCAGAGGCAGATCAAAATAAAATAAAGGATTAATACATTTTGGACCCTCTAATTTGTTCAAGTTGCAATTCAAGGCCCCTCATTTTAAAATAGAGATATTTTGTCCCCCTATTAGAAAAAATCTAGAGTTTTAGACCAATATTCAATTTTGTCTACTATTTATTTTCTGTATTTCTTAATTTTAATTAATTAAATCATTTTTATGGAACCTTAAATGAATATATTAGTTCTAGGATCCAATTGAACCAAAATAAAAGAAATAAAACACATACAAAAGTGAGGATTGAACCAAAATTGTGGATTTTCTAAAATAGGAGGACAAGATCTCTATTTTGAAATGGAAAATGGAGAGACCAAAATTGCGGATTAAACAAAGTAGGGGAGCCAAAATTATATTTAGGCCCAAAATACAATAAACAACTTGGCCTTGGCATGTACAAATGCAATAATGTATGTTAGTAAACTTAAGCTATGGCTTACAACAACCGTAAGGTACTCATTATCTGTTCCTATATATACTTTTTTTTTTCTAGTTCAAGTCCTTCCTCGAATGAACACTTTTGGTGTTCTTGGTTCCTGCCTCCATGCACCTTGTGCATTAACTAGTATCTACCTTGGCATGAAGCTAGTAAATTAGTTGTCTCGGTTGAAAAGTTGATACTTTACAGCAATCTGCCTCTTATTAAAAAATAATGATTATGTTATATATTTTTGTTAGATATTTCAACAAAAAATTTCAAATATCTATTTCAAGGGCATTTTGAATACAGAAATTAGGAGAACCCAATATTCAAGAGGAGTATGATAAATTAGGAGTAAAAGGGCATACAAAAAGAATTTTCCAAAGACTGTTTTTAATAAATGACAACAGAAAATAAATTAGATCCAAAACCATAAACACTTGATACAACTAGATAACACAAAACTCAAAACGCAAATGAAAGAAGGTATAGAGCCAGAGCTCACAGCTTTTTCAATGCTTGAAAAATGTTGCATCCTGTTTGATAGAATTTTCTGCATATGAATGAGTGAAGCCATTGCTGTTCCCTGAAATTCTTGAGAGAATCAACATTTTTGTTCCAATGATGAATAAGAAATCATGGAAAGATAATATGGTAATTAACTACAGAAACCAACCTCTACAACATCCACAACAACCAACCCAGCCAAGGTGGATAATGATCTTCTTGCAGCAACATGCACAGCAATTGATCCTCCCATGCTTTAATTATGAAGCAAATTCTTATCAACCATTATAAAGCAAAGTTACAAGTAATTTATGCAAGTGGAAAAATGGTCATGTTCAGTACACCAAATATTTCCATAGAAATAAACTCAGAGAAGAAAATAAGACAAAAATAGAGACAAATGGTTCAAATAAGCTAAAAATAGAAAAAGAAACACAAATATTTGCAAGAGTAAATCTATATGTGAAATCAATGCAGTAATACCTTGCAGTCATACATAATATATTTGCATTGAACTGAAGCTCATCAATCACATACAATGAAATCAAAACATTTGCAGTCATGCCTCACATTACAGCAAATGCATTATGCTTATGAGTAATGAAGCACAATACTAAGCGGTTGAAGGATGATAACTCTAGTCTGATGTAGTGAAGCTTGTGATGAGGCAGGTAACATTGACTTGTTAATTTAGAGCTTAAAAGCTGCTTCAAGTTGATGTTATAGCAGTTTCATAATTCTATAATTTTTTAAGAATAAAAAGTTACTTTTGGGTAAAAGTTTATTGGATAGTGTGTTCTTGGGTGTTTGAACTTGAAATAAAGAAAGAAAAGGAGAAGTAGAAACCAAAATGCCCTTAGATGACCCTGAACTTTCTCCCCCTGAAATTATAAGGAAAAGAAATACTTCGAACTTTTAAAAGGATAACAACATCATCCAATGAAGGCAGTAATAAAAGAATAATGACAGTTGACTTATACAGATATATTTAAACTGGAAAAAAATCCAATGTTTTTTTCCAAAGACTAACATGCTTAAAAAAGATAAAAGAGTTAAAAAGTGGAACATTATTAATTGGTGCCTCTGACAATTGTCTTCATATATGAAAATCCTAGAGGGCTATATAATAACAAAAAATTCAAGAAGTTAATTTAAGAAAGAGAATCACCTGTGACCAACAAGAATAATTGCTGGAGGAGAATTGCTATATAATTCCTTTATAACAGCCAATACATCATTGCACATGGTCTGCACAAGAATATGATCACCTCTACAAGTCATGAATAGTAAGATATCCAGTTCATTTTCCAATATTTTACCTCAACAGATAAATCGAGATCAATTTCTGTCGATGATTTCCCATGACCTCTCAAGTCCATAGAAACCACCCTAGCTTTCTCCTTAATTTTACTTGCTGAGACAGCAAATGACAGCCTGTTATGAAATAAAACATGAAGACTTTCTTCAGGTTGCAAACTTAAGAAAAATTTGAAAATAAAATGTTGATAAATGATGTGTTTCTGAATTCATATATTCTAACATCTAGAGACTTTAGCTATGACGAAACTAAGCCTTTTCCCCGATAGGTAGGATGGATACATAATTCATACTACACCATAAATTTGTTTCCTATATGCAAAGATAGAACATTATTTCAAATTTCAAAATCCTGTAATGATTTGACCTACAATTTTCTTCATTCTCCCTCTACCTACAACAATTCAACTATATTCTATTTGATTCACCCTTTTTACTAGTGGTGCTTCTACAGGTCTTTTCTACAATGGAACCTATCCCCACTTTTTTCTCTAATGATTGTATTAATAATTCTAACCGATCTTGTGTGCTCACTCATTCATGGGAACATTCTCAACTCTGCAACATTAAGCCTACTTTCTTGCTGCCTCTTTACCACCCAACACACAGTCTCATTGCTTCAAGGCATTCTAACTGTGCAGTAAAATTTTACCTTAAGATTTTATGCATAAAAATAGAGAAATACTTAGTAAATATGATGTAATTTACGTGCACACACTTACATTTACATATACCCCTATAAGAAATAGAAATAAAAAGGTAGAACCCAATTACAGCAAGTTCTTACTTACATATTTACATATACCCCTATAAGAAATAGATATAAAAAGGTAGAACCCAATTTCAGCAAGTTCTTGGTCCAGTTACTCTCTTTTCCAGATCGAGCATGAAGTTTTGATGCTCTTATACCACGTCAAGAACCATATATCTGTACAGGCTAAAACTTAGTTTTTGAGATAGTTTATAACAACAATCTTATTTACAATTTTTTTTTTTTTGACACTGCTCCCCCAAGATCAATGGTTCCAGAAATAGTCCTTTGCTAGTTGCTTCATTGGCAAAGGCCTCAAGTTCTGGTAGAGCTATGTTACTAGAGATTAAGCTCAAAAACAATCATAAAAAATACCCTTCATAGTAGCCTGAAAGAACAGACTAATCCTATCCAGCAATTCTTTTATTTGAATAACACCATACTATGTACTCCTTTCTAAAGTGAAACTAGTTCCACATGTAACAGACGGCGTTATTCTTTTAAGTGCACGTATAACAAATCTAGGGATAAAAAACAATGAAGACAGTACATCAACATAGAGACTTTCATCTTTACTTCAGCGCCTCAAAAACCACCTGAGAACTGCTTAAACCCACGAATTACCACAATTTTCAATAATCTACTCCAAAGTCAGTCTAATAAATGCCAATAGTTACTCTCAATCTCCAAATGCAAAAGGTGAATGGGTGATTGTTTCTGAAATAGAAACATATTGGTGCACATATCAAGAGAAATTATTAACATCCATTACTACTATCATTTTGTTCGCTAATCTTAGGAGGTAGGCTTCCTTCTAAAACCTTTGTAAAGGTCACACATTTCTACACAATATTGATTTCTAAAGTTCATTCTAATTCTTACGCTTCACAATTTTATGCAAATATGTTAAAAATTAACAATAGACATTACGCAACCACAGATTAAGCTCTATCCCTTTCATTGCTCGGCAGAGCCAAAGACATCACCAGCACATGGCCACATGCATCATAAAATTACACAACTATGTTTGAATTTATTTATCACATTACAGAACATCAATAGATACTGCAGTTCATTGAACGAGACTACGAAAATGTATTCTTCGAACAATGTGTGAACATTCAGTTTTCCTTCAAGTTCAAGAAATTTAAAACATTAACCAAAATTTAGCACACTCGACTACCGACGGTTTCAAGTGGAAATTCAGAGGTAGGCGACGGAAAATTCGGACAATACTTCATGGACCATGAACAAAAATTAAAAATTAAGAGATAAATCAATGAATAAGAGATACATTAGCACCGATCATACCCAGAATAACCACCACCGTGTAGACAGAATACAACGGGCCCCTCAGTTCCTGCCGTGTAAACATGAAACACCTGAATAAATGGGGAAAAATGTCAGAAGAAGATTCATCTAAACAGATTAATGAAAGCAGTCACAGAGCATGAATTCGATTTCGCAGACTAACATCGTTCGATTCGGGAATTGCAATATCGTCTTCTTTGTCAAAATACAGGGAACAATCTAGAGGCGCGTATTTTTCTGAAGAGCTCCTACAATAAACGAGGGTTAAAATGAAAAGCGATAGTAGACGCCGTCATTTACATGCAGACGCGAATTACGATCCGTGGAGAAGTGAAAAGGTGAGAAGAAGAAGAAGACGATCGCAGAAGCTTACTTAGTTTGCGGACGATGAGGAATGGAAGCGAAAGCAGAAGCGGGTTGAGTTTGCTGTTGTAAATGCTCGTCCGTCACATCTTCTGGAACCGAAGCCATGTGAGAAGAAGAATCCATAGCTCTCCCTCTTACTTCGTCGATCTCCAAATTTCGATCAAAATCTTGCAGAATCGAACCAGAACTTGCGCTTTTACTTTCCTTTCAATGCCAAATTTTTCATTTTATTTCTGTACTTCTGTTTTGTTACACGAACATTCTTACCATTATATTGTTTACAATTCTAATTATAATTTCATTACAATAATCTCTTTTTTAATGACTGGACCATACATTAACTATACATATTCATTTTTCGTATCTTAGAAAAATCATAAAAAAAGATTTTTTTTTAATTTTATTTTTTAGATTTTATTTTTTAAATTTAGAGATCAATTTAAAAAAAATTATTTTTAATAAAAGTCATAATAAAAATTTTAAAAATGATTTGAGTGATTTTATGATAATAAAAATATATACTATAAACAAAAAGATATTATAATTAATAAAAATAAACAAAATATTTTTTATTAAGTTTAAATTATAAATTTTTTAATAAAGTAATTATAAGTTTTTTAGTTTTTAAAATTAAAATAATCGGAAATTGTTTTTAAAGAAATATTGAATGTTTTGTTGAATGATAACGTGTCAAACTTGAATGATTTGAATATTAACAAAATTTTCATTGATTATGACTTATTTATCAATAATAAAAGTTTAAGATAGATTCTGTGTAAGTGTAAGAATGTCATAGGAGATTACGTGCTATAATGCTATTGGAACAAAAATTCACCAAAAAGTGGAGTGTGATAAGAAAGGGTGGTAAATGCAACCCAACCCGCAAAAAGTGATGCATTGTCTGGACCCCATTAACAATAGGAAAAGCCCAATAGCCCACGAGAGAGAGGTAGGTACTAGTAGTACTAAAGCCGAGGGTGTGACGGGAATGGGTGCGTAGGTCGTAACCCTAAAATCAGAACAGCGAGTGGCAGTGACACAACAAATATCCATTTCTCTCGATCCAACTCATTCCCTCTCTCTCTCACCACTCACTCCCGTTCGCGCGCTTCTCTTTCACAGCTCATGGCGGAGGAAGAAGTTGCGGCCCCTGCTGCGAGTCCCGTCGCCTCTGATCACAAGCGCAAACTCGAAGATCTACAACCTGAAACCACCGAATCTAATGCCAACTCCAAACCCAACTCTGACGCCGACACCGCCGATGCGGCGGTTCCCGGAGAGACTGAGAAAAAGCGTCCCCGCTTCGACGACCAGAGGGATGGCTCTGGTACAGTAATCGTCAATTTGTTTTCCATTTCAATTGTTCGTGTGTGCTATGGCCGTAATAATCTATTTCGTTCATTACAATATTGTTGATATATAATCATCGAGGATGATATAGGAAGTAGGTCTGAAAGAGAAAGAAAAAATAAAAATGATATAATATTATAATGATACTGTGATACATGCTTGCGCCACAACCTTTCAAATGCATTATGGGCTTAAATTTATTGGGTATCATGGAATCATGTAGGTTACACTCTTTATTTAGGGTGTGGTTTAGAAAGGGTGTGTTTCTAGCACACCTCATGGTACTATTTTTGGAAGGGAATTGTGTTAATCTTGCTCCGGTGTTGGTGTCAACAGCTAATTCAAATGGGCATCAAGATGAGCAGGTTGCTGAGCACGGAAAAGAAACTGAGGAAAGATCGGCTTTGGAGGATGCCACTCCTGATCCTGATCAAGCTATAACCAAAGATCCTTCGGAGGCAACTGCTGATCAACCAACATCTGGTGAGAATAGTGAGCCAGCTGATGCCAAAGAACTTCCTGTTGAGGAAAGTGCAGAGGAGCCTTCTAAGGAAACTCAGCAAGCATCTAAGGACTCCACTGAGCAATCTGGAGATAAGCAACCCAGTGCTGTTGAAAATGCTTTGCATAATGTGGAAGTTCCATATAATAAGGTGTTGATTATGACGTTGAGTTTTTGATGATCTGATAATTGTGTTTGTGAGAATAATTTATTGTGCAATCCTAGATTTGTTAGCACCACATTTGTGCTTACCTATTTGTATTTTCCTTTAAAATATTATTTATCTTCTATGAATTTCCTGTACTTTATTTCAGCAAGATGCTTCTTCTGAACAAAAGCAACCCACATCTGAGGCTGAGATAACTACTCGGAAAATAGAGGTTCCTAATAATAAGGTATTTCAATTCTCTTGTATGCATGTTGTTAGGCTCAAGTATGTTACATGATAATATCAGTTTTGGGTTTTGTGGGTAACACACACTGAACATTCATCTTTGAGGCACACAATGCAATTGAGAAATTGCCTCTTTGTCATGGTTTGTAGTTTTACACTTTTGCTATACTGCCATTAACAGTTATGTGTCGGGTGTGTGCTTGTATGTTGTATGGCTCTAAAGTAATGTTAGAATTGGGATTCAGTTTGAAAATGTTAAATGTGCATCAGTTTTTGAGCACTATCTGTTGCTTCTTCTTGGAGTTGAAACAGTCATTTCTGTGTATGTTTGAGGGTTGTTTTACTCATTAATGGCCAATGATAATCACTGTTTTGAAAACTGGACCGGCTGGTTGAACCGGGAACTGGACTAGAAACCAGTCTGTTGCTTTAAAATAACTAAACTTTAATTAAACTGGGACAAAACCGAATAAATCGAAAAAATCAGTTAAATTTTTTTAATATAATTTTTTTATAGAATTTATAGTATATTTTAATTTTTTTTTAATCTTATATTAGTTATATCAACTTTAAATATAAATATAAGTTATTTTATTATATTTTTATCTTATTTTAACAATTATCCATCTTTCACTCTCTAATATATTTTGTATTTATAACTTTTATTGTAACTTCCAGTAACCATGATAGTAATCTTTTTTATTTCTCTTTCTTTATATAAGAAATATTATTACTAATAAACTTATTATATATTTATTATATTATAAAAATATTATTTTATTAATTTTGGTTGGACTCGGTTGAATCTTTAAACCTTGAACCCATGCCTTCACCTGTTCGGTGATCAGTCCGGTTTTAAAAACAGTGATGATAATGGACAAGATTGGTTTGGGACAGAAACAGGGGAATCATGTTGGACTGAGTTGAGCAAGTTTATGGGTTGAGTTAGGTTTAATCCATTTCTTTGATTTTATCAAGCCTCAACCCTATCTATTATTGTTGGGCTTTAATAGATGTCCAATTGTCAATTTTTCACACTTCATGTTTCGTTTTGGGCATTGTTTTACGGTATCTCAGAGGCCATGCCAGTTAAGAATATGGCCAGAAGACTCTTAAAAGACATGGACAATCCTCCTCTCTCGAGTCAACTTTAGAAGTTGGATTGAGCCCAATCCACTTGTAATACACACATTATAGTATCTAAACTCACTTAGTTTCTTTTTATATTATACACACATTAGGCTTGATTAATGTTTTAGTCTCTATAATATAGGGTGTTTTGGTTCCAGTTTCTTTTTTATTTTTTGGTTGGTTTTTGTCCTTGTTTTTTCTTGTAGTCCCTGCTTTTAACTTTCCCATTAAACTTAACAGTGATGATGTCATCACATGACATAGCAGCTAAATAGCCAACCCTGTAATGATGATGACACTTAAAACTGAAAATAAAATATTGATAGGGACTTAAAATATTAATAAGGACTGGAAACCAAAATTAATTTATTTTCGAAGGAGTTAAATGGTAAGTGACATATACAAAACATATTTCAGTGTTAAGCTAATATTGATTCATATATAAAAGATAAATATGATCAACATCAATATCATTTGTACAATAACAACTCATTACTCACCTTTTTAGGAGACGATGATATCATGACAATTTTAGTCCATATAAGTATATCTCTTTTATTTTAGTTTCTGTTGGCGGCATATACTGATGTCTCACTTTTGATGAGTCATCATTGCTGAGGTGACAATTTTGCTGATGTGTTGTATAATGATGTCATCATTGGTAGGTTTAATGGAGAAAGTTAACAGCAGAAGCTAAAAGAAAATAACAGTTTAAGACGAAAATAAACAAAACTAAATTAGAAACTAAAACCCCGTATATTATGGGGGCTAAAGTGTTAATTAATCCTACATTATGTTATATTTATGATCTGTATTATTGATTTGAATGTAGAAAATAACCCACTGGTCTCACTGCAACTTCTTCCTCCCCTTTATTTTGTTAGACCAGTTGGCAATTTTGATAAGGCATTAATCATTTTCTCTTTAAGCTGTCTTATTTTCTAATGTATATTTGTATCTGTGTCTTTAAACAGTCATTTCAACTGATTTTTTATTTATTTATGCAAAGGTTGGTGTACTTATTGGGAAGGCTGGAGATACTATTCGATACCTACAGTATAATTCAGGTGCAAAGATTCAGATCACAAGGGATGCTGATGCTGATCCTCACTGCGCAACAAGGTCTGTTGAATTGATAGGAAGTTTGGAAAGTATTGATAAGGCAGAAAGACTAATGACTGCTGTGATTGCTGAGGTTTGATATGATATCGAATCTTGATCTCTCTGTTGTTCTTCCTTTTTCTTGTGTTTATTCTTGAACTTTTTTGTTTCATTTTGATATTTGGCAGGCTGATGCTGGTGGATCACCTTCACTTGTAGCACGAGGCCTCTCGCCTGCTCAAGCTACTATTGGGTCTGAACAAATTCAGATACAAGTTCCAAACGAAAAGGTGATATACTATTAATATCTATATATTTGTATTATATTATAAAAAATATTACTCGTGCTTTATGTTAATGTATGTAACCTTGTTATTTGTTTCTTTTGTACAGGTTGGATTAATCATAGGGAGAGGTGGGGAAACAATTAAAAGTCTGCAAACCAAATCAGGGGCAAGGATCCAGGTAGTTGTTATCGTCTGCCTTGAAGCTTTTTGTACTTAAACTGTGTAGTTAAGATGGTATCTAAATTGCTAAAGGATTGGTATTCTAGTATTGAGACCTATATTGACTCTTTGAGAGGCATGATTTAGAATATGATAACAGAGTGCTTCCTGATTTCTTGTGTATCTAGAAACCATTCTTGTTTCAAAAATAAACAGTGAAAACTGATGAATAGATCTATGTAATGTGAGTTGTTGCATATTTTATGTAAAAAGAAACCAATGGTGACCAATCCACTCATTGGGATATCAGCGTGTAAGGGTTATCTGTTATTAGTTAAGAGAAAGTACTTGCTTTTCACACATGTAATTATTTTAAATTCAATTATTCAATACTATTGTATTTTTTGAGCTATATTGTTATACTTGAATGGAATTTAAGTTTTTCATGCCAAGATCCTTATAGTCCTTTCCTAAGCATTGATCATCAATAGCAAGGTTGTGTGGCTTAAATGTCACTAAATGCATACTGTTCATAGGAAGGATGTTTCTTGTGTATTGCGTTTAGTTCTAGCATAGAAACTTAAACTTATTTTATTGCATGATGTTTGTTGTTACTGGACACCTACATTTGAGCATTAATTATGATGTCTTTGGTCATATGTATATGTAGACTGAATTACTTGAAATTGAAATCATTGGTATATTTCTTGCAAATTTTGGGTGTGGCTGGTCTGTGCCTCTATCTGGGATTTATAACTACAGGATAAGCATATCAACATCTAATAGTCTTGATTTTGTTGTTATGCATAGTGTAGTTGTAACTTTTGTCAGAGTTTGACACACCATTTGAGGCTCATACACTGTTATGAAATTTAGCTTCTTATAGTTTGTTCAATTTATTATTATTTTTTTATCATTGTTCCCTTTAATAAGAGTGCTGTGCTCGTTTATAATCTCTTCATTCTGATGTTTTTGAATTTAGTTTGTAAATTATGATGAAATTCATTTTTCATGTTTTAGTTGATACCTCAACATCTTCCAGAAGGGGATGATTCTAAGGAAAGAACTGTTCAAGTTACTGGTGATAAGAGGCAAATTGAAATTGCACAAGAATTGATAAAGGAAGTCATGAATCAGGTTCGTTTCACTATACGTGGCTTATGTTGTGAAAGTTTACAATTTCAATGTTCACATATTATTGGTGCTTGTTTCTTTTAGTATAGTTCTTACATTAATGCTCATTATTCTGCATTGTTGATGACTTATGGACATATTTTTGTATAGTGATTTTATGATAATATCTATGGATTGTATTTGGCTCAACAAATTGTAGTAATTTTAATGACTTGTGGGTAGTCTTGGTTATTGTGTATTTTGCATCCAGAACCATATTTGTGCAAACTTCTATTTCTTCTTTTCTTTTAATTGGAATGTGAGGCTTATGTCACTTTTGCTTCTGAGTTATTGGGTAATACCGCCAAACATTGCTTGCAAATTTCTGTTGGACTGATGTTGAATTTCCCCTTGTAATTATGAGGTCTATTTATTACTTCATTTGAAACTGTATGCAAAATAAAATAAATAAATAAACACCAAAAGTGATTAGTTGTGTATAAGTATCCTTGTAAATCGGAATCTTGACATTTTCCATGTAGTGTGCGTGTAAAAAATACAGATTTAGACAAAAATTCTTACTTTTATGCTTTTATTTATTTATTTGGGTTTAGTGCTGTCCCACAATTGTATTGTGAAAGCAATAGAATTCTTGATTGTGTTCAAGGAAGTATCCCATTTATTCAATGCCTGTATGATCCATTTATGGAAGTATTGTATCTATTACTGCCATAGAAGTGAGATTGATCACCTGAAACCGTGTTCGTGAGTTTGGAAATTGATCAATAATCCATGCCAGGGTCAATTAAATCTTCTAGGAAGATCGTATATGTAAACCAAGATGTCAGTTGCAATGATTTATTTTTCTTGAAGGTGCCAATTTCGAATTGGTTGGCTTTAAAAATGCAGATTTGGCTATTGCCTTTTCCCTGGGGTCAGCATTGCTTTCTTGATGTAGCATAGACAACATTTTCACTTTCATCCACTGAAGAGAGGTGGCTGGCATTAAAACCTCAGATTGCAGGATGTTTAATGGTTGGTAAGATTGCTTCAAGACTTAAAAATCATGATTCAGTAAGAATATGTTGTGCTGGCCTTGGTGCTCAAATAGAGCTGCTATGTGATTTGCATGAGACCTTTTGGAAGGAAAGTCATACCTGGTGAAGTAATGGGGTCTGATGATTTTAACTGTGCTGGGGATGTATTCCTTTTTTTTTTTTTTATCTAGTTCTATTCGCAGAAATATTTAATAAGCAATTCATGTCGTATGGTGTGTGTTGAGGTTGGGGATATTGCAATTAATGTAGAGTCATATGATCAGGGGTCAATGCCAGTATGTCGTGATCATTTACATGTAAATTTGACCTGATGATAGTTGTGATTTAAAGTACTAGTATAGCATGTTAGATGAATGTTACATTGGTGTTGTAAGTATAGAAAGGCAAGGAAATCTAGTTGATCATGTTTGTTGATTAAAACATGGATTTTTAATATTGATAACTTAGTGTGCTTTTTGAATCTTCATAACATTTTTTAAAAGTGCTATATTTTTTTTTATCCTTAGCATATAATAAACATGCATTTTGATTGTCTTTTGGCTGTTCTTGTCTTCACCTTTCATGACCGATTAGTGATTATGGGCAACATTGGCATATTCATTATACTTATTGGCCCCCTTTAATATCAACCTAGTATTTCTTGCTTTCAGTTTTCACCCTAATCTGTTAGCATTTTTTATACAACTCGTGTTGTCAAGAGGAAGAACTTAAACTTCAATGTGTCATCTATTGTAAGATTGGCTAGCTCTGGCTAGTCGTTTAATTCATAGATTGAATTTAGCTTATAGAGCATTATGAATTTTGCTTTGTCATTGTCAGGCTCCTCCCTTTTCCCTACCTTGTTTGCTGAGGTGAGATCTTTATCCCCGTGATAACATCAAGCATTTGGTGTGATTTTATTATTAGTATGGTGTATAATGGATTACCTTCTGTAGTCGAGCAATTGATGATTGACATGCTATGGATATTGCATTATATTTACAGCCTACTGCATACTGTTTTGTTAGTTCCTCTCTAGATTCAGTTATATATCATTATAAAATTCTGATGACAGTCTGCGTACCATTTATATAATTATGCAATGATATAGATGTAGCTCTGTTGACTTTATGCCAAGCTCATTTTTATTTTTGGTTGGGTAACACATACTTTAACTTTGAACTGGAGTTATCATGGCTTTTAAATGTTTGTTCAAAAAAGAGTGTTAAAATGTATTCTGGTTAAGAAAATTTTCTTGTTTACTTACTTCATCTTGTGTTTGGTCGAATAGCCAATCAGGCCATCATCCGGGGGCTTTGGCCAGCCAGCCTATCGCCCACCCCGAGGATCAGGTGGCCCACCCCAATGGGGTCAGAGGGGTTCTCATTTTGGCCATCCAACAGCTTATGATTACCAGCATCGTGGGCCATATCCTTCTCATAATCAACCATATGCTCCTCCATATGGAAACTATCCTCAACATATGGCTCCGAGAAGCAGCTTTGGTTCTGGTTGGGAACAAAGGCCTCACCACAACTTTCAAGCTCCACCCCCACACAATGGTGGTTATGACTATTATGGAGGACAAGGAGGTCATTTATCTGATGCTCCACCATCCACACAGCTTCCCAATTCAGCCCCGCCACATGGTACTGGTCCTTCCCCTCTACCTTCTATGGGTCCAGTCCCAACTCAGGTGAATTACAACTATGGACAGCCACAAGGCCAGGATTATGGTCATCAAACAGCTTATTCTCAGGCAGGACTTCCTCAACAAGGTTATGGACAGGGGTATGACGAGTCAAAGTATGAAAATCGTGCTCTTGCTCAACATCCCTATGCAGGACATGTAAATTCTCAAACTACCTACCCTCAGACTGGAGCTCAACCTAATTACTCTACACCACAACAGTATGGCAAGCCTCCGCTGTACGGCATGCCATCACAGGGACAGCCACAACAATCATATGGTCACTCTAGACCTACTCAACCAGGCGAAATGCCCTATCAAGGTTCTGCTCCTACCCAGTCATATGGCACGAATGTGCCAACACAACAACCATACCCATATGCAGTATCTGGGCCATCACAAACAGCATATCCTAGTTATGGGTCTGCACCAGCTGCAGATGGCTACAGTCACCCACAGCCTGCATCTGGTGCACCTTATACCCAGCCACAACCCAGTTATGGTCAGCCAGCTGCTCAGCCTGCAGCCAGTTATGCACAGGTTGGTCCCGCAGGTTATGGATCATACCCTACACAGCCAAGTTACCCTGAGCAGCAGGCTCCCAACAATGCCGTTTATGGTTACCAAGCACCCCAAGATCCTGTTTATAGCAGTGGTGCTGCAGCAGCATATAGTACTGCCCAACCAAGTGGGCAACCTGGTTATGTTCAACCCACTCCAACTCAAACTGGTTATGAACAGTCTAACACACAATCGGCAGGTTATGGGGCTGTACCAGCAACTGCTCCTACTGCGTATGGCAAGACATTGTCACCACAGCCTGCTGCCTATCCCCAATATGACTCCACCCAGGTGTATGGTGCTCCTCGATGATTTTCTTTTATGTTAACCAAATCTAGTATTAGCATGTTCTAATTTTATGGCTCCTTTTGATGTATCTTGGATTTTCCTGTAATCTGTACTTCTCTACACTATGAACATGGAACATGAAAATATAAATGTAATTCGCCGCCCGAATGCTCTGACCTTGCAATTTCTTGAAAATCAAAGTTGCCTATGGCTGTTGCTTCTACGAAATATAAGAAAATTAAATCTAGATTGAGGCACTACTTCTCATTTGTACTTTGCTTAATATATTTTCCTTCAGTAATGCAATGATTTGACTGAAAGTCGGACTTGTATTTGTTAGTAATTTAGTGCTTCCAGCCGAATATTCGCCAGCTAATTTCATTACTCTTCTGCTAACATGGTTTTGTGTTTTATCAATTAGCGTCCGTTTTTATCCTATTAAATTAAGCATAATTTGTGGTTAAAAGTGGTTGCAGAATTCATTAACTGTTTTTTCTCTTAATAACAATAGAGCATGGAAGAACGAGATGACCATCGCGTTAGACATCCTAGTAGATTAAGTTGCTCCATATCCTTACTTAAAATTTTAAATTGACATTCTATAACAGAATTGGTTGAATTTAAACAGTCGTGTGATGATGTAATGTAATTTTCTGTTTGGAAAATAGATATCTGAAAATAGTATTGATATGTAATGTTCCTTTTAAAAATTTGTAATAAAAAAATGTTTTAGGACTTGACTAAATTAACGGTGGGTTATGCTTGTTAATTTTTCATCATTTTGATTGAGTTGAGATTGTGAGCAGGGAATGGGTCTGAGAAAGTAATTTCGATTATTGAAGGGCATGCAGTAACAAAAAATATAATTCATTTTAGTGTGAAAACAAAAACTACTGAAAAGACCTTCAACACAATACGAATATAAAAATAATAGTTGACCTATCGCAGACTCCAGTTAAGGTCGATCAAAAAATGGATCCAAATACTAAATAGTATTGTCAACGGTACATTTTTCTAACAAATTCCTATAATAAACATACTTTGTATTATTTGATTGAAATTTGGAATTTATTGAAAATGTGTATGATGATATGAACCTGTGTCTATTCGAGCGATGATAATACAGTTTAACAGGCTTAACAAGCAAGCATTTGATGATAGAATTCATTGGCTTTCTTGTAATCATTTAGAGACCTATAAATGTAGCCATTATTTTGGACAAATCAACTGAGAATCTTTCGCACATAACAACCGTAATAGTATAAGAATTTTTAACCCTTACTTGAAGTTTCACTGTAATTAGTTTTGGAGAAATGAAGTTGCAATGAAGATAAGCCAGTGGTGCCAGGGTTCCTAAGCTGATCAAGCTGTTTGTTGCCACGGCGAAGTAAGTACTCAATGTACAGAAAATTTTTCCGATCTACATCCTTCGCATTACGCCGAAATTCTTGCGATACAATTGACTCTATCTTGCGCCGTTCTTCCTCCGATTTGGAACGTGCTGCTCGGAGAAACCCTCTGAAAAGACTAAGTACTTGTTTCTGCATCCCAGAAAGCCTTTGAACTTTGGAGCTTCCCATTGCATCTTGTGTTCTCCAAAACAGTACAAGTTTTCAGGTTAGATTCTGTACACAAAGAACAACGATGCTGGTGAGTTCGTTCACATTTGACTACATAATCTGTTTATGGAAACGATAAGGAATATGAAAATCTAAATACTCTGCAATTTCGGAATGAGTAACCAAAAGCCCTATTAAAGATTCAAATCCATGTTGGGCATTTTAACAAACAGTTCTTAGACGAATATATATATATATATATATATATATATATATATATATATATATATATTCTCTGAATCAGATGGCGGTATTGATTACCTGAACGTCGAACAGGAGAAAGCAATTATCTGAAACAAATCGCTTCAGATTGAAATACAAGCAGTGCAATCTAGTCCATCCGACATGGCTCTATTCGATGCGGTTTCTTATGTCTTGGAAAGGGGAAGTTTGGTTAGGTAGCCCTTATCGAACTATCATTTGAAGTTCGGCTTTTGGGGCCCAACCCAAAACCATCGAAGCCTATTAGACTTTCTCGAACGCATTATTTTGAATCACTTTGTTTTTGTTAATGAAATTATTATAAACTATAATCTTGAAGAGAAAACTTATTAAACTTTTACCAAAAATTTTGATTTTCAATAAATTTCAGTTGACAGTCAAAATTTTGTAAAAAGAATATGTTAAGAGAGTATCTTTCCACAGTTTATTTATACCAGAATATAAATCAACGTAAACCAACCGTTTGTCTTTTTGTTCATTTTTATTGGTTTATACTTCTTCCTCCACCAACATCAAACAAAACTGACCATAAACATATTTTGATTTTTTTTCATCCTCAACTAAATCATCTTCATAGAAATCTCATTTCCATGAATAAATTTCATAATAATTTTATAAAATGTTTGGTTGTCATTCAACATTTTTAAAATAATACTTTTCAATCACGCCACAAACCCGGAGATAGGAATCAATTCTTCTGGTTTATGAACTTTATATGGGGCCCATACAATTCAATGAAGGTCATGCAGATTGCTATATGTACAATGTCAGCTTGCAAAATGCAGGGTTTGGCATTACATTATGACAGCCGTTCGGTACCAATTGGTTTGAAAGTTCTTTGTTTCCCAATTGCATTAGGAATGGATGCTTCCCGAAAATATTTCCTTCTCTTAATCCTCTTGATCTTCATGATCTTCTTCAGCCGCTTGGGGTCAACAATTTTCTTTATTTTTTCCAATTTCTCTTTTCTTCCTTCAGTATAAGCTTCAATGGTTTTACTTCTCTTATCATCAGGTAACAAAGCCAATCTGGAAAATTTCTTGGGACTCACTATTTTCAGTTTCTCAGTAATTTCCTTGAATGCTGGAACAAGGCCACGTCTTATCAAGCATCCTTCAATAAGCCGCATTGAATTTGACTGTGGGAGATTTGGGGCATCTTTTAACTCCAGATCCAAGCAAAATGGTGATTCTTTTAACCACATCCTGAGGGAATGAGCCTTCGCAACAAGGACGCCTTGTCTTGTCTTGCAAGGAAGGAAAGGTGATCCCATTTCCCAAAGGCATGCCTTCATTGTGCTGTCTAGGGATACCATGTTATACTCTGCTGTTCCTGTTATAAGTACAACTGATTTTGGTGACTCTGGATATCCCTGCAAGGAGGCATCCTGCATTGAAACAGACATTCCAATCTTAAGGTCAAATAGAGAAGCTAGAGATAATTAAACAATGAATATTGTAGTTTGCATCAATGATGACCATGTAATCGTTTACAGCTCATAAAACAATGCTCCTAGTCTTAGCAACATTAAAGACATTGGAAATGGAAATGTATAGAACAAGATTCGGTCAGTAACAAGTCAAAATTCCATACACTAGTATGGAATTTTGATTTTATATAGCAGACAATTTTAATGTCAAGTACCATGAGAGACTAACTAAACAACAACTTCATATGCTGAAGCCACTCTAGCAACATGTTCTAATTATTTTGAAACTCATAATTTTCGCTTGATTGGCTTCTGTATGAGAAAGTGTGACACAGAAGGACTAAAGAGTTTAGATGATCTCAAGCGCCCATTGACGTATCTGGTAAAAAGAATAAACAAAAAATCGACAACCTCTTGTATGTGTCTTTATCTTCCAATGTCCTAAGCAATTTATGAGTTAAATTGGATAGAAAACAATAGTATTAGTGGATCAGCTTCACACATGTTATTGATTACCTTGATATTGAGAACCTCTCATCTTCAAATAGAAAAAGAAAAAAAAAGCCCTAGTCAATTTACTAGCTGGCTGATTTCAGTATAGCTCTTTATCAAACATGAAAGTAGCTGGAAGCTGAGGCATTATCTCAAAATTTGGCAAGAATTATCAACATGGAAATAATGCATGTATGGGTATGTAGCCTTGAACCTTACAAGTGAACGACCATAAGCGATTTTGAAAGCAACTAAAAAAGGAAAGTGTAGTCACCTGCATGTGGTCAAGCCATAACGTAAGACCAACAAGAGCTGAACCAGCAGATAGTTTTCTAAAATCAGCTCCCCAGTCCTTATCAGCAACTCTACAATTGATTGATACAAGCAATAAGCAACCTTATCGATCGGAACTATAGTTGAAAATTAATTGTAACAAGAGATACACGGTATCTCAGCAGCTTACAACTTTTTGCAATGTGTATTGCAGTTTAGAATTATGCAGAAGTACCTATAATAAATACCTACCTAAAAATATCATGACGATAAATGCTTCTCTTGATGGCCAATTGGAAAATCCATGATGCAGTGGCCCGGAGTTCAAATGCCCACAAGAGATCCAACAACGCATTCACAAGGTTAAAGGCTGCATTATCTTCCACAGGTTCTAGTTTCTCCAGGCATTGGTCAACTTCTGAAACTAGTGACTCAGATTTTTCTTTAAGAAGCCTATGGAACAATTAGTATACATTATTAACTGGACAAATATGGAAAGTTAAATTTTGCTTCCTCTTAATGACTATAAACAATGATCTTTTAGAATAAAGTGATAACTTAGTACTATATCAGTACCTGATTGGTAGATCAAATCCAGAACCTTGGAGTGCTTCTAAAAGAATAATGGCTTCATCTGCTCCCTCAGACAAACTTGCAGCTCTGATAAAGCATGTCCATATTCGATGGTCTGGTTCTATGCCTGCTTCCTTCATCTTCGTGAGTTTTTCGATTCCAGCTTTAAAATCCCCTTTTTTGAGATATGCATCAATAACAGAACTATAAGGTAGAGTATCCAGAACCACTCCAGTAGTTCTCAAGTTCTTAAGGACATTCTCAGCTTCCTCAGGCTGCCCAGATTCGCCATAAGAAACCATAAGCAAATGCATAGTGGAAATAGTGGGCTCTATCCCTGATTCTTTCATCATGGCCAGTAAATTTTCAGCTTTCAGATGATCCCCAGAAGTTCTATACATTTTCATCATTAAATGATAAAAAACACGGTCCAGTTTATGACCATCTGATCTAAGCTCTTCAAAAAGTTCCTCTGCCTGTTCATACATGCGTTGCTTACCAAATGCAGTGATCAGGCTTCTGTATGTGTCTAGCTTAGGTTCCAGACCAAGGCTTCTCATTTTATTCATCAATGAAAAACCTTCTTCTGGTCTACAGTCTCTGCAGTACATTATAATTAATATATTATAAGTTTCTTCATCTGGTTTAAGATCAGCATCTTGAATCCTCTGGTAAATGATACCCATGCTTTTAAAATCATTAATACCTAAATATAATTTAAGTACATAATTGCAAATTTGAAGATCAGGCTTAAAACCTGCGTCTTCCATCTCACATAACATGGTTTCTACATCCCGTACTCTTTTGCATTTGCACAGCAATCTAAGCATAATTCTATAAAGATGCATGGTAGGAAAATAACCAGCAGCCTTCATTCCATTGTATATTTTCTGTACCTCAAATAAGTTTCCTGCCTGAGCAAATGCTTCAAGTGTCAAAAGAATAGAACTTTTACTAATCTTTAATCCAATGTCTTGTAATTCCTGGATTACCACATAAAGCTCATTCAGTCTCCCATCAACAATTAAAGCCTGTAATAGACCATTTACAGAATCTACAGTTGGAGAAGGGCCATCTCTCATCATTGTATTAAAAATAGCTCTAGCTCGTTCGTAACAACCACTGAATGCATACGCATGTATTAGAGCATTCCACACCCTCCTATCCATTTTTGAACATCTTTGCCTGAGACTCCCCACCAAGCTTTCTGCCTTTTGCCATATCTTTAACTTTCCATACGTTTCAACGATATCAATGTAAACAGATACATTATTATCCAGTATAATACCGTCTTTCTCTGCATGATACAACAGATGCTGGGCTGTCTCAGGTAATCCCATTCTACAGTAGACAGACACCATAGCTTGATACAGACATTCAGATGGCTCAACACCATTGAATCTCATATCAGAGAATATCTGCGAAGCTACGTCGAAGAGTTCATTCTGTATAGCTTCCTGAATAAGAGATTCATACATGGTACAACTTCTAAATGAACCGAGTACTCCTTTACTTCTATATTCCTCCAAGGCTGCATCGAACTTTTTAGCCTTGCAAAGTATAACGATGAGTGCTTCTGTGATCATTTGAATATCATCTGGAGCACGTTCTCTCAAGAATTCAAGAAGTTCACATGCTTCTGAATATCTAGCAGATGAGCTATATGAACTCATGATAGACAAAAAAATTTCATGATCCAATTCATAGCCATTGCTGATGGCAACTCTCAACATTTTAGCAGCATGATCATAACAACCCCCTTTAACAAGAACAGATGAAATAATTTGTGGATTCATACCACTCAGTTCTTCCATATCTCCAATAATTCTGTCAACAACATCCCACATGTTCTCCTTCACAAGTGCACGCATCATGACCTCATAGAGACCATTATCTGGTGTGAAACCTTCGCAAATCATTTCATGATACAGCCCCATAGCCTTTTTCATCTCATTGAATCTCAGAAAGAAATCCAACATTACTGAATAGGCTAGATTATCAGCTTTGATCCCTGCTCTACGCATGCAATTAAACGTCTCTTCAGCCTCTTCTCGCTTTCCAGCCTTGGTATAAGCGCAAATCAAAGCACTATAGGAGTGCAAAGTGGGCTTAACTCCCGCATCCAGCATTTCCGACATCACATTTGCAGCTTCCTCAACCTTACTTGCCTTCCCAAGTGAATCTATCAAAACTGTATACGTAACCGCATCAGGATTCCTTCCAAAAGACTTCATGTCTCTATAAAGCTGCAATGCCTGATCATGGCGGCCCTGCTTCCCATACATGTGTATGATAGTATTGTACGTCATCTCATCCTTGCCAAATCCCCTCTTCACCATCTCTTCACAAATATCCCTCACCTTTTCTGTGTTCCCTTCTCTAGAAAAAGCATACAACAAAGAATTATAAGTCACGGCATCTGGGAGAAACCCTTTAGACTCTAATTCTTTAAATAGCTCCTCGGCTTTCCTGGGACGCCCGCATCTACCACAAACCGAAATCATAGCATTGTATGTCCACAGGTCAGGCTGACACCGGTGAAACTCCATATCGCTGAAAACTGCGATAGCTTCCTCCAAATTGGATTCCCTTGAACAAGCACTTATAAGGGTATTGTATGTTATTATATCCGGCCTAATCCCGGACCTCCTCACTTCGTTCAAAAGCTGAAGAGCCAAATTAGGCTCCATTGCACCACTCTTCATCCTCGCATTAATCAAAGTATTGAAACTCACAAGATCAGGCACGCACCCTCTCTCACGCATTAAATCAAGCAGCTCCTTTACCTTATTGAAGCGACCACTGCGCGCATACACACCCATCATGGCATTGTACACTTGAACCGTGTCCCCTACACTCGACTCGGCCCTCGTGAAGATTTCAACAGCAAGTGCTTCTTGATTGGCCTTTCCCAGCACACCCAAGATGGTTGCGACCATTCTCGCATTGGGTGCAAACCAGTGCCGCAAATTCAAGCACTCGTAGAGTTCAAGCGCGCGTTGCCAGTTCTGCTGACCCACCCATTTCACCACAAAGCAGAAATCGGTTGGTGTCATCTGAACTCTGCGTTCTTCCAACACACCCGCAACAAACTCCTCCGACTTCAACGCTAGAATCGTGTCCGTTAAGTACTTCACTCTTTCCCTCCAATTCTTGTCCCTTTTCAGCGCCAATTTGTTCATCTTTTTCACCCTCGTCTTGCTGCGTCTTCCTAAAGCTTCTTGGGCCTCGTCGTCGTTTACAACAACGGGACCCGGTTTTGGGGGTTCCTCTGGGGTGTCGAAAGGTGGAGTTTTGGCGGGGAAAATATCGTCCTGGGGTAATTGGGTGTGTGTCGAAGGGTAGGTTTCGGGAAGTTTGAGGTGGGGCCATCTGATTGATGGAGAAGCTCTGGCGTAGATGAACTTGACGGTCTTAACCGCGTTGGGTTCTGAGGAGGAACCGGCGTCCGTTTCATGGGAAGTAGTAGAAGTTGAAGAAGGGGAGGGAAGTACAGCGGGTCTGGGTGGAGGGTTCGAATGTGGTCGTGAAATTGAGGGAAAACTAAGTACCTGAGAACCTGAGACCGACACTGAGACAGACATGTTTGTTCAGTTCAGGTGGTGTTTCTGTTGCAATTGCAACTTACTCAGCTCAGTTATATTATACTGTACATTCATTCGGGTTTTGTAAAATGCAACTTCTATCGTTTGAATTGTTAGGGGAAATGCGAAAGATTGGAGAGTAGCAGAAAATGTGTAGAAGAACCGAATGACAATTTTAGAACCACTTCTGTCAGTCTTTGTTATCCAGGTATACAGATATTTTGGTACGAGAGATATTCTTCATTAGTTACTTAGTATATACATAATACATTGCAACAATTCACTAAATACAAGTATAAATATCATGAAATAATCTTCATTACTTACTTAGTAATTGAATTTTAAGAACTATTTTCATTTACAATAAATAAAGAAGATAAGTTCTATGTGAAAAAAAAATGGTTAAACAAATAAGAAAATTTGATAAAAATTCACCAAAAGAGGTTATTATTAGCAAAACAACAAACTATGCAAAAGCAAGGCACGATGGTCCTTGTTGGTGCGAGCAACTTCTCTGCCTTGATGTTGTGCTCCAGAAAGGTCGTGCGTTATGTGTTTTTCAAACGTTGTCTTTTGCGGAATCTTTGTACGTCAAGTGCAGAACCAGAAACCATAGCCACTAAAATTGATGGAAAGATACGTGCTCTTTCCACACAAGGCAACATTGAAGAAGCTCTTTCACTTCTTTACACCCACTCTTCTCTATCCCTTCAAACCTATGCCTCTCTGTTTCATGCTTGTGCTCAGAAAAAGTGCCTCCAACATGGCATGGCTCTGCACCATTACATGCTGCAGAAAGACCCCACAAGTCAAAATGACCTCTTTCTCACCAATCACATCCTAAACATGTACTGCAAGTGTGGACACTTAGCTTATGCCCGATACATGTTTGATCAAATGTCACGTAGAAACATTGTTTCTTGGACTGTTCTCATTTCGGGGTATGCCCAATCAGGGCTGACCAGAGAGTGTTTTTCTCTCTTCTCTGGCTTGCTGACTCACTTTCGCCCCAACGAATTTTCATTTGCAAGTTTGGTTAGCGCGTGTGAGGAGCATGACATTAAATGTGGCATGCAGGCACATGCAGTTGCTTTGAAAATTTCCTTGGATGCCAATGTATATGTTGCAAATGCTCTTATTGCAATGTATAGCAAGCACTCTGGTTCCAGCGGAGGTTATGATGGGGCAGCGGATGATGCGTGGACCGTGTTCAAGTCAATGGAGTTCCGAAATCTTGTATCTTGGAATTCAATGGTTGCAGGTTTTCAACTTCGTGGACTTGGGGACAAAGCCATTAGCCTGTTTACACATATGTACTGCAATGGAATTGGGTTTGATCGTTCTACGCTGCTTAGCGTCTTTTCTTCACTGAATGAATGCGGTGCTTGTGATGACATTAACGTACATCTCAGGAAATGTTTTCAATTGCACTGTTTAACTGTTAAAACCAGTCTTATTACAGAAATTGAAGTGGTAACTGCATTGATAAAATCATATGCCAATCTTGGCGGAAGCATTTCTGACTGCTATAGGATCTTCCTTGATACAAGTAGCCAACTGGATATTGTGTCATGGACTGCTCTTATTTCTGTGTTTGCAGAACGGGATCCTGAGCAGGCTTTCCTCCTTTTTTGTCAACTTCATCGTCAAAATTATTTGCCAGACTTGTATACATTCTCAATTGCGTTAAAAGTTTGTGCATATTTTGTGACTGAGAAACATGCAATGGCTGTTCACTCACAAGTAATTAAAAAAGGGTTTCAGGAAGATACCGTTCTCTGTAATGCCTTGATACATGCTTATGCAAGGTGTGGCTCGTTAGCTTTGTCTGAACAAGTGTTTCATGAAATGGGCAGCCGTGATTTAGTTTCTTGGAATTCAATGCTCAAGTCTTATGCCATACATGGGAAAGCTAAAGATGCACTGGTGCTCTTCCACCGAATGGATGTCTATCCAGATTCAGCTACCTTCGTTGCACTTCTCTCAGCTTGCAGTCACGTTGGACTTGTTGATGAAGGAGTGAAATTGTTTAACTCGATGTTTGATGATCACTGTATAGTTCCTCAACTAGATCACTATTCCTGCATGGTTGACCTTTATGGACGAGCTGGAAAGATAGTTGAGGCTGAGGAGTTGGTACGTAAAATGCCGATGAAACCTGATTCTGTGATTTGGAGTTCATTACTTGGATCTTGCCGAAAGCATGGTGAGACTCGCTTAGCAAAATTAGCAGCCGATAAATTTAAAGAGTTAGAACCAAACAATTCATTGGGATATGTGCAAATGTCAAACATATATTCCTCTGGCGGTAGTTTTACAGAAGCTTGTTTGATTAGGAAGGAAATGAGTAGCCATGAAGTGAGAAAAGAACCAGGATTAAGCTGGGTTTGAGATTTGGAAGCAGGTTCATGAATTTGGCTCTGGTGGTCAAAATCCACAATTAAGGGACATATTAAGCCGGCTTGAGATATTGATTGGAAAATTGAAAGTGATGGGTTATGTACCAGAGCTTAGATTAGTCTTATATGATACCCAACAGGAGCAGAAAAAAAAGACAAGTTGCTTCATCAAGTGAGAAGATGGCATTTGCCATAAGTTTTCCTTGTGGTGGGAATGTCATTAAAATAATGAAGAATATTCCTATTTGTGTGGATTGCCTAGACTTCATGGAATTACCATCATATCTATTTCAGAAGAAGATTGTTGTGAGAGATTCGGTAAAATACCACCTGCATTTTCCCAATGGCTGGTATAACTATTGGTAGCTCACTACCAGATTCTTCAGCTAGATCAAACTGTGCCTGCATGTTGGATCATTTGGGTCTAGTTTCTTTAGTTGAGGAAGCACACAAATTCTAGTGAGCAATCAGTTGGCTGCTTCGTGAGTTCATAGATATGTTGAACTTGGAGATAAGATTGGAAAGCATCTAAAAACATTTTTTCATTCATTATTTTTGTAAGTACGGAATAATTATATAGGGTGATTATTCTGTGGTTTTAACAGAATAATCTTATAAATATCTTAATAGATTGATGTCTTATGCATTTCTTAGAACATTATAAATCTCAACAAAATATTGGCATATTTGCTTCTTTCTGATGTTCAAGTGTAAATATTGTAACAGATAAAAACAAATGTAAATTTTGTGAGGTGCTAACACGCAGACTCTTACGTGTTGTACATTTCTGGGTTATATAATCATCTATCTAATTTATTGCTTATTTTTAAATGATTGCTTGTTGAATCTTAATTACTACTATGTACTGCATTGAAAATGTTATCAAAATATAGATTTTTTTAATGTGCGAGAAAGAAAAATACTAATGTAAATGAGCAGAAGTAAAATGTAGAAAATCTTAAAAATAAGCTGGAAAAATCAGTTAAAAATATTCAAATGAGTAGAAAAATGTAAACAGGCAAAAAACTATTCAGATGGACGGAAACAAATAATAAAAAATTATTGAAAAAAAATGTAAACAGGTTAAATAAAAAAATCATGCAAATGAGTGTGAAAATAGATTAAAAAAATTAGAAAAAAAATTTGTGCAAGGCAACTTTCATTAACTTATACACTGAAAGGCATAGCATTTATGAATAATGTAAATCTAAACCATAAACCAAGATCCAGGAGAGTGGCAGATCACCAAGTGGAAATTGCAAGTAAGAATGATCACGGTATTAACAAATTAGGTAATGCCATGGAATATGTTGTTTCACTTGTCTTTCAAGGAGTAAACAGGGTAAAGATGCACTAAGAAAAGAAATTAACTAAGCATAAAACCCACTAAATTTTCATGTACAAACTGGCTATATGATATTCTCCAGTTTTCTAGAAGAGAATTACAAAGGTAAAAGTGAGAAAAGCGAGATAGTCAGAGCATTATAGTATGACTACAATAACTTGGAGTGTGCAATTTGGAATGAACCACAGGCCTCAGTCAAGTTTCAACCTTCAGATCATACAGGGCTGTAGCATTACTGATTGGCATCAGGTTGCATTGTCTGCATTGGCGGAACTGTAACTACTGCTGGCGTTAAGTCTATGGATTCACTACCCCCAGATCTTTCGCGTATCTCACGGTACTCTTGGCAAATAGCACATGGATGACAGCAAAAATGGGTAACAAAATCCCCACAGGGTGCTTCCTACACAAGGCAAGAAGACATCCAAAAATTTAGATTGGGCAATTCAGATAAAACACCCAAATTTGTCTATTATTGGCAAATTAAGAAGTACAGATGACACAATAACTGCTATTTGACTGGGAATATATTTCGTGCGAAGGTCCATTTAGCCGTGTTTCAAAGCACCACAAGGATACATGAACTTGAGGCATAACATCCTTCTATCTGCCTTATAGATCTACCACGAGGCAAAAACATTTTCTTATAAAAATTAACATCTTTTTTCTTTCATATCATTTAAATATTAGATGCATTTTGAATTCCCCAGGCTCTAATTTTGTTTTGGGGTTGCTACTTCTGATTCAATGAACAGAAGAAAAATGGGGATTTCTTGTTCTTTCCCAACCAAGTCATAAAAAAGGTTCTTTTATCCATTAGAAAAATCAAGTGCCCGAATCCGGAGGCTTCAAATTCACAGACTGACTTCTGCTCTCTTCAGAAAACAAGGCAATAGCTAAATACACAACTTGTATTCGAGGCTTTGAAGCTACAGAGAATTGTCTAATATTTGAATTGAAACACTACAATAATAGAAAATAGAAGGAAATCATTGTTATAAAAATACACATAAAGCATAGTTGTAATAGCATTACCGGCAAATTATACTTCGATCTTAAGGCTTTGCGGTAGCCGCAGGCATAACATGAAACAAGGCATCCCGGTAAACCCAAAAACAAGCCATCAGTTAATAAGCAGCAGGCTGTATTAACCACACTCCATAATATAAAGTGCGTAACACATGATCCCAGGAAAGTTCCAGAACCCAGAAATTCTGCATTCTTCCCAAAGAGAAAGCAAGGACAAAGAAAACCTATACAACCTGCACAGGTGATAAATGTTTTGCAGCCAATCAACTTAGATGATAAATAACATTATCTTGAAAGGACAAATCGAGAGTTTAGCACTCAAATATTAATATTTGAACCTACAAGCTCTTCACTAGGAAAAATTCTTTCACTAATTAAGGTTCTAAATGCTGGGGCTTTTTTTTATTCCATTACCTTATTGTTGGTGTACATTAAATAAAACTGGTGTGAATTAGAAAATGTCCAATAAAAGATTTTTCCAGTCATCAACCATAAATCCATTTGAGTAAAAGTTCACATAATTATAATGTTTAATGATGGCAAGAGAACAAACACAATGTAAAAGCTAACATGAGGCCAGAGAAAAAAATTAAAGAGCTTTTTCATTGTGCTCCTACAGTTTTCACTGCTGCTGTTCTTAATTTCCCAGTTGGTTGCTAAGATTTCCGTGATACAATCCCTCAACCTCATTAGCATCATCAGAAGCAAAGCAACAATAGTATTAACCTTCTATCTTTTACAATACACCAACAAAATTTAAGATCATGAGTCATCAACCAACTGTAACTCATCTTATTCTTGTATAAAAAAAGGCCTTCAACCTCATTCAAAATTTCTTTTGTTATGTTTTCTACCTTTAGTCAAAATTTTCAAAGTTGTACTACATTGATAGTAGTTCAAATGACACACCTAACAAAATAACATAAAAATCATCGAATATTGATAAAAATAAAATAGAAGCATAATAATGTAAGTAAAATAATATTCATGGTTTGGAAGAAAGAGTATCATAAACTTTTACAGAAAAGGGTTTTATCACAAAATAAAGAGAAATTTCCACATTCAGAGCACTGATACCAAGTGGAACAAAGACTTATTACACAACTCCAACTTATGACCTATGAGTCATATATTATTGATTTTATCGACGCCAGTAACAGGCTCCACAGAATGAACTCACTAATATTTAAAATACATGTTATGTTAGTAGATGACCTGAACACTTTTCATGATTAGGATGATACGACCAAATTTCCTTAAACATAGTAAGAGGCACCTTTGCATTAAATGAGGTCACAGGGTAAGGAAGTAGCATACAACTCTGCATATCATCGCAACAAGCACAGATTCCAGAAGACCACTGAGCCTGCAATTGGTTCGATCCATTGCTATCAGGAAGTTGTTCATTGCTCTGAAGCAGAGAGACATCCACTCCGCCTGAATCTGACTGCCCCAAAGGTATGTAAGCAGGTGGCACATAACCATGTTGGTTCTTCATACTTCTACAAAAATCAACCAATCAATCAAATTTCTTCCAACAATTCCTCTAAAACCATTTTATCAACATAAATTGGGTAAGACAACGTGAAACCAATAAACCCCAGCTTGATTGCATCCAATCTTTGACGAAATGCTCCAAATTTTGATTAAAAGTGAAATTTACCATCACAGCAGCTGAAATTTAAATTTAAATTATCTTTGATAAAAGAAAAAAGAAGGCGCCTATTATTTTTCATGGCAGACTTATAGCACCGCGGCATTGAACAAATCGTTGTAAGCTGAGTTTTCATTGTGGTATGAAAGAAGGTTTGAAAGCGAAAGCATAAAATTGGGCAAAGTCAGATCTAAGCCAATGTTCGTTCTTACAAAATACAGAGATCGGCAATCAGAGAAGGGTTGAATCATAGACGAAGAGAAAGAAATTAGGTTTACCCAAATCTTGTAGAAGTAGAAGAAGTGCGTTGTCTTGTGGGGACGAGAAAACCCAAATCTTTGAAATCTTTGTGTGTTAAGACGGACGGATTTCTTCACTTCTGCGTGATACAGGCTTCTAGTTCTCCGTTTCTGGTTCATTCTTTATTCTATATATAGAAGACTCTCATGAAAAAAAGTGTACCAAAGTCAGAGATAAATAGAAAGAAATTATGATAAAATATTTTTTTAAGTCTTTACAATATAAAGCTCTTATGTTTCATAATTATTCTACTTAGAATGGTTAATTAGATTTTTTAACTTTATGAATGTTTTAATTTAGTTTTAAAATTTTAACAAATTAAAATAATGTATTTGAAAATTATTTTTTATTTTTATATTTATTTTAGTTTAAAATAATCTCTCCATGTCATTATTAAATATAAATTATTATAAATATAAAAATTAAATTATATTTTAATAATAATATATACTGATCTATTTGAAATGAAAAATTAATATAAAAGACAAAATTTAGTTTAAAGGTTTTTTAATTAATATTTATAAATCAATAAGAACAATATTTATTTTTAAGGATAACAAATCAGTTAACTTTTATTTTAAAGTTACTTTTTGTTATCTTAGTTCTTACAATATTTTGATCAATAATTTAATTTATAAAGAAGTTCATTAAAAATTGAGGTAATAAGGAGAAGTGTCATTGTACTTTTCACCATAAATATCTAATATTTAGATACTAAAATAGTAAAAAGAAAATATATATTTTTTTTACTATTTACATTTATATTATTTTAAATTTTATTTTATTATGTGCAATATTAATTTAACCTATTTTTTTAGAGAATCAATCTGCATTTATGGTGATATTTTAATACTCATTTTAACATTGATTAACTGAAAAAATGTATATTCAAAATAAAAAATAAAAAATAAATTCTATGAAAAAATAAGTTATTGAGTCAATAATATATTCAAATTGTAAGATTATAAAATACTTAAAAATATTATTTTTTGCAAGTAATTAATTTTGTATTAATTATAATAGAAGTAAATAAAAATCAATGTTTATCCATTTCACAGTTAATTTATTTGCAGTAACACTGAACAATTTCTGAAGTAAGATAGTGAAATTGATGTCACCAAAACCAACTTTCTTCTTCACTCTCTTCACTTTTTGAATCATCGAACACCATGATCTCTTCCACCATCCTTCACTCCTACCCCTCTTTCAAATTCCACCCTTTTCTCAAACACCCTTCTCGTGCAATTCCACTCAAACCCTACCCGCCCATTTCCAACTTCAGGCACAGCAACCACACCTGCACCGCACTTTTCACCGACGATGCCCCCTTTGCCGCCGCAATCGGTGCCTGCATGTTCACCTCTTTGCTTCTTCCCGTCTCTGCTTCCCCGCAAGACGACGACGACGAATCCGCCGTCACCACAACCGACGCAAGGCTCGCCGTCATGGGGATTCTCAGTTTCATCCCTTATTTCAATTGGCTCGTATGTACTCTTCCTTCCAAACCCTTTCATTTTGCTTTATCTCTCACACTGTCATCACAATCTTCAATTTTTTTTCAGAGTTGGGTTTTCGCGTGGCTAGATACTGGCAAACGCCGTTATGCCGTCTACGCACTTGTTTATTTGGCTCCATATCTCAGGTTCCTTCCTCAATTCACTAGCACCACGCCTTTTCATTGTGACTAGTAGTTTTATCGTTGCACTACACTTTATCTGTTCTTAACATTTGCAATATCAATGCTTAGTTAGAAGTCTTTGGTCCCGTGTGGATTAACTTTCCAAAAGAAATAAAAGGTAAAATGAATTGAGTTTCTCTTGCAAATTTGAATCACCTTAAACATTTTAACTTGCATAGAAGCTCCCTCGTCTATCTTTTCCAAAAATTGAGATGATAGGTTGGTTTGCCTTATGCAAGAAGTTAAATTCATTTCATCTTTTTTTTTCTTATCCAAACAGGATATTTCTATTATTCACTTGATGCATGGCAAAGAACAATAATTAGTATCCCCAAGGAGCAATTGATTAGTAATGTGTTACTCCTAGACGAGGTTTGACTTGTACTTGTGAATGATATGATATTGTGATTCATCAGGTCAAATCTATCATTGTCGCCTGAAGAAAGTTGGCTGCCTATTGCTAGCATTTTATTCTGCATCGTTCACATTCAGGTTCAAGCTCAGCATGTTTTTCTTCTATGAACATTTCTCACGCCATGCCAGTTACAAGTCTTGGAGTTTTCTAGTATTTTTTGAACCCTGATTAAGCAAAAAATATTGCCCAACAGACCAAAGCTAAAACTTTCCAAGAGCTCGATGATTAGACTCAAGGTTTTAAATTTCAGTTATTTCGTCCCAATCCTTGATATGGCAGGAATTGCGGCCAATGGGGCCCCAATTGTATAGGTCGTGGAGAATCAAAACCTTGACAACTGACATCACCTGAAAGGGCCCAAACCTTTTTTTTTAGAACTTGACTAGACTTGAAAATATCTAGTGCTAGTAGCCTGGCTTATACCAAACAACCATTTTGTAGCTGATGTTTTCATATTGATACAAAAATTAACATTGCAGCTGGAAGCAAGCATTAGAAATGGAGATATTCAGGGGTTTCAAATATTCAGGAATGTTGCAGATGGGCTATCATCAAATAATAGGAAGAAAAGTCATTTGAATCAGCATCAAGAAATGGCTGAGGAGGTGCTCTTTGCTTTCTTAACATTTTGTAAATAAGTTTTGTTGTCTATTTTTCTCTAACGTGGATTGCAATTGTTCTGAATTGTGATTAAGGGAAGCAAGAAAGAAAAGAACCTGTCACATGCCCAAGAACAATCAAGGGATATTGGAGGTTGGGAAGATTCAGAGAGGCCTATACAACCCCGTCAGCACTTGAATGAAGACTTGGAGGATGATGACCAAAAGAGAAGCAATCACTAAACTTGGAAGGTTCACTCAAGTTTCATGCCCAATGCTGGTACCTCTCAGCTGTTTCATTAGTTTTGAGGCGTTTCTATGAGACTATAGCGATGTCTTGATTAATGTTACTCGGTTGCCATGTTACCATCATGAGGTGAATTTTTTTCATGCCTGGTTTTACTAGATGATATTTAAGGTGCCATGGTATAAACAACAATAGTATTGTATACTTAACTCTACTTCCATCATGCCTTTTATAGTTTACATCTCTCTTTTTATATCTTTAGATAGGTGACCAGTGAGAGTATGGATAATTGAATATAATTTTATAGTTTAAAAAAGGACAGGAGGTTGATGAACAGGTGAATTTATTGTGATAACTACAGAATACTATGTCAGAGATTACTTGAGATGCAATTATATTCAGCTGCTACAATTGCGGTTTCCATTGCTTTGGACTTTGGATCCATCTGTCAGAGCACTGAAACTAATTAGTTGATTTCATTTAGTTTTATGTTTGGGGGATCCATATCTAAACTAAATAAATCTCAATTATTAACAGTTACCGCCAGTTAAATTTCAATGGCCAATTAGCTGAAGAGTTTACTAAGTATATGTACATTGGAGTTGGAATGTGTTTGACTCTGTCTATTAGGAGCTTATCTTCTCTTTAAAGATGCATGCTTCCACAAACTAGGATATACGAAATTTTAGGAATATATTTTCTAACACATTTTTTTTTCACGTACACTTTTGTTTGTTTTACAAAATTTAGTGAGCTGTACTATTTATTTAATGGTTTTATATAGTGATTTTGTAGTTTTTAAATAATTTTGATCAATAAAAGAGATTATCAAGCCTTACGTTAGTAATTAATTTGGACTATTAGTAATCTATATTAATGTTATTAGTGGAAATACAGATGTTATCAGTGGAAACACAGACTCTTTAAAGTTTCTATTTGTCCTTCTTTTTTATATAATTTTTTTAATGTTATTTTAAATTTCATTTTTTTTTCTTTTTTGCTTTTTAAATATATATACTTTTTTTTTCCTTCTCATATTTTATTATTTTTAAAACATATAAATCATGATAACTGTTTTTTTTTAATTATAATATTTTATATTTTAAAAAAACTATTAAAAAATGAATTCTCTTTATATATAAGAAAAACCGTGGAGAGTAATAAATGTATTTTAGATTATGAACTCTTTCGTAAATTTATGGTGTGGCGTTATAACCCTAACAATGTCTGTGTTTACCCTTCATTCACATGCACTTGTAATAAAAAGTAATATGTAATAGAAATGTGTTATATATATCTAATTTAATTGATCTCGAGTAGTCTAACATTTTTTCTATAAATTTTTTTTTTAAATAAAGATTTTGTTTTTCACAGCCTAAAAACAAATTGTCCGAGTTCAAATCAAATTTTCTTGTTAGAGTTATACCAAAGGTGTTATAGTCAATATTAAAATAAAGATACTTTATCATGACCCAACCAAGATATTTAACAAAGATTAAGATGAAGATATTTTTATCAAAACTAAGTTGAAAATGTCCATGAGAAACCAACTTGAAGAGGTTCTATTCTAACTAAAATTGAGGTGAGGTGAAATAACTCTAAGTCAAACCTATTAACAGACAAAGTTAAAAAATAGTGTGATTGATGTTGAGTTAAATGTATTTTGACTAAAATACATTAGTAAATATGGATTAATAGTTTTAAAGTTTTTCCTTTTATGGACTAAAAGTCCAAGCTCAAGGACAATTGTAGTGGGCAAGTGTATTAGTTATAGGGCTTAAGGTCAAAATGACACATTAAGTATAGTTTATAAATATTAATTATAATTATAACAAGTTTATGATAATTCTTGACTAACAAAATTTTATTAATAGAATTTTTTAATGAATTGATTACACAAAGTTTTACACTTAAAAGAGTATATTCATGTTTGAGAGGCAGGTTTTCCTTCTGAAGAAAGTATATGTGCATCGTTTGGATGCGAACAATTCAGGAGCGATTAGGAACAAGAAAGGGAAAATAATAGAGAAGGATGATATATTTATAAGTGGAATAACAAGCATAAGTCTGGTGTTAAAGGTGCATGAAAACAGAAAGAAGAAGCATGCATGACAGGTCATGACTTTACAAAAGCAAGCTAAATGGAGAAACCAACCACACCTCTCACTGACACAACTTCCACTCACTAGTGTTGTCTGTCTGTCTGTCTGTCTTATTTATTTCGTATTAATAATATGATATGATATGATGTCTTAACCAAAGGCAGGTTGGTTGGTTGTTTGTAGGTGGCAATCAAGGAAGAGTGTGAGGCTTCTCCAAGTCCTCCAGACTGGTGGGGCGAAACCAGGCCTTCTCCTCCAGCACATCAGAGTGAAAGGGGCGTTCTCCGCCGCCACTGGAGGTCGGAGGAGAAGCAAGGTGGTCGCCGGGAGGCCCAAACACCCCAGTCTGTGGGTGTGGGGCCCAATACTTGCCGGACTGCGTGGCCTGAATTACATCGTCTGGAACAGGTCCAGACTGGATATGATCATCAGGGTTCTTGTCGTACACCGAGCTGCTGCTGCTGTTGCTGTATGCTGCTCTTCCACCTGCCTTCCTGCTTCCACGCATTCACAATATTTTACTATAAAATCAGTTTTTTCAATAATATTTATTTTACTTCCTTTCTTCCAAAATCATAATCCTCTAATACTTTGTTAAACAACTATAATTTTGATACAACTAAATGGCTAAGATATCTCCATAACGCACGTGACACTAATGCTATGCGTGATGGTTAGGTGTCTAAACAAAAAGCAGAGAAGCACGTGATGGGTATATGTGATCTTATTCAGATTTGGACCACCAACCGACCCAATTAAAGTATTCGCTAAGCATTTTCCACGCTTCTTCTTCAAGACCCATTCATCCATCAATACAAAACCTTCAACTTTTATACTTTATAAACTAAATTAACGACCAACAATTAAATTAGTTACTATAATTTTAACGTAAAACATAAACTAGCAGGAGAATCATTTATTAATTTCAACCAAAAAAATAATATTCAAAAATACATTTAAAAGAGACACTTTAATATAGAAAATAAATCTCATATAAGTTTTACACATTGGTAGGTAAATAAAGAAAAAATAAACATTAAAGAAAAAACTTTCAATAGCCGTAGGTTTGAAAGAAGGATATGATTATAAAAAAAACTTCATAACCATCACACATTGAAATAAATCGAGTATTTGTCCCTAAGATTAGAACTTGGACAGGTTGATACAAGACAATAATAACACTTAAAATAATAGATTTTAGCAGCCAGTCCAATCCAATGGCATCATATGACTAGAAAAAGTAAACATAAATTTATTGAAGCATGGAACTCGCGTCTGATCTGTACGCTGAAAAGTACAGCTAAGACTGGTACTGTTAATGTTATTTGTTCATTCTGGTATACGGGAAAAGTCGCTTCAAATTTGCAAGTAGTAGCTATTTGCAATACGAAAGGACATTAAGTCGCTATTATAGTTAATAATTCGATAATTGCTTAATTACACGAATCTGTGTTTAAACAAAGTTCTAGAAGAGAAAAAAAAAAAAAAAAAAGAGGAAAAAGATAGATGTTCTTTTATTTTGGATTCGTTATAGTGATTGCATATCAGAATAAGTATCACTTTTAAATAGAAAATATTAGCCATTGAATTAAAAAACTAAACATAAAAAGTGAGCGGGTGTGCCAAAATATGTGTGCACAAATAAGGGTGACAGTGTGGACAACACTTGAGGTACAAATACCACAGAAATTAATAAAGTCATCGAATAAACCCATTTTTCATATTATAACTTAATAGAAAAGGCCCCCGAATAAGAAAGTAAAAGTCACAGAAATATAGTCATATATGTAATAACGACAAAAAAATTCCTGGACGACTTTAATATTGTTAGTCGAACGAATACAAAAACTTACAGGTGTGTATTTGATTTAAGTAAGAATAAAGACACATTCCAAAACTCTGTTTAATTGAAAGCCACTCCCACTAAAAAATGACGATAAGCGCAACTGAATAATATTTCAAACAAATCCTAAATTGTTAGTAGCCATAAGTTTTCGATCTCAAGAGCATGTTGAAAAATATAGATAAGTAGTACGGATAGAAGGATCTGGCAAGATAGAAACAACCCAGGTTCCTTTCTAAATTTCCATCATCAACTAATAATAATTATAAAAGTGGGCCCTACCAACCAAAAGCTACCCTTATCTTATCTTTATATATTATTCACATTGTTATATTTTTCATGCAAGTTAAACGGAACTATATTAGGCCAAAATATCTATCTAAACAACAATTATCGACATAATACTTAATTAGGACAGGATGTAAATTAAACCAATTAAAAGTCATTCTTTTACAAATTGAAGGTCATTAATCTCTTATTAACCACAAGTTGAAATCGACCTTCACCCTAGGGTAGATGAAAAGGACAATTCATATTTCATAGATGGTAGATTTAAAAAAATAAAAAATCAAATATACTTGTAACAGAAGTAATGATAAAAAGTTGGCAAAATGTTGAAAAGTGAAAGAAGATAGTTTCCCAGGGTACAAACACTCACGGAAAGAGACATGGTGGGTGGATTGAGGAGGATGAGTTGGAAAACAATTATCCCCATCCACTTTTCTTTGCTTTGTCTTTGCCCTCCTACGACTTGATATTTTCTGTTGTCAAATCATACGTTTCGTACACACCCAGAAAGATAAAAGATAACAGCGACCATGGATGAAGATGCCTTTATTTTTATTCGTTTTGAATTATGCTGAATGCCCCGAAAGGGGAAACTTGAAAACAATAAATTTAATAAGAATATTATTATTAAACACGGATCTTAATCCCAGGTATGGAGCGCCAACTGAATCATCCACGGAGAAGGAAGATAGATCATCTCGGTATACAGGACAATCCAAGATGGAAGGAGATATCAACATTCCACCACAACATATTATTATTATTATTATTATTATTATTATTATTATATACAAATTGGCAGCACAGAAACCCAGAAGCTAGCTACAATACTTTATTGTATGATGTCAGCCAAAAAAGGTTAGGGGGGAAGCAGATAAGGAATGGGAAGAGAGTAAAGAAAAAGTGGAAAGGGTGATTGGAGAAATGCATTTCCAGATATAGGGATAAGAAAGTAACAGTTTCCAAACGGATTCTTCTTAGCACAGTGAGATACATAAATTTTTCCAGCAAAAAGGGAAATTATGTATACGGAGTACAAAGTAGGCGCCTAATCGAGAGATTTATAGAATAATATATTATTAATTTTCGCTCCATAAAAAGGAAGAAGGAATAAATAAAGACAAGGGAATATTAGAAAATGACATAGTGATCTCCAAAAGATTCACGGATTACTCGGGTAGGGAGTGTGAAGCAACGGCTAATCAATCAGAAATCACAAGCATCCACAACTCCGATCACAAATTTGTTCATAAAATAAAGTCACTGTTTGAAGGTTTTCTTTCTAACTACTTAACCACAGAGGAAGTATCATATGATCATCTTACTAAAAAAAACTCGGAGAACAAAATTACCTAACAACAATAGCAATTAAGCATGACATGAATAATAAGAGAGAAAAAAAAATAAAAAAAAAAGAGAGGAAAAGTACCTGGAAGTGGGAGGAGGTGAGGGAGTTTTGGAGGTCCAGATCCGGTTGGCGACGGTCTTCCCCAAGGCGGTGATCCCTCGGCTACTCGAATTGGCGGCCATACAATGAAAACAACGAAGAGAGAGAAAGGAGAATCACGCAGTGTGTGTAGAAGTAGCTTGAGCTTTGGTTTGTGTTCTGGTGTGGTGGTTGAGGATGCATATATTTATACACGAAATAAAATAAAATAATGAGGAGAAGAAGGGTAGACACACAAGAAAGATGGTACCAATGCCTCTTCCCTCTTCGTACCTAACACGTACGCACAACATAAGACTCCTCCGTTACGTCCCGTTCATTCCCTCCCCAACGCCGTTACTATTTCCTTACCACACCACACGCACGCACGCTCTTATCATAATATAATAATAATAATTACTTAAAATCTTCCCTATTTTCTTTTATAAATCCAAAGATATACTAGTAATATTAAAATAAATGTCTTAATTTTTTTTTTCCAAAATTATTGTTGATATTTTATAGTTGTGTTCATTTCTAATTCTTGTTCAAAATATTATTTATGCAGGATAAAATAATACTTCCAGCGCACGTGACGATCTTATATTACTATTTTTTGAACTCGTGGAAAATTACTTTTGTTTTAACTAATATATTTTATGGAAAAATTAATTAAATATATGTTAATAATAATGCATTCCGATGAAACTCGTGTCTTTAATTGAATTTAAAGATTTTTAAAGCAATTTATTATATTACTATTTTTAAAATTAAATAAATATTTGTAGATTGAATCAAATATCTACTTATTTACATGAACCATCTATATTTAAAATGATAATGATTTGATTTCAGTGTGTGGGAAGAGCAAAGACTTAAAAAATCAGGGGTTTCTTTTTTATTTTTATAATTAAATCAAATAAATAATTGCAGAGTTTAACATCTCTTTTAATTTTAATGAGTATGGTACAATTACATAATTATTAGTTTCATATTATAGTTTTTTTTTCTTTTTAAACATGGTTAACATAGTTTCCAAATTTGCAAAATCTGAATTTTCTTTGTCAAACACTATGCTAGGTTAATATCGTGATTTATAGGTAGACCTCAAATAATAAATATAATTTATTATTATTTTATCTTTTTCTATACATAAAAAATTGAATATATTTACAAATATATGTGCGAATTTACACTAACTCCCGAACTAACTTTACACCCCACTCATTCATTTATTTAATTATTTAACCAAATAACTACTTTTATTACTTATTCATTTCCTATTTGTATTTAACATTAAAAGGTATAATAAAAATGTATATAGCTATAAAATACCATTGGATTTTTTTAGCTCTTTTTTTTGTGTGTGTAATTTTAATATATAATGAAATGTTTCTTAAAATCAAAATTTTTATTTTTTTTTACCGTTTTAATTAAAAAGTTGAATTAGTATTTTACTTTCGACAAAATCAAGTACAATAAATTTATAAATGCATTCATATTTGGTTTTCTTATTATTTAAGAAATTTATGTATAAATGACAGTACCATGAAATTTTTGATATATTTATTTTTATCTCAATTTTATTATGATAATATAACCAGTGTTATTTAATATATTAGAAATATTATTTGTTTTAAATAATTTAATTTATAATAATTTTTTTGTAAAGGATATTTCAATAAATTTAAATGGTCTTTTTTTATTAAGTGTGCTACAATGATATAATTAGTCAATTAATGTATTTGATATATTATTTGTTTTAAATGAATGAAATTTTTTATAATTTTATTTTAAAATAACGTTTTAATAAATTAAAAAAAAAACTTAGTCTCTCTCTCTCTCTATATATATGTATAATTAGAAAATATCGTAGATAGATAGTATAATTGATATGTTATAATTTTTTTTAAAAATTGAGATATATTATTAAGTAATGAATACTCAAGTAATAAAGAATTGCTTACTTTTAAACTCGTAAAATTTTAAAATTATCGTAATGATATTTTATTAATTATAAGTGTAAAGTGTTTTGTTTTTATCAATGACATATATTATATCTTTTGTAAACTAATTTTACTAATCAAGTTACTTTGTCCAAATTAATTACATTTAAATATAATTTAGACTTATTTATTTTGTCCAATCAGCAATTTTGATCGTTAAATTTATATTTGATCGTATTTTGTAAAATCTAAAATTTAAGTCAAATCCTCAAGTTTTTTTTTATTTTCATATATTTCAATCAATTAAATTATTATTACGGTATTTTAAATCAATATGTTAGGTGTCTAATTTACTTAAACTAATATATATATATATATATATATATATATATATATATATATTTAGAATTTAACATAAATTAAAATTTTCGAAATGAAAATAAAATAAAATAAATGCCGTCATTTTAAAATAATAAGAAGTAGAAGAAAATCACAAACAAATAGAATTATATTTAAGTAAAATATTTTTTTAATATCTATATTTATATTGGAATAACGCGTCTCAGACACGGATCGTTGAAAGGAATAATGGAATATTCTCATCTCAATCTTCAATTTATCCTTTCGCGTTTCTTTTCCTCGATATTTGAGTGTTTTCTCTTGTCTTAAAGTTATAAAATTATCTTATGCAAAGGATAATCATTAGACAAGTTTTCTAATTATATCTTATAAAGTCATTCTAATGTGATTAAAAACTATGTTTAATCTCGCAATTACTTTAAAATTTAAATTTGTAAAATTGTAAACAAAATTTAAAACAACATCTAGAAAAAGTAATAAAACCAAAAATAAAAAGTCATACTCTTTTTATATTAATACAGTAAGACAAAATGTTATTTTGCTGATAAACACACACTATAATTTCTAACTTTACTGGGTAAACAAATTAAAGAAATTATCTTTAGAAAAATAAATGTCAAAATGCAAAAAGAAATCCTTTTAAGTCCCTTTCTTCCATACGTGTTGTGATTTGTGAGTTAAATGAAAAAACGTGATTAATTAATTCAAATTATTTGAAAGGAATTAACAGCGATGTATCCTTTCTCAATTATCTATTATTAGACTTGTTTGGAATAACACAAAGTCAAATAATAACATTTATTTTTTCAATTTTCCGTTAATCTTTTTCTATCATTATTATTATTAAATTATTAAATTCCATTGATACTTAAGACTTTCTAGTTCTCAACTGCGTAGCATATTGTTATTAATGTAAATAAATTTTGAATTCATTTTTTATAATTTATTCGGAAATGTTATCTTAAAAAACCTTCGAAAAATTAAATCATATATATGATTTTTTTTAATTTATTTTTTTATAATTTTTTCAAACAATCATTGTAAAATAATAAAATTATATTTCATATTTTATAATTCAAAATTAAAAAAATTATATGTTTTTTATTTATTAATCTGGATTTTTTTATATTTTTAATTTGAAATATTTCATAATATATTTTTGGATCCTTATTTATACAATTAAATTATTGTTTTTTAAATAAATATAAAAATACAGAAAGAAAAAAGGATGGTGCAGGAAGAAAGTGTTTAACTTGAAATGACGATAAGGCCCATAGTATTTTAACGTGGGCCTGAATCATAGAAGGGGATCCAATAACCTTAATTGGGCTATGTTTCGAATAGATTAAACGTTCAATCACAAGCGATGGGCCCTGTTGGTCACATATTTTAGCAAATGCTAAGATATCTAAATTACGATAACTACTTACTAAGGAAATTAAGAATATATTAAGTGATTAATAATTAAGAAATAAAAGAGCATTTTGATTCAGTATTTTGCCTTATAAGATATGAAAAATATTTTCTTAAAGAATAATTTGAATACAAAAGTTCATTTTTTAGTGGCAGAATAAATTCTACACATCAGGTTTAATACAATAATAAGATGATGTAGTAGAGATTAATCATTTTATTACGTGTATTTATTTATGCCCATAATTTTATTTCTCCCTTCATAAGATTATTTTAGAACACTTTTTTTCCTCCTAATTGTCTATTCCATGAACTATTTTGTTCTTAAAATATTCTTAATTAATTAATCTATTTTTAAGGAAAATAAAAATGTTTAAATTAATGAGTGTAAACTGTAAAGTAATTATAGATCACATTATGATAAATGGAACATGTTTATTCTTATGCATTTTCACAATTCTATATTAATTGTAAGTATATGATCTTTAGGTTGAATTTTTATTATTATTTTTTTATTATTATACTCTCTTTATATTTGTTTATAACTCAATATTCCGAAAATTGTACGTCTCTTTTCTTAATATTATATTTTTAATCATCTATTGTAGTGATTTTTTTTTGTTCATAAAATACTCTTAATTAATAAATAAAATTTATGAGCAAAAAGTAATAAATTTTCGGTTAAAATAAAGGAGAGGGATAGCCACAAGTTGCAAACATTATTATGTCTCCAAATACTAATGAATTAATTAGTTGATAATTAATCAAGATAAAAATAATGATTAATTTGAAAAAAATATCAAATGTATGTTTGAAAGAAGAGTACAAATTATTAATAAATTTAATGTCAATAACTAAATTTACCAATTTTATATAAAAGGGTGTGAAATGGGTAAAAGGATTTTTGAGCAAGGATAAAGCTTACCTAATATACTATAGTTTGTTTAATTAAATTTGGATTTTCGTCTTGAAATATTATAATACAATATGTAAGTTTTATATATAAATAATAAATGATAGTAAATTAGAATATATTACACTCATGAAAACAATAATTATATTAAATGTTACTAGATTATTTATAGTATGTCTAATAATTTTGTTATTATGATAAATTAGTTTAGTTGTGCTTTTTTTTTATGTCACCCCACACATTAAATACACACGTATAAATTATATAAAGAATAAAAGACAACAAAAATATAATTAATAAAAGAATAATTAAAGATATATTAAACTTTGAAAACAATAAACAACTAGAAACAAAATATCATAAAAGAAATATTGAATACATTAAATGAAATTAATAAAACATGTAAATGATTCATCAAACCTACCACTTCTGTTCAGCCATCATCAACAACACTAGGACAAGGCACCCATAACATTCAGGAGTGAAAAGACCTATATAAATTAAACGCTCATCCTTCACAAAATTCATCAATCACCCTCTCTTCTTCATTAAATATTCTCATCAAACGTACATTCACCCAAACATATCCATGGCTTATTATCCAACATCATTTCATCCATTCCTTGCCGCTACAATCATTTATATTTTTTTTCTTGTTTTATATTGCCCACCCATTGAAGCCAACAGTGATGTGGGATTCAGCGTTAACCTCATTCGAAAAACCTCTCCCCGTCTCTTCCCTCAGCGTCTAAGAGGTTTATCAGCCATGTCAGAAACTCCACAATCCCCAATAATTGCTGACCTTGGTGAGTATCTCATGGAGCTCTCTATTGGAACTCCACCATTCAAAATCTACGGTATTGCAGACACGGGCAGTGATCTCATATGGACCCAATGTGTCCCATGCAACAATTGTTACAAGCAACTTAACCCCATGTTTAATCCTCAAAAATCCTCCTCGTACAGCAACATATCATGCGACTCAAACCTGTGTCATGAACTTGACACAGGCGTGTGTTCTCCTCAGAAGCAATGCAACTACACTTATGGCTACGCATCTGATTCCACAACACAAGGCGTTTTGGCACAGGAAACTGTCACACTCACCTCAACCACAGGGAAAAGTGTTGCCCTTAAAGGCATTGTGTTTGGTTGTGGACACAACAACACGGGTGGTTTCAATGACCATGAGATGGGTATCATAGGCCTAGGAGGAGGACCAGTATCACTCATATCTCAAATGGGTTCTTCCTTTGGAGGCAAAAGGTTTTCACAATGCTTGGTCCCTTTCCACACTGATGTGAGTGTTTCCAGCAAAATAAGTTTTGGCAAAGGGAGTGAAGTGTCAGGGGAAGGAGTGGTTTCTACACCAATGGTTGCAACGCAAGATAAGACCCTTTATTTTGTGACCCTACTAGGCATCAGTGTGGGAAACACGTATCTGCATTATAATGGTTCTTCAGAAATTGTTGAGAAAGGTAACATGATCCTTGATTCAGGAACACCTCCAACTATGTTACCAACACAGTTGTATGATCGAGTGGTTGCTCAAGTGAGGAACCAGGTTGCCATGACACCTATTGTGGATGACCCTGAATTGGGTTCCCAACTTTGCTATCGAACAAAGAAAAATCTTGGTGGCCCTGTGTTAACTGCACATTTTGAAGGTGGAGATGTAGCATTGGAGCCACTTCAAACCTTCATTCCACCAAAAGATGGTGTTTTCTGCTTCGCTTTCACCAACACTAGCGATGATAGGGGGATTTATGGTAACTTCGCACAATCAAATTACTTGATTGGGTTCGATCTTGAAGCACAAGTGGTCTCTTTCAAGCCAAAAGATTGTACCAAAAACACATAGACCCTCAACGAATGCATATTTGCTTAGAGAGAAGGTTTTCAAAAGTTTCAATTTACTCTTAAGATTTGCATTCCATTTAGCTTGTAACAGCAAAAAACCCGAAACTTGTCTTTAGTATGATTTCCTTTAGAAATAAAATTGAATACATTCAAAATTTTAAAAAATTGTGTATGATTTATTTTAGAAATAAACTAAGATACATGTACAATTATTTAAAAAATAATTACTAAAAATTCATATTAAATTATTAAATGAAGTGATCCAATATTCTATTAATTAAATATGTTTTTTAAAATATTAAATTATTCAAATTATAAATTATTTAGTTTATTTAAAAAAAATAATTCTAAAAATATTATAAGGTTATTTTAAATTAAAAATTAATATTTTTTAAAATCTATAATCCAATATCTTTTTATTGAATTACGTGATAGGTTGGACAAAATCCAAACTGTGTACACTCCCAAAAAAATATAAGAATCTTATAATTATTTTATTAATATTATGAAAATTTACTACATTCTTTAGTTTCTCTATAAAAATTTTAAAAGAAAAAAAAAGAGAGAGAAAGGAGAATAAAAGTCGTTGAAATGCTCTAAAAACACGTTTGTTATTATTGGAATACCATAAAAACGTAACTTCATTTGGTATTACATTTAACTCAATTGGTTGAATAATAGTTTGAATTTTTAAACTCCATAACGTGTGTTTAATTCTGACAGATGAAAAAAAAAAGAATCACTGATAAAAATGTTATTGAAAATGGTTTTGAATGTTTTATTAATCAATATTAAATTTACAATAAACATAAAAGAGAATAACATTAATTACAATTAATAAGGAGATTATTTGTTGTTTTAAGAAATCAAAATTAATTAGATGGCTAAAGTTAAGTGCACATACGAAAGAATATAATATTCATTAGAATTAATGTATAACTTAACTTGGACAGATGGAAAAAACCCATAAATTAAATAATATTCTAAATAAAGTCAAAAGAAATAAAAAAAATATATTTTAAAATCAAGTTCTTTGATGCTAATAAATGTGTAAACTGCGTGTTGATCTTTACTATTTTACCTTTTTTTGGTGTGATATTTTATGTTTATGTTTTGTTGATTTGCTGATAAACACACACTATAATTTCTAACTTTACTGGGTAAGCAAATTAAAGAAATTATCTTTAGACAAATAAATGTCAAAAATGTAGTAAAGATGTATATTTATATATTTTTGTTAAAACACAGTTGTTGTGTTTGCTGTTGTCTTGTATATAATATTTATTAATTATATGGTTTTAGTTGAGTTGATGAATATTTTTTTTTCTCTCAATAAATTCTTTTTTTTTTAAATTAAATATTCTCTCCACATTTTTTTCTTGATTTAATCAATCTTGATTTTCATTAGAATTTTTTTTCTTTTAATCAAACTTCATGTAATCCATCCTTCTAATCCCTTCTATCTTCGTCCTGGAGAAAACCCAATCGTCATTCTTATAGTTGCGCTTCTCAATTAATCAAATTATTATCAGATGAGAACGTAAAATGATAATAACTTTAAAAATAAAGAATAAAAAAAAGTTTATATCAAGTAATTTTCCTTGTCCTTCACCTTCAGATCCTTTACACGATACATGACCACACTACAATCATATGGTCATCTCTTGGCTGACAAGATCCATTACTCCAACTATAAAACATTTTGTTATATGGATGGGAAATTGTAACAGAGATATGAAAAGATCTTCAAGATTGGATTAAATTTCGTGTAGCTGATTTACAAAACAAAATTCAAAGGTACAAATAAGGAAATTCATACGTTTCAAAGTACTCGTTTGAAAGTTACGTGGAATGAATTGTTGTATTTTGTCTTGCACATGCTTACCGTATTTTTGCACATGCTTACTTGCGTGTTCTTGTAACATTCTTGCCAAACTTCAAAAGGAAAGGGAAGACGACTACATTATACGATTTCTTCGTGGATTAACTGATAATTATTCTCAAATCCGTTCACAAATAATGTTAATGGAGCCTCTACCGTTCTTTTGTTAAGATCTTTTCTCTCATTTCTTAACATGAATGAAAGTTTTTTGACATTTTTTCAAACATGTCATCTCAAGATTCTAGTGTCTTTAATATTGTCACGAAGTCTTCCTCCATTTCCAACACAAAACATTCTCTTAGCAAGTCCTCTGGTTGTAACAACAAATATTGTGAGAATTATAAAAAATCAATCACACCATTAAAATTTATTACTGGTGTATTAATTTTCCTCCTGGCTATCTAAAGTCAAATTATAGCAATTCATCCACCATTGCTCCTTTAGTTAGTTTGGTCAATGTTGATGCTGATGCATCCTCACAATCTTCATCTCTGACACATAGTTTCAGTCAAGATCAATTTCACTTTTCCAAAGAGCAGTACCAAACCCTCTTAGCTCTCCTTCAACAACACAAGGATATTTCATCCCCCATCAACCACATGTCTACTTCTACTTCTAATCCAGGTGATAGTTTATGTTTTTCCTCTTGGATCTTGGACAGTGGACCAATAGACCATATATACCCGTCTAAATATTTTTTTTAACCTTTATATCCTATACAACCTATTCCAATCAAATTACCAAATCACACTACTGTTTTTTCTACTTTTTCTGACAATGTTCATCTTGGTTCTTTAATTCTTCATAACACACTTTATGTACCATAATTTGTTTTTCACTTAGTCTCTATCTCCAAACTCATTTCTACACTTAACTACATGATCTTGTTTTGAAACCTTCATTGTTTTATCATGCAAATTTCCAACTTACGGACGATTGGTGTAGCTAAACAAAAGAATGACTTATATTACTTGCACAAGTCCAATGACTTGAATTTGTTTAGTCATATGGCCACAAATTTTACTTCCATGCATTTTTCCTCTGTAATGAGTATTAACAATTCTCAATTGTGACACCTTCGACTAGGACACATGTCTCATAAAATGTTACAACATTTGTCTTCAAAATATACAAACATCATTTTTAATTCTTCATATCCATGTGATACTTGCCATTATGAAAAAAAAAAAATATTTGCCTTATCCTAATAGTAACAGTCGTAGTTCACATTTTTTTGAGTTAATACATGTTTATATGGGGTCCCATGACTCATACTTCAATTGATGGTTTTCAATATTTTTTTTAACGGTTGTTGATAACATCGTAAGGTTCACTTTGGTTCTTTTTTTACATAACAAATCTATGGTCAAAACTATTCTTCCATCTTTTGTTACCTTAATTAAAAATCAATTTTCTGTTAAACTCAAGAAAATCATATCCGATAATAGAAAACAATTTTTTCTTCATGATTTTTTCTCCACCAAAGGTGTATTACATGAACGAGAGTTTTTTGACATTTCTTCAAACATGTCATCTCAAAATTCTAGTGTCTTTAATGTTGCCACAAAGTCTTCCTCCACTTTCAACATGAAACCTTCTCTTGGAAAGTCCTCTGGTTGTAACTACAAATATTGTGAGAATTATAAGAAAATTAATCACACCATTGAAACTTATTACTGACTGATGAACCATTATTTTCCCGCATTTTCTTATCTTTATGTACTTATCTTAATTGGTGCATTGTGTTTAATTGTCTATTATTAGTGCATTTTCATTGATTGGGCTTCATTGGGCCAATAATTTAGATTTTAATTAATTCGGATCTATTTGATCTAATTTTTGCTCATTATTATTTTCAGGACAGTTTAAAGCAATTTTGGGCTTGGAAGATTAGATCAGATGCCATGCTAACTGTCCATTAGAATCAGTTTTTTTTTGTTTTTAATTTTTTATGTGTTTTGTGGGCTAGTTGAACCCAAACCTAGATTAAGATTAGGGTTAGGTTTATCCATATAAAGGAGAGGCAGCCAGATATCAAAGACACGAAGGAAAAACGCGAAGCCGCATTGCGCAGCCGACCTTTGCCTAGTGAGAAGGACATATCTGGAGCTACTACACTCCAAATTGGGCGATTCGAAGTGCGTTGTAAAGCTAAGAGGCAAGGCTACAATTGTCTCTCCCATGAGCATTGTTAAATTCCAATCATAAAGTGGCCAAAATTGAAGTCGAAAATTCACTACGAAATCTGCCCTGCATATGTCTCTTCTTTTGCGTTTTCGATTTTCCATGGATAGCTAAATCTTTATATTGATTTTCCGAAGAGAATGTAGTAGAACTTTGAGGTTTTGTTCTTCAATTTCATTTTGTTTGTTCTCTTAACTCTTCATCTTCTAATCTCAGTATTGAATTATAATCTGTTTATGCTTAATAAACCAAAACTTATATCACAGTTTGCTTAATTCTGTGTTAGATATGAGATTATGTGATGTATGCAATGCTTAATTGTATAAGGATAATTTGGGGTTAATCTTCGCTTAGTTGGTTAATTTCATGTTGGAATAAGGGTTAAAGCTAATTTGAGATTAATCTTCGCTTAGTTGATTAATTTTGGATTAGAATATAATTTGAGATTTATCTTCGCTTAGTTGGTTAATTTTGAATTAATTTTGTAATCTAGGATAAGTGACACTGCATTAGAATCAGAAAATCAATTGCATTTTAATCTGTTTTTAATCTGCATTTTTATAATTTACTTTTATTCTGTTTCACCTAATATTTTAATTTTGAAAAACTCCCTTTTTTGTTACTGTTCTAAATTAAAAAATTGATAAGCTTTGATAGAAATTTGTGGTCTTTGGGAGACGACCTAGGAAAGCTTCCTCGTACTACATTTATCTGTTTTAATTATTTGACCGAGTACGACCTCGATCATTGACGTATTAGTTTTTCTCCTGACTAACTAAAGTCAAATCATAACAATTCATCCACCATTGCTCCTTCAGTTAGTTTGGTCAATGTTGATCCTGATGCATCCTCACAATCTTCCTCTCTGGCAGATAGTTTCAACCAAGATTAGTTTCACTTTTTCAAAGAGCAGTACCAAACCCTACCCTTTTAGCTCTCCTTCAACAACACAAGGATACGTCGTCCCCTATCAACCACATGTCTACTTCTACTTCTAATCCAGGTGATAGTTTATGTTTTTCCTCTTGGATCTTGGATAGTGGAGCAACAAACCATATATGCCCGTCTAAATCTTTTTTTCAATCTTTACATCCTATACAACATATTCCAATCAAATTACCAAATCACACCATTGTTTTGCTACTTTTTCTGGTAATGTTCATCTTGGTTCTTTAATTTTTCATAACACGCTTTATGTTGTGCCCAAAGTGTGTGGGTATCCTCCAAAGTCCCACATCGAGTAGTTTAAAAAAAAAAGTGGTAGACTTCTATTATAAATAAGGAGTGATAATTTGGGTCTACTTACCACAATAATACTAATCTTTGGGTGTATTGAGGACTTGGGTAGTTGTGTGTCAAGAGATGATTTGTAATTTTTCTGTCCAAAAATTATATGAGAGAGTTTACAATTTTGTCCTTACAAAAATTGAAAGTTGAGAAATGAAGAACAATTGAGTATGTTAGTGGATGTAGACAAAAAGTGTCGAACCACGTTAATTTCTGAATTTGTTTCTCTATTTTTATTTCTCTCGTGTGTGTGCTTCCGCAAGTGAAGATTTATTTTTTCCTTTAGTACCCAACACTTTATGTACCAGACTTTGTTTTTCACTTAGTTTCTATCCCCAAACTCATTTCTACACTTAACTACATGATCTTGTTTTGTGACCTTCATTGTTTTATCATGCAAATTTCTAACTTATGAACGATGGGTGTAATTAAACAAATGAATGACTTATATTACTTGCATAAATCGAATGACTTGAATTTGTTTATTCATATGCCCACAAATTTTCCTTCCATGCAATTTTTTCTCTGTAATGAGTGTTGACAATTCTCAATTATGACACCTAGACTAGGGCACATCTCATAAAATGTTACAACATTTGTCTTTAAAATATACAAACATCATTTTTAATTCTTCATATCCATGTGATACTTGCTATTATGGAAAATTTTTTTTTTTTGCCTTATCCTAATAGCAAGAGTGGTAGTTGGAATTTTTTTTAAGTTAATACATATTTATATGAGGTCCCATAGGTCATACTTCAATTGGTTTTCAATATTTTTTCAACTGTTGATGATGACTTCACAATGTTCACTTTGGTTCATCTTTTACATAACAAATTTATGGTTAAAACTATTATTCCGTCTTTTGTTACCTTAATTAAAAATCAATTTTATGTTAAACTCAAGAAAATCATATTCGATAATGAAAAATAGTTTTTTCTTCATGATTTTTTCTCCACCAAAGATGTATTAATTCTTTAATAAAATGGTAATGCTCAGAGAAAATATCAACACCTTCTGAATATTAGTCGTGCACTTTTGTTTCAAGTTAAATTATCTTCAAAATTCTGGACATTTGTTGTCAAACATGTAATTTTGATTGCCACCTTCAAAATTAAACATGTAATATATACTCTCCAAATACTAATGAATTAATTAGTTGGTAATTAATCAAGATAAAAATAATGTAAATAATAGTAAATTAGAATATATTTATTACATTCATGAAGACAATAATTATATTAAATTTTATTTGATTATTTATATATAGTATGTCCAATAATTTTGTTATTATGATAAATTAGTTTAGTTGTGCATTTTTTTATTTCACCCCACACATTAAATACATATGTACTATAGATTATATAAAGATTAAAAGACAACAAAAATATAATTAATAAAAGAGTAATTAAAGATATATTGAATACATTAAATGAAATTAATAAAACATGTAAATGATTCATCAACCTACCACTTCTGTTAAGCCATCAACACACACTAGGACAAGACACCCATAACATTCAGGAGTGAAGACCTATATAAATTAAACACTCATCCTTCACAAAATTCATCATCAATCACTCTCTCTTCTTTAAATATTCTCATCATACATACATTCACCCAAACACATCCATGGCTCATTATCCAACATCATTTCATCCATTCCTTGCCGCTACAATCATTTATATTTTTTTTCTTGTTTTATATTTCTCACCCATTGAAGCCAACAGTGACGTGGGATTCAGCGTTAACCTCATTCGAAAAACCTCTCCCCGTCTCTTCCCTCAGCGTCTAAGAGGTTTATCAGCCATGTCAGAAACTCCACAATCCCCAACAATTGCTTACCTTGGTGAGTATCTCATGGAGCTCTCTATTGGAACTCCACCATTCAAAATCTACGGTATTGCAGACACGGGCAGTGATCTCATATGGACCCAATGTGTCCCATGCAACAACTGCTACAAGCAACTTAACCCCATGTTTAATCCTCAAAAATCCTCCTCGTATAGCAACATATCATGCGACTCAAACCTGTGTCATGAACTTGACACAGGCGAGTGTTCTCCTCAGAAGCAATGCAACTACACCTATGCCTACGCATCTGCTTCCATAACACAAGGCGTTTTGGCACAGGAAACAGTCACACTCACCTCAACCACAGGGAAAAGTGTTGCCCTTAAAGGCATTGTGTTTGGTTGTGGACACAACGACACGGGTGGTTTCAATGACCATGAGATGGGTATCATAGGCCTAGGAGGAGGACCAGTATCACTCATTTCTCAAATGGGTTCTTCCTTTGGAGGCAAAAGGTTTTCACAATGCTTGGTCCCTTTCCACACTGATGTGAGTGTTTCCAGCAAAATAAGTTTTGGCAAAGGGAGTGAAGTGTCGGGGGAAGGAGTGGTTTCTACACCATTGGTCGCAAAGGAAGATAAGACCCCTTATTTTGTGACCCTACTAGGCATTAGTGTGGGAAACACGTATCTGCATTATAATGGTTCTTCAGAAATTGTTGAGAAAGGTAACATGTTCCTTGATTCAGGAACACCTCCAACTATCTTACCAACACAGTTGTATGATCGAGTGGTGGCTCAAGTGAGGAACCAGGTTGCCATGACACCTATTGTGGATGACCCTGAATTGGGTTCCCAACTTTGATATCGAACAAAGAAAAATCTTGGTGGCCCTGTGTTAACTGCACATTTTGAAGGTGGAGATGTAGCATTGGAGCCAATTCAAACCTTCATTCCACCAAAAGATGGTGTTTTCTGCTTCGCGTTCACCAACACTAGCAGTGATGGGGGGATTTATGGTAACTTTGCACAATCAAATTACTTGATTGGGTTTGATCTAGAAGCACAAGTGGTCTCTTTCAAGCCAAAAGATTGTACCAAAAACACATAGACTCTCAATGAATGCACATGGCTTTTGCTTAAAGAGAAGGATTTCAAAAGTTTCAATTTACTCTTAAGATTTGCATTCCATTTAGCTTGTAACAGCAAAAAAACCGAAACTTGTCTTTGGTATGATTTCCTTTAGAAATAAAATTGAATACATTCAAAATTTTTAAAAAATTTTTATGATTTATTTTAGAAATAAACTAAGATACATGTACAATTATTTAAAAAATAATTACTAAAAATTCATATTAAATTATTAAATGAAGTGATCCAATATTCTATTAATTAAATATGTATTTTTAAACTATTAAAATGTTAAATTATTGAAATAATAAATAATTTAGTTTATTTAAAAAAAAAGAATTCTAAAAAAATATTAAAAGTTAAATTAAAAAATTAATAACAAATATTTAAAAAAAATCTATAATCCAATTAATTCAATATCTTTTTATGGAATTACGTGATCGGTTGAACAAAGTCCATCTAATCCAAACTGTTACACTCCAAAATATATATATATATATATATATATATATATATATATATATATATATATATACATAAGAATCTTAAATTATTTTATTAATATTATGAAAATTTACTATATTCTTTAATTTCTCTATAAAAAATTTAAAAGAAAAAAGAAAAAAAGAGAGAAAGAGAATAAAAGAGAGAAAGAGAATAAAAGTCGTTGAAATATCTCTAAAAACACGTTTGTTGTTATTGGAATACCATAAAAAACGTAACGTCATTTGGTATTAACTCAATTAGTTGAATTATAGTTTGAATTGTTAAACTCCATAACGTGTGTTTAATTCTTACAGATGAAAAACAAATAAGAGAATCACTGATAAAAAATGTTATTGAAAATGGTTTTGAATGTTTTATTAATCAATATTAAATTTACAATAAACATAAAAGAAAATAACATTAATTACAATTAATAAGAAGGAGATTTTTTTTTCAAGAAATCAAAATTAATTAGATGGCTAAAGTTATGTGATAATATTCATTAGAATTAATGTAAAACTTAACTTGGACAGATAGGAAAAAACACATAAATTAAATAATATTCTAAATAAAGTCAAAAGTAATAAAAGAAAAATATATTTTAAAATCAAATTGTTTAATGTTAATAATTGTGTAAAAAATACCTTTTTTAGTGTGATATTTTTCACTTATATCTTAAAATTGTTTATAGAAATGAGAGAAAGTTATCTACTTTTCATCCATGTGTTTGATTGTTCCTTTCTAAGACATCATGGTCAACCTTGTCTGGTTTAATTTTTGCGTTTTTGTAGTGTACACGTTCTTATGTCAAACTCCAATGGAAGCTAACAATGTAGGGTTTAGTGTTCAACTAATCCACAAGAACTCACCCAATTCTCCCTTCTACAATTCAGATAAACTTCATATGCATAAAAATGGCATATTTTATCAAGTTCCTAAGAAATCAAATGCCCCAAATAGTCCCTTCACTAGAGTCACATCCAATAATGGTGATTATCTCATGAAGCTACCATTGGGAACACCACCAGTGGATGTGTATGGTTTGGTTGACACAGGCAGTGATCTTGTATGGGCACAATGCACACCTTGCCAAGGTTGTTATAAGCAGAAAAATCCATTGTTTGACCCCATAAGGTCCAAAACATACACTCCTATTCCATGTGATTCAAATGAGTGCAATTTAGTCTTTGATCATTCATGCTCTCCTCAAAAACTGTGTACTTATGGTTATTCTTATGCTGATTCTTCAATAACAAAAGGGATGCTAGCAAGGGAAACTGTCACATTTAGTTCAACCAGTGGAGACCCTGTTGTTGTCAAAGACATTGTGTTTGGGTGTGGACACAACAACACAGGAAATTTCAATGAAAATGATATGGGGATCATTGGGCTAGGTGGGGGACCTTTATCACTAGTTTCACAAATTGGTAAACTTTATGGGAGCAAAAGGTTCTCTCAGTGCCTGGTTCCTTTTCATGCAGATCCTCACACTTCAGGTACCATTAGTTTTGGTAATGACAGTGATGTTTCTGGTGAAGGAGTAGCCACAACTCCTTTGGTCTATGAGGAAGGTCAAACCCCTTATTTGGTCACACTGGAAGGTATAAAGTGTTGCACACAAATTTGTTCCTTTTAATTCTTCAAAAGTGATATCCAAGGGGAATATCCTGATTGATTCAGGTACACCAGCAACATATTTACCACCAGAATTTTATGACCATCTAGTGGAGGAATTGAAGAAGCAGATTAATCTACCACCCATTGATGATGATCCAGACTTGGGCACACAACTTTGTTACGAAAGTGAGACAAATTTGAAAGGGCCAATCTTGACTGCTCATTTTGAGGGTGCAGATGTGAAATTGATGCCAAGTCAAACCTTCATCCCACCAAAAGATGGAGTATTTTGCTTTGCAATGGCTGCAACTACTGATGGATTATATATATTTGGCAATTTTGCTCAATCAAATGTTTTGATTGGATTTGATTTAGATAGAAAGACAGTTTCCTTCAAGTCAACAGATTGCAGCAAGCAGTAGAGATAAATTTCATGTAATTTTTGTGAAGTAAGAATAATTAGAATAAATGACATTTTGTTGTAAGTAAAAAAGTATTCACAATATGAAAATATATTCTGAGATGCTTAATGAAGTAACTTTATACAACTCTTTCTTAGATAGAATTGATAATCAAAACTGAAGTATTATATAGTCAAAGTTAAAATATAACTACTAAATTTTAAAAAAATATATAAATCAAACCCGTGAACAAGAATTTTGATGGGAATTTTTATAGAAACTTTTATTTCATACATCCAAGTGAAGACAATTGATCATATCAAAATTTTGTTGAACCTTTTGTAGGTTAGTCACTCACGGACTACGGTGGCTCGTGGCTCGTAATCACACAAAGTTTTCGCTTTATCACATCTTGTCTCATGCATTTGTTTGGTGTGCTCAACTTAACACTTTACAAATATTTTAATGTAAATTTTACAGTTATTTAAAACCAGTAAAAGTTGTTTATGTAAATTATTTTTACCTCAACTAATTTCGTGTATCAAAATAATATTTTTTAGCAATTTTCATTAAAAATATAGTTTTGAGTTTGGCTAACTACTTGCGTTTTTAGTCATAACATATAAACTCAGAATGGAGGGTATCGGTTATAAGAAATATAAAGGAAAATACAAAAGAAAAACAGAAAAGGAAAAGGAGAAATAGGAAGAGTAGTCATGCCATTGATTTAGGATTTAGTAGTCGTGTCATTGACGCATTTTAGCTGTACATTTATTGTTAGTTGTTGTTTAGGTTTGGTTGGTAGGTTGGTGTAGCTGAGTTTGACTTTATATCATCCTTGTGCATATCCTTGTTTTTATTTTCTATTACTTAGTACTTGTAGTCCATGTGGCATTAACATGGAAAATCTTTGAATGCAAATGTGCAAAATAAAGCAAGGTATGAATTAACATGGCTGATGCTAGGAAGAGAAAAGTATTTTCTGGAACTTTTATCACAGAAATCACTCACATGCTGCTACTGTCTATTTCTTGTGACTAACCCCTACCAACTTTACCCTTCACATTGCACTTATATATAAATGAAATCAACTTCTCTACTTTTCACATGACTTTGTCCCAAACTTCATGGCCAACGTTCTCTTCTTCCATATGTGCTTTTTTGTACTATTTATATTGCTATGTCAAACATTAACAGGAGCTTACAACTCCGGGTTCAGTGCTCAATTAATTCGCCAGAACTCACCCAACTCTCCTTTCTACAAATCTGATAAACTTCATATGCATAGACTTGGCTTATTTTACCAAGTTCCCAAGAAATCATATGCCCCAATTGGTCCCTTCGCCAGAGTCACATCCAACAATGGTGACTATCTCATGAAGCTCACATTGGGGACACCACCCGTGGATGTGTATGGTTTGGTTGATACAGGCAGTGACCTTGTGTGGGAACAATGTACACCTTGCCAAGGCTGTTATAAGCAGAAAAATCCAATGTTTGAGCCTCTCAGGTCAAAAACATACACTCCTATTCCATGTGATTCAGAAGAGTGTAATTCACTTTTTGATCATTCGTGCTCTCCTCAAAAACTGTGCACATATAGTTATGCTTATGCTGATTCTTCAGTAACAAAAGGGGTGCTTGCAAGGGAAACTGTCACATTCAGTTCCACCAATGAAGAATCGGTTGTTGTTGGAGACATTATATTTGGGTGTGGACACAGCAACTCTGGAACTTTCAATGAAAACGACATGGGGATGATTGGACTAGGTGGGGGACCTCTGTCACTTGTTTCACAATTCGGTAAACTGTATGGAAGTAGAAGGTTTTCTCAGTGCCTGGTTCCTTTTCATGCAGACCCTCACACTTCAGGTATCATTAGTTTTGGTGATGCCAGTGATGTTTCTGGTGAAGGAGTAACCACAACTCCTTTAGTCTATGAGGAAGGTCAGACCCCTTATTTCGTCACACTAGAAGGCATAAGTGTTGGAGACACATTTGTGCCATTTAGTACCTCAGAAATGCTTTCCAAGGGAAATATAATGATTGATTCAGGTACACCAGCAACATATTTACCACAAGAACTTTATGAGCGTCTAGTGGAGGAATTGAAGGTGCAGAGTGGCCTATTACCCATTGATGATGACCCAGATTTGGGCACACAACTTTGTTACAGAAGTGAGACAAACTTAGAAGGACCAACCTTGACTGCTCATTTTGAGGGGGCAGATGTGCAATTGATGCCAATACAAACCTTCATCCCTCCAAAAGATGGAGTATTTTGCTTTGCAATGGCTGCCGCCATTGACGGAGAATATATATTTGGCAATTTCGCTCAATCAAACATCTTGATTGGATTTGATTTAGATAGAAAGTTGGTTTCTTTTAAACCAACTGATTGCAATAATCAGTAGAGAGGTCATTTTATTGTAACTGATGGTAACATCTATCATTTGAGTTTGAGTTTGAGATGTAACATCTATATTTTGAGTTTGAGATGTAACATATTAAGATTTACCAAGTACCAATATGAATATGAAATTTTTCTTGATGGGCATCTCAGAGTTAACTACACAACCTAAATGAATGGTAGAGGGGATGATTTACAAGTTTGGCTTTAAACCACGATGCAAGCAAAAAGATCAAACAGAATTCAGTCTGCACAGAATTACCTTTACAATGACTTGGTGGAATGTTATGAGATTTCACCAGTGCCTACAAGAACGAAAGAACCTTGTGTGCCGTAGCATATGTAAAACATTATGTAGTTTTTCTACGTTCTTAATTCATTATGGAAAACTACTCTACAGGATCTTTAGATTATTGATTTTCACAACATAACATACATGAATCATAATAAGAGAACTAACCTTGATCCATGAAAATCTATTCTTTAATCTTCTCGTTCTCCAATCTCCTTTTTCCCAATCTATCTCTTTGTCTTTCTTTTTCTTCTCACGCTTCGCTTTCTTGATGTTTTACCGTGAAAAACTTTATGACCAGAGACAGAACCCTTATTCCATTCAATTAACCAACGTCCATCAAGTTGGTTACCGTAAGTTAATATTTTATTTTATCTTTATTTTATTCTAACTTCACATAATAACCAATAGGTCCTCATATTTTATTAAATCACATTTGGGCCCATTATTATATTTCACATGAGTCACATAATGGAATGAATTAATTAAATTAATTCTAACATTCTCCCACTTGACTCATGTGATGTCATATGATTTTGTGATTTAATACTTAAGTCATAATGCGCATTAAAGGACCTTACATAAATTGGTTCTATCATCATTCATAATTAAAGATACAACTATAACAAGAGTCATGGCGGTTACATGTCATTCAATCGACATGCTCCCTTCCATGTACCACTATATTATCTCTTTCTCCTTAATATGACTTTATAATGAGAAGTCCATAGTGGGTTCAAACATAATATCATTTTAATAATAATAACATAATTTGTTTTCTTCATCATAATTTGCATGCATATAAATAAAGAAGAAAACACAAATTTCAGAAACTTATACGTTAAAGATCTCAGAGTGTCACATAAACATTAATAATAACATTAACATTCAACATTCACTAGTGATCATAATACCCACATTCATTATATGGCCAACAAATAATTTGGGCGATAATCCCTTTGTTAAAGGATCAACAATCATAAGATTAGTGCTAGTATGTTCTATTGACACTCAACATTTCTGAACTTCTTCTTTAACGACAAAGTATTTCAATTCTATATGCTTAGCACCTTTAGAATACTTGTCGTTCTTAGAAAAGAAGATTGCTGCGGAATTGTCACAATAAATTTTCAGCGGCTTGGCAATGCTGTCGACTACTCCAAGTCCTGAAATAAAATTCCGCAACCAATTAGTTTGAACTGTGGCCTCAAAGCATGCCACAAATTCAGCTTCCATGGTGGATGCAGCAATGACAGACTGCTTCGCACTTTTCCATGAAATCGCTCCTCCGGCTAAAAGATACACAACCAAATGTAGACTTTCATGTATCCATACAACCAGCAAAATCTGAATCTGTATATTCAATCACCTCAAGGTGATCAACTTTCCTATAAGTAAGCATGTGATTCTTTGTTCCTTGTAAGTATCTTAAAACTTTCTTTGCAGCCTTCAAATGATCTAGTCCAGGATTACTCTGGTATCTACCAAGCATACCAATTGCAAAGCTAATATCTGGCCTCGTACATGTTTGAGCATACATCAAACTCCCAACAACAGATGCATAAGGGATATTTTCCATCTCGTTTCCATTCCAAGTCATTCTTTGGACATTTCATGAGACTAAACTTGTCTCCTTTCCGTATTGGAACGGGAGATGCTCGAACACTTCTCCATTCTGAATCTCTCTAAAACTTTATTAATATAAGCTTTCCGAGACAAACCTAACGAGTCCTTGTGATCTATCACGGAATATTTCTATTCCTATCACATAGTATGTCTCACTCATATCTTTTATTTCAAAGTTGTTAGAGAGAAAATTCTTAGTCTCAATTAATAGACCAAGATCATTAGTCACAAGCAAGATATCATCAACATACGAGAATCGAAATATAAACTTACTCCCACTAACCTTCGAGATATATGCATCGATCAACGAGTGTTTTCCTTAAATCCAAAGGACAAAATAGTATCATTGAACTTAAGATACCATTGTCGAGAAGCTTGTTTAAGTCCATATATTGATTTCTTAAGTTTACACACCATATGTTCCTTTCCTTCTTCAATAAACCCCACTTGGTTGATTCATATAAACATCCTCCTCTAAATTTCCATTCGAAAGCAGTTTTAACATCCATTTGATGCAACTCAAGATCATAATGAGCTACTAATGCCATGATAATTCTAAAGGAATCTTTCTTAGAAACAGGTGAAAATGTTTCCTTATAATCAATGCCGTCTTTCTGAGTAAAACCTTTGGCAACAAGTCGGGCCTTGTAACGTTCGATATTGCCATGAGAGTCACGCTTAGTCTTAAAGACCCATTTACACCCAACACTCTTACATCCTTCTGGCAATTCCACAAGATCCCATACACCATTATATGTCATTGATTTAAGCTCATCTTTCATAGCATCTAACCATTTATCGGAATTATCACCATTAATGGCATCCGAAAATGAAACTGGTTCATTATTAATACTTAGGTCATTTTCTGACTCTTGTAGATAAACCACATAATCATTCGAAATAGCGAGACTTTCTTTCTCCGTGAGATCTTCTTAATACTATTTCCTATAGTTGTTCTATTATCGGATCATTGTTAATCGCAGGATCATTAATTTGTTGTTCTTCTTGATTGTCGTGTGATTCTACAACATTTGGAACAACAACTCTTGAAGATGTACTAGTTATTGGAACTTGTACTCTAACTTCCTTAATCTCCACATTTCGTGAAACTTCACTCCCACTCGGTTTCACCATTTTCAATGAACCGAGCATTTCCGGTTTCAACAATTCTTGTACTATGAGTAGGACAAGTAAAACATATACCCCTTTGATTTTTCTGGATAACCAATGAAATATCCACTCGATTATTCTTGCATCCAGTTTCTTTTCTTGCGGATTATAAATTCTTACTTCATCGACTACCCCAAACAAGCGAGTGTCTCAAACTAGGTTTCCTACTTTTCCATAACTCAAAAATCTTTTGAACAACTTTACTAGGAACCCTGTTCAACAAATACATGATAGTCTTTAAAGCATACATCCACAATGATACAGGTAAACATGAATTACTTAACATACTCCTAACCATATCAAATCATAGAAGTACGCTTAAACAAACTGAAACAACCATTCCCAAACTTAAAAGAGTATCCAACAACATCAAGCTTAGACAAATAAACTAAATTTTTAATGATACTAGCTACATAAAAAGTATTCATAAGGTCTAAGTGATATCTAGTGTCAAGGATTAAACGATAAGTCCCGACAGCTTCCACTAGAACCTTGACTTTATTCCCCATGAAGACGAACTTCTCATTTGGGTTTATGGTTCGGGTTGAAAGGAATCCTTGCATTACATTAGAAACATGAGTCGTACATCCAGAATTAATCCACCAAGTATTATGGGGAACTTCAGTTAAATTTGATTCAAAACATACATAAGCACTGTGCTCACCTTTCTTTTCGAACCAAGCTTTACGCTTTAGGCAGATCCTTCCGAAAATGTCCAGACTTCCCGTGAAATGACATTTGTCATTTTTCTTCCGAATGTTAGTAGAGGACTCGTTAATCTTTAATGGTCCTTTACCATTTCCATGTTTCTTAACAACTTTCTTTTTAGCTCCTTGATTTTTTTTTTTTCACGTAATGAATAGAGTGACTTCCTAGGTTCTTGAGTCCGGTCTCCTCCTGAACTAACATACTGTGCAATTCATGCACATTCCATTTGTCTTTCATGGTGTTATAATTCATCTGAAACGGACCATACTCAGGCGGTAACGAATTCAAAATGAACTGCACAAGAAATGTTTCTTCCACTGCCATTCAAAGAGACTTGAGTCTTGCTGCGATATTTGTCATTTCGATTACGTGTTCATGCATACTACGAGAACCATCAAACTTCATGGTGGTCAACGTACTAATCAATGTCCCAGCGAGGGATTTGTCAGCAGTTTGAGAGCGCTCTTCCACAAATTTCATAAACTCTTTCGCATCCTCAGTTTTGGGAAGAGCACACTTAATATTGCTTGCTACACTCATTCGCATAAACATAAGGCTAAGTCTGTTTGATCTTTCCCAAGCTCTATAATGAGTTTTCTCTTCATTACTACTGACATCAGTGATAGCAACCGGTTTTTCAACTTGGAAAGCCAAATTAAAATCCAACTCACCTAAGTGAAATTGGACTTTCTCACTCCAGTCAGGGAATTTAATCTATTAAAGACTGGAACAGACGAAGTAAGCGAATGTAGAAATACATAAACAAATACTTCAATTAACACATGTCTAACATTAACGCTTTGAGTCATAAAAACTAAATATAAATACAGATTCAAACATAAATAACCATTCTATGCATACTAATGTTCTCCTTTGGGAGATCCACTAATACACAAACATAATTACGCTAATCAATTTATAACTTTAATGATAATTAAAATATGCATCAACTAGAATCACCTAACACCTTTGGGTATATAAATAAAACTAGTGACGCACACAAAATTATCTACTTTCATGTTCATTAATTATAATAACAACTAATCAACCTTTGGGTGATCCCGAAATGCCTTATAATAATGAACTTCAATTAACCCATAAATCATTATTCATAATTTTAGCGTTCATATTATGGGTAATTGAAATAAAATCATTAATAATTTGAAATCAAAATAACCTTAAAATTGTGGCCACTTTGGTGACTAACAAAATTTATCATGCTTAATTTCAAATAAATAACATCTTTAATTGCTATTAAACATTCATAGCATTTTTTTTTATTAATTTTAATAAATATGTATATTATTCACATAATAAAATATTATGTGTCATGAATAAAATTGAAACTCATAATTTCAATTTTCATCCTAAGATTGATTTTCAATCCAAGACCTTTATTTGCATTTCACGTAAAAGTGAAATTGTCATCCATTCAAAACTTTTATGAGTAATTTAAACACAGGGAAACAATACAATTGAGTTTGCAAAACAAGATTCATTCATTTATCAATGTTTACATTATAGGTACATTAACAAAGCTTCCCAAGTACATTAACAAAACATTATATTAACAACCTTAACAAAGCTTCACAAGTACATTAACAAAACAAGTATATTAACAACCTTAACAAAGTTTCACAAGTACATTAACAACCTTAACAAAGCTTTACGAGTACCTTAACAAATTTACAGTACCCATAACAAAGCTTTATAGTACCCATAACAAAGTTTTACGAGTACCCATAACAATATAGTACCTATAACAAAGTTTTACCGTACTCTACAAGTATGAGTATATTATACAACTCACTTTAACATAAAAATAACTCTTTAATTATCCTTCCCCCACATAAAAAAATATGTACGTACAAAATAATGTACAAATAATATGGGGACAAAATAATATAGGGGAAAATGGCTTTAGCAGATCATCAGATCACCAATATGTACATACAAAATAATATTATAAATAATATAATATAATATATGAAACATATGTGTTTAACACGTGCTCTCTACGTGCAAAGTTTATCAACTTTACGGTTTATCATTCTTCCATCATAATTATAACATCTCATCATAATTATAACATCTCATCATAATTATAACATACAATGAAACTAATTTCATACATGATTCATCCTAACCCTATCACGTCATTTGCTTTTCAATTAGAAAGGATTACGGGGTCATTCATGCATAGGGACTATAAAATTGGTTTCAATTTGAACTTGAAAACATAATTAGGGTTTATTCCTTTATTTAATTTTGAGAAAAATAAAATTGGGAATAAATTAGGGTTCATACTAATCGATAGAGAAATTCCTAAATTCATAATTAGGGTTTATCTTAATTTGGGAAAAACATCATTTGAGAAATATTTTCATAAAAGGAAAATCATAAATCTAATAATCGAGCTCCGATACCACATGTAAAACATTATGTAGTTTTTCTACGTTCTTAATTCATTATGGAAAACTACTCTACGGGATCTTTAGATTATTGATTTTCACAACATAACATACATGAATCATAATAAGAGAACTAACCTTGATCCATGAAAATCTATTCTTTAATCTTCTCGTTCTCCAATCTCCTTTTTCCCAATCTATCTCTTTGTCTTTCTTTTTCTTCTCACGCTTCGCTTTCTTGATGTTTTACCGTGAAAAACTTTATGACCGAGATGTAACCCTTATTCCATTCAATTAACCAACGTCCATCAAGTTGGTTACCGTAAGTTAATATTTTATTTTATCTTTATTTTATTCTAACTTCACATAATAACCAATAGGTCCTCATATTTTATTAAATCACATTTGGGCCCATTATTATATTTCACATGAGTCACATAATGGAATGAATTAATTAAATTAATTCTAACAGCATATGCCTGGATTAAACTTATGTTTGTTTCTACCCACAGAAACATTACAAAACGAAGAAATATATTAATTTCACGATTTTAATGTACAAAATTATAAAATTAGGATAAAATTTCATTTTCTTTCGTTCGAGAAAAACAATGAAATTTTAAACAATTAAATAATCAATTCTGTTCAAATTTTTTTAATTAATATATTAAATAATAAATAAAATTATTAATGATATATAAATCTATTTTTAACTTTCTAGTCTTTTTCTTTAATCAAACAACCTCACTTTTATTCTTTCTCTTTTTTCATTTCTTTATATTCATCATTCAATCTAAATATAGACTAAAAGTTGGTTAGGTGATCTCGTGATAGAATCATGTACATTTTTTCTTTTAATCTTAGCCATTAAAAATAAAATAAAATAATGGTATATAGTTTTAGTTTTCATTTTGCACCAGAACAGAGTTTCCATTTAATAACTTTTTCTCTATATGTATGTATATGGTATGGATCCGTTAACATACATTCATCATATTTTAGAAAATGCATTTTTATCTTAAAATACACTCAATGTCTACCTTGTTAAAACACTATTTCTAAAAAACAAATGAGTGTATCTTGTGAGGAGATAGATATCATATAGGAGGAGATTTCCATACTACAGCTTTTGGTGCTGGGAACCTTTTCTCTACCATCTGCATTCAAGTGTCTATCGAGTGTCTACTGAGTAAAAAAAATAGAAGTTCAAGAAATCTCAATTCATGGGGTTAAAAATGCCGCATGGAATTAGCTCTTCAGTGAAAGGCTGAATCATGTACAAACCATAATCAATAGACAGAGGTAAAAGTTCCCTTCCCACACTCTCCAACTGAGATTTGGAGTATTTCTTTGCCAGCTTGGCTTTGCCGACAACAGAGACGTCTTGGAACCTAGGACAACAAAACAATGGAATCAAGAAGTGACATTAAGATTGAAAACTGGTAATGACATCATATAGAATGCTTTACTGCTGTAAAACATACCAGATGCCAATTCTTTCTCAAAGGTTGCACTGCTACCTGGATCTCCCCCACATTGCGCAGGGGAGGAAAGTGAGGAAAGCATAAAATTCTCCTTTTGAAATCATCTTTATCTCTACCCCGAACATATGAACCCCAAGAAGCATTACCCTCTCTTCTAGTATCTTTCAAGAAGAATAAAGTGGGAGCTTTACAAACAGATTTGTATGGTTCCCTAGCATCAAAGTCAAATTCATTCGCATGGCTATTACCATTCCAGGCAGAGTAAGTTCTTTCAGAGCGCTCCAGTTCACGGGGAAAAACAATGTTAGGCAGGACTTGAACAACATAACCAAGTGACACCGAAAATGTTAGATGTCGTGCATCATCGTAGCATATAGAGCGCTGCAAAAAGCTTTTGGGATCGGCTTTCATGGCCTTTGAAAAAAGTTTCAGGCTGTCCAAAGAGCTCAGGCCAGGATAAATGGGATTTACAGCTTCAACATGATGAATTGACACAAATGGTGCTATTGGGTGAGAGGATAGAAGACCATGAGCGTTACCTCTTATATCCCACTGAAAGATTAAATAAAAAATTGATCCTGATCATTTACAAATTCCAATGATAAAATGGCTGGATGATAATTATACTGTACATCTGACAATTTTCCTTTCTTAGAATGGAGAGAAACTGTAAATTGAATACAATAAAATATGTGGATCAAAATTAAATGGAGTAAAATGGATCCACAAAATACCTGGTGAAAACCACGCTCCCATGTCAGTGGAATGCCAAGTTCAGTGATACAGGCGTGCAATCGATCATCACTACCATAAAGCTTTGGATACCTCTCAATGCATTCGTCAAGAATCTCAGAGAGTGCCTTTGCAAGTGGTTGACTTATTGCAATCCCACCACCACCGAAGGCCATTGAGTGGCTGAAATAGGAATTAGCTGAATGGCTCTCCGAGGGGCTACCTATATAAATCATTTCAGAAGAATTATACTTGCTGAGAACGTCAACTAGGTTATTCACATTGAAGATGGTATCATCATCACAGAGGACAAACCAGCGCACATCAGAGAGGCCGAGGCGAAAGCTCTCTCTGACAATGCGAGAAATCCGGAGGCCAGAAGGGTGACCAATGGGATTAGTGTAGCGGAAATATGAGATGTCTTCAGAAATCATGATAGGGGGCAATAAATCATCTTTAGGTTCTTCAAGCACTTGTTCCTCTAACCACACATGACCACGCATGTCATTAGGACGCCACCACAATTTGATATATTCCTTCCTTCGTTTCCAAAGCTGAGATGATCCTGCTATCCCAAAAACGATATGTTTGAGTGAAAAACCTTCCTGTTGAACAATAATGCTACCATTATGAAGATGATCTTTCATGGTTCCAAATTGGAGAGCAGGAGGGGGTGTTACTTTTGCATGGCAATGAGAAATGCACTTCTTCCAATTGAAAAAATGGGGTCTACTTTCCTGATCCTTTAAACGGTGAAAGCAACAGGTAGTTGCATCAGAGAACACAAGGGAAAGCCAGGCAGTAGTAGATATGAGAAGTGCCGCTATGGCTATAGCCAAGGTTCCAATGCGGCCTTGGCACCACTGACGGCTTCTGGGCCTGACCATAGGCAAAGGACATAAATGGGAGTTCTTGTCATAGTCATGATAGGATGACACAATGGTCTTCAAAGTTTGAGTCATCATTACCATCATTCCAATTTGCATGTCTGCCTCTCACCACCAGGAGAGACACGGTAAAAGGCCAAAGGAAAACTACACACAGGTATTCAGCTCAGCAGCAACAGCAGCACACACCCCAACCAAACTTGTGGCACCCTACAAAAAGAGAAAATAAACAGGAAAATGTTCCAATTAAATGCATCATTTAGGATCCATTTGTTTTTGTGGAAAATGGCCATTTTTAGAAATTTTTGCAGAAAAATAAACACCCCCCACCAAACTTGAGACATTTTGCAAAATGAGAAAAATGTTCATTGCATGATTTAGGATTCATTTGTTTGGGTGGACAATTATAATGTTCTGAGAAGATTTTCTAGGAAATGAAACCTTTTTTTTTTTTTTCATATCAACTCACCCTCCCCACCCCTCCCAGAAAATTGTATAAATCAAATATGTTCCCATTAACACAAGAATCCACGCCCAGGCAGAAAGCATGTAGCCTCAAATAATCTACTAAAGGTCATTGAGAAATAAAGATTTAACTGGATAAATCCTGAAGTTCAATTGTTAAACAAACTAAAATATGGAAAGCAAGTGCTAAAACAGGCTTTGTAAGTAGATCCAAAAGAAGAACAAACATAATATCATCACCAACTAGTCGCTAAAAATTTATATATTTAGAAAACTTCAGATTGAAATTGAACATCCAAAAGCTATACTATACTACAATTATACCTGACCTAGTTAACTCGTCTCAAGCATTGTTTCGCCATCAAAAGGGAAAGGGGGAAAACGGAAGAGTTCAAGGCGACAATCTGTTTTGGGCTATATTTACACTCTTAGTTTTCATGATCATGGTATCAATATAGCTGTTTATTTTATACTATTCATATATACTCTCTAGCTTAATACCTATGAACTGCCATCAATCAATTCCTAAGCAGAAAGATAAAAGAACATAATGAAGGTGCAGAAAGTGACGAAATTCACCAGAACCAAATCAAATTTGAAGAAGTATAGGGAGAACATTTATTAATTCCCAAATCAGAGATCCCCAATGATCACATAAAAAACCCCAAGACAAGATGGCTTTTATACATTGGGGAAGAAGCAGCTAAACAAAGACAGAGAGTGAAAGGGGAGGTGAAAAACAGCCAAAAGTTTGTAACTTATCCAAACTCATTTCAATGAAATTGCGGAGAGGGAATTGCAAAAGCGAGCCATTACCTCCCTGGGAAACTGTGGAGTGTGGGGGTTCCTGTTCCTGTTCCTGTTCTTGGTGGGTTTCTAAAATGGTGAAAGTGAAGTGATGGTGTTGAAAACATAGAAGCAGTTAAGCAACCATTTCGTTTGCTACATTTGCGTGCCTCGTCTCTTCATCATCGTGTAATTTTGAAATTGGAGATCGGATTCAGAAGATGCAACCACCAAATCATGCCAAAATCAATAATTGAAGTGTTCTGCTCCCAAAAATTTGAACTTTAAGGAAATGTCAGGCGTAATCATCACCGATACTACTACACGTTCACTTTAATTTGAAAAAATTTCTAATACCTTTGCCTCGTATTTTATTCGTGTGCATTAATGGCTAGGGATTCATCTTTTTCATTAAAATATGATATTTCAGTTTGACAGTTTTTCTTTTGGGATGCGTTTTTCTTTGACAGTTTTCTAAATTTTACTTTCATGGAATTTATTTTGTCTTTTTCAACGTCAGAGGGTGAAAATGAAAACTCAATTTTTTTTTAAAGAAATATTCTTTTATGCTGATTTATAAAACGAAAGTGAGTAAGAAATTATAGGAGTTTGATTATATTTCCTGTCATTTATTTAAGCCATATAGAATTAAGATTGTAGTTTAAGTTTTTTTTTTTAAATAAAATAATATTATTATACATTTTAAAAAATATAATAGAATGAAATTATTTTTTTATTTAATATAAAATATATTTATACTTTCGAAAAACTATTTATATAACTTATTTATTTTTTACTTTCTGTTTACTATTCATCCAACATGATATATATAATCTTCTTATATATATTTTTTCTTTATTTTATTTTTAACCCAAGCAAGCCATTAATAATTTTTATTTGGGAATATGAAAGTGTTATTTTTTTCTGGGAAAATGTAATAGTTAAGAGGTTTTTATTTTACCATTTTTATTTTCACTTTATAATAAATACATGAATGTAAATTAATTAAAGATATATAAAAAATAAGTATAATTAATAAAAGAATAATAATGTTATATACATTTTTTAAAATATATAAATAAAAGAATAATCTTCAAAAAACTTAACAATTAAAAAGAAAAGAGAAATGTTATAAATGTTGATTTATGAGTAATGTAACATTTTTAGTTAATAAATATTAAATTTGTTAAAAATTTTCATTGTTTTTAAAATTATTTATAAGTTTTTTCAGCTATCTTTTAAAATTTGTTAAAATCTATTTTAAAAATTGATTATAAAATTTTTTATAAGTTTAGAATGTTTATTGCATAAATTACATTTTAAAAAATGATCAATAAAATGAATTACATGGACAATGTGAATAAAAGAGTATTGCTATAGTAACTGGAGATAATTATTTCTTCAGCGATAAACAATTCGACAAATAATCACATCTTTTTCTCTAGCAATGTCCTCTGAAATTGAGATGATAACATTTATTTCATATATCACCATAAGAGATAACAGTGCTTATTATCTCAGCAAATTGTAATGACCCCTCCAAAAAAACTAGAACAAAGTATTTTGAAATTCATATGGAAACTCATTTGAAACTTCATTCAACTTTGACATGAACATCCAAGGAGTTTCTGAGATAAAAGCTCCAATATTGGACAGCTTTGGATGACAGAAATGAATAAAATAAAGAAACAAAGTGTGTTGTTACTGAAGACCATAAAGAAGCAAAGCTCCAACAGCACCTAGACCAGCCACAAGTCCAACAATAACTCCAATAGGAGGCAAGCCCCCACCAATAGCTTTTCCAGTGTTAACATCATATCTAGCAAACCTCTTCTTTGGTGCTTGACATTGAGGACACCCATATGTGTCAGGCTGCACATGATAAAATAAAATGGGAATGACAAAAGCATCATTCAACATGTTGATAGTACTTCAATTTCAACAAATACCATCTTAAGCAGATTAAGTATCCGGGCACATGATTTTGGAATTGCATCACAGATCATTTTATTACCATCATGCAATCAATCAGTATAATGCCAATTTGTCAAACACAAAAGTTAGTAAATAACACAGGATGTCTATTAAGCAGTTGATGCCTGAAGACTACAGAGAGCAACACGAAAGAAACAGTGAGAGTAATCAGAGTTATAGGCAAGTTGCTGAATGCTGATACTAATATTAATTAGATGAGGTTAACCATATAGATCATGTAACATTGTTGAGTTTAGTCAAAAACCATATTATGATATGAGGAATACTATTCACAATGAAATCCCTTTTAATAACCACCATGATAATTGCTGATACCAATATCATAATAAATTAACATAAAAGGCATTGCATATTAGAAAAAAAAGGTTAGAATTAAAGTTTTGTATGCTGGACTTACCTGCTCATCAAAAGGTTTCTGTAAGGTGTAGATGTATCCACAATCAAGGCAAATGTGAGTAGCTCTAGCCTGCATGCCAGTTCACTTAGTCAACAATTGAATGCAAAGTGGACATAGTATCATCTTTAGCCTAGGCAACAAATAATTGGGAGGAAGAAGAAGCACATCACTCCAAACTTATTCTTGCCTTTTGAGTTTCAGTCAGTTTTCTTCCAAAGCGAGGAGGAGCAGGACGCTTTGGGAGCCTTTTAACGTCTACGTCAGCACCTCTTAATAACAGAAGATGGAGAATTTAAGATGTTAAGTCATTGCAGCTGTTAGGTAAATCATAGAATAAAGACATGAGCACATGAAAATTAGAAAGACTTTACACTATGCAATTTATACCATGGAAACAAGCAGATGAACATAAATGCCATGATAATTTTCATTGAGTTACATACTGAACTTATGTAGCCTTTCTTCAGTTTTTCTTATCATATTTTCCAAACTGACTATAAAAGGTTGTACCTTATCAATTGATTAGGGTGTTGGCCCCTCATGACAGCAACTAATTTACTACAGAATTAATGCAATTAGAAAGAGTGAATGGAACAAAGGTGGATAAGAGAACCTGCTGACAACAAAGTAGACAGAATCAGGCTTTGCTTGGATTGCGGTTTTAGTAAATCCAAGCTTATCCGCAGGCCACAATTCATCTCCAAAGAAACTGCTAGTGTAAAGAACCTGGTCCCCTGACTTTAGCCCTGCTCTTGCTGCATTCCCACCACCATCAACAGCCTACAGAAGCCAACAAGCATCCATGAACAAATCGGAATCATTCCTTTCAATACAGCACTGTGTAAGGGAGCAAGATACTGACAGTGATGACAACACCCCCACCAGACTTTTGGCCTAAGGTGAGGCCCAGTGGCTTGTCAACCTCCACCTCAATTGTCTTTGAAGCCCCAGCGGTTTTTGCTGTGATCTCAAGTCTCCTCCCACTATTGGAGTAACCATTCTTTTTCTCACCAAGGAAGGATTCTGAAACACCCCTTTTGGCTTCATGAAGAGAGAGACCTTGTAAAGATGTTTTCTGCAGATAGGAGTACAATGATTTCTATTAGTTAATCTAAAATTTTTACATGGTTTTGTACTACCACATCCATGATCCTGACTAATTTCCACACAACAAATTTTTTGAGATTATCAATATACAGAAAATAGTTAAGAAACAAATCAATTACTTGTGTTTTGTGGAAATTGGTATGTTGGATCATGCAATAGTCTTTTGTAATGAGAAACGATAAAAATAGCAAATAGTAGTACCTGGCATTGAGGAGGAGTGAGTATCTTGTAGTGTGTGAGGTGAGAGTTTTTTAAGGAGGGACTCTTCCTGGTGGTGAAGGTGGCAGAGAATGAAGTGGAGGAACCGGCAACCACCGCTGACATGTTTCCGGTGAGTGAGATGTGTGGATAGGAATTCACCACCAAACTAACAGATACACACACACACACGTTTGCTCTGAATAATAAAAATGTATTGAGGAAAAAGTTTCTCCTTTTCTTTTTATTTTCTTATGGTGTTCAAAGAATTTTGTTTTTATTTTTAGAGAATAGATAATACTTGACTAGTGGTGGAAATGAAGACACCAAACAAGCTCAAGCCATTTAAGACTGTAAACTGTTGATGCAATGCAAGTAGTACCCCCAAATTAACACCAGCTGTGTATTCAAGACCTCTTGTCTTGCTGTTACTTCCCATGGGATACGGATTGATGTAATCTTATCCAACCAAAAACACTCTTTTTTTCTGTACCAAAAAAACACTTTTTTTTTCTGTACCAAAAAAACACACATTATTATTACTTTTTTTTTAAAACTTTATCACAAAAGAAAATCAAAATTATATGGAATAGTTTTAGCAAATAGGAGGAAGACCCTTTTTGGCAAATAGTTCAAATACAAGAACTTTGAAGTAAATCCCTATTTATTGGTTGTTCCTTGTTTTGCCTTTGAGTGGTACCCAGGGAGAAATGTTGTAGCAAAGAGAAGGGAAAGGAAGCGGGAAAAAGTACAGCACACCAAATTGACGCACTTAGGTTCGGATCCGAAGGGTTTGAGAGTGATTTTTTCTCACGAACCTGTAATCACTTTCTCTGAATTTCCCGTGTTAGGTTTTTTCACTTTAAACTTATTTCAAATTTTCACGTGTGAATCTTGATGGGCACAACATCAGCATTTGTAGCTATTTTCCCTTTTCATTAAGACCTTTTTTCATTGGGAAAAAAACTAGCTTTTGTGATTTTATAGAAATTAAAACTTGATCGTGATGAAGCTGATTATTTTTGTTCAAATTGTTTTGGTGTCAAACTCGGGTCGCTGTTCTGGTGCACCCTTTAAAGATTTTGCTTTTCTTTGTTGAAGATGTACCTTGACAAGTAAATAATATCATACTCCCCTCTGTATTTGGTATAATATGAGTTCTTCTAACTGTTTTGAAGCTAGCTTAGACTCTTAGTCAAAGACATTGATGCATGGTTTCTCCATGATATATGGGCTAGTATTTAATAGTATTTCTGAACCCAGCTACATTTGTGTTGAATTGAAGTTTAAATATTTGACAGTTTTTTTACTACCTTGCGTCCCACTGTGAAAGTTTGTTGATTTATTTGGTTGATTTATTACATTTTACTCTGCTACTTTACTTCTGAATGAAATGGTTTAGATAACTACTACATCATTTATTTAATTTTTGTATATATATAACTTAAAAAAATTAAATGTAAAATAAAAATTAATAATAACTATTTATTGTTCAGAAATAATATCAATTTCATCTCCTCTTTGAATATCATCAATAAATAAAATAACTTTCAAGTTCATGAAGATAATGTTGCCATTCTAAATAATAACAACTTTCATTTCAGTTTTGATTAACAGAAAAATATTTGTTATTCTTGTTTATATTTTTGTTTGTTTGAATTTTTTTTATACGAATTTTTTAAGTAACAAGGTGAATCTGTATCGGACTATGTATCGGTGCATCAGAGATGTCATCTATTCTCTTTGGTTTTTATCTTATTGTGTCAAGGTAGGCGTACATGGCTACAGATTCAAGGAAACGCACATTGGAGGCATTGGAGAGGAGAATAGCTTTTGCTAAAGCTGAAGTTCTCCAAAAAGAAAAGAAAAACAAAAAGAATATAAATGAAGATGGGAAACTACCTATTGCTGCAAATTCTACTACTAAAGATCCTTCCCTGCATTTGTTGCATTTATCATCAGTCACACCCAAGAAAGGTAATTTATTTTTCAATTTTGTAGATTGTTCTTATTTCCTTTTTCCCTCACAGCAAGTAATAAGTTAATACTGTGTAGGATGTTTCACTCACTTTTGTTGTTTTTCTTTAATGGTACCATAAGTACTTACTATCTACATTAAGAAGTATTTTGTGTTCATGTCTTGGGTTTTATGCTATTCATTTGCATCATGTCTGATTGTCTAGGAATAGGATAAGCTTGAGTTTTTATTGTTAATTCGTGAATTCTGCGTTATGATACGGATTCATATATATGTAAATATCTTGTTTCACATTTAGCTGATAATTTTCACTGTCCCCCATTTTAGGGAATTTCAGCTTTTCCGGTCATACCAATTCACACACAAGGTACAAGAGAGTCAATGTCATACTACCCCTTTTATATTTAAGTTCTTTCTTTTCTATTTTCGTCTTTTGATTTTGAGGGTTCTATGGAAATTATATATTAAATTTTGTTACTCCAATATATGCGGACCCAATGATGTTAATATTTGTTTGCAGACATTGAAGATGGTCCAATATATGCCCAACTTTCTCTGCCTGTAAATGAGAATCTGCTCATAACTAATGAGCTATTTCCTTGCTTAGATCTCATGTCGTGACTAGGAATTGTAAAACTCCTAATCAAAGCATTATTCTTGTAAAATTTTCCATTACAAATCCATAATAATTAATCTCTTCCAAAGTTCGAACTCTAAAACAAACACTGATGCGTGGAATAATTCCAAGGATCGTGAAAGCAACCTTTTAACCAATTAACAATTGTGGATGTTCCCAATCTAACCAGAATGTGGAAGTTACTTTATCTTTAATTTTGAAAGATGTAGATTTTTTCATTAGTACATATGATATATGAATTTTCTTTATTCTTTGATTTCTGTGATAAATTGGTGGGAATTTGTCTTTGTTCACCATTGACATATTTTGCAGTTTTCTGCTGAAGGAGGTTCAACTGATGGCATATTGCATGAGCTTCTTCAGAAGGGAGATGCTTCACAAAAGTACATGCAGGGATCTAGAAATATGAAAATTGACAATTGGATCTTTCTTGATAATTATGTCCAAAAATGGGTGCTTTCTTCTGGTTCTCAAACCAGAGCTTTGCAACTTCATTCAAAACGCTCTAAGAAACACATGTCTATGAACCAAGATAAAAAGTATGGATCCTTAGCTCTTCCTCAAGAGTTCCATAAGTTAAAAATATACTTTCTAACATTATGTTGATCCCTAATGTTATTTTTATAGCTCTGCAATTGTGGTAGTGATATAATTGTTGTGAGGAATCTTTTACTTCAGTTTCATTCAGCTTTTGTTTGGGAATTCTAGTTTTATTCTATATATAAATAATGTTTTGTACAAACATGTTTTGATTTAATTGGTCACATTTTTTTTAAATGATGTTTTTCTGTTCCCTAATAGTTTATTCTGATTGCAGGTTCAAAATTTTAAGCCAATGTATGAAATGTGGAAACATTACATAAAGCTGCTTCTTAAATCTACTGGGTACATATTTTGTATCATTTTCATGATAATTTATGTTGCTTTCCTCTTCAGGCTTTTGTGACCATGAAAAGAATAAACCACCTATTACCAAGATATATACCAGCAAGAAAAAAACAAAAGAAACAACAATCCTAGACCAACACACAACACTCAAAGGATGCAAAACAACCAACAGTTACAACCCATCCAAGAGATGTAAAGTCAAGGGATGCGAATCAGGCATAACCCTTGGAATAGAGATATAATCATTAGGAAAAGTTGTATCAATTGGGAACGGTTGTTAGAAGCAATATAATGGTTATATCTCTATTCTAAGGGTTATGCCCCTTGATTCACATCCCTTAACTTTATACCCTTAGATGGGTTGTAACCATTGGTTGTTTTCCATCCTTTGAGTGTTGTGTGTCCTGTTGCTAGGTTTGTTGTTTCTTTTGTTCGTTTCTTGCTGGTGTATATCTGGGTAATAGGTGGTTTATTCTTATTAGACCATTAACTTGTTTAATATTGCAGGAAAACTCAATTGGTTCAATGTCTCCTAGCTGCAGATCTACATGGTGCTTTCATTTTAGGTTTGAGCACACTCTATTTTACTTTCAAAAGAGTTTCAAATACCTAAAATGATCTTATTATAAAATAGGAAAAAAAAAAAACAGTTTCATACCTGGTCAATATCAGTTCATTGACTATAAGGACAGTTATTTCTATTAATTTTGTTCTGCGTTTTAAATGCAGTTCTTTTATGTGCATTAAAAGGTGTGTGAAAATTTCTGTTACTGCTGTACCAGAATTGTAAAAGCTTATTTTTGGTGTTCATGGAAAATGAATGATTTTGAGTAGTAGTCGCTTGCAATCATTGACTATAAATTGTGGCAATGAGCTTAATAATAAAGATAAGCTGCCGGTTAGTTCAGGGTGCAGACCAAGTCTTTGATTTTCTTGTTCAAGAAAGATTCCTTATCTGAACCTCCCTTGCCTTTGAAATCCCCAGTAATCTCCATAACCCTTTTCACGGTCCATCAGAATGTTAAAAGAAAAAAGTAGTTGGGCTTCTGATTTGTCTATATGAAAAAATAAATTATGGCCTGTATCTCCATTATAATCATCTGCATGTTATCACTAGTTAGACCATGTTCATCTATTTTTGCAGTTGTGGAGTGTAAAATAACCCATTTTACGGAATTCGTGGCTTCATGATTCGCGAAACTGCAGAAGCATTGGGATAATTACTGAAGATGATAAATTCGGAGGTAATCTTTTAAAATTGTCGGCATATGTGAGTAATTATGCCATTTATGACACAAGTTTACCACTTTCACTAAGAAAATTAAATAGATTTTGACTTTCTCTCTTGTACTGAGAATTCCTTAATCTTTATTATGTGTTCATTTGTATCTCTTTCAACCTTGTGAATTAGTTGATTGCCAACTAGAAACCTTTACCATAACAAATTCTTAGATTTTTTGGCTGATGTTGAAGTTCTGATGATTTATCTATTCTGGGATCCATCTCTCTTCGTTAATTTATTCGTTTCAAACTTGTGATGACTCAATTTTACTCTCTATTTGGTATCGTGCAGTTGTTCCCAAAAAGGTGTCTGTTTTTGTATTCCAAGTTGATTGCTGGAAAGTCACTCTGCACGGAGGTAAACTTGGTTCAATAAAGGTTGGATTATGATATTGGTGATGATCCTTCAACTTTAGCCAACATCTTGGGCCCTTTTCTATCAGTTTTGATGATGGTACTTATTCTTTTTTATTAAGTGAATCTTGTTACTCTCATCTTGTGTTTTTCTTGCTATTATAAGTTTTCTGGCTATTAAGACAGGGTGTCATAGACCCACCAAAACCATAGCAATTTGATGAAAGCACAGTGCTGTTGTTGTTGAAGGTGGAAGCAAGTCAATTAAGAGGTATGGGAAACTTATGCTTAGACGCATTAATTGAAGTGATGTTTGACAAGAGAAAGAAGAAAATGAAGATTCAGATGATGATAAGCTTGCAAACGAGTGTATTCTGGTGTGGCAATGAAGTGTTGCCAAACCCAGCTTCAATGGGTTCAGTGTTCATGATTGCATCGTTGAAGCAGCTGTCAGAAAAATTTTTGCGGATGCTGGTGTTCCCCATTATTATGCTGTTTGAGTTGAATGGATTCTCCTTAGCATGAATCTGTCCTCTCAACCTTTGTCACTCTGCACTTACCTCACTATGCATAACTTGCACTTACCTCAGGTAGACAGTTTCAGAAACAATCATCTTCTGCACGAATCAACCACCACACAGCTTGAGAAACAACTACACGAAGCACAACAAAAACAAACAGACACAACTCTAGCAGGAAAAGCTCGAACAAATTTCAACAAATAAGTCCTGAACCGGAAACTGACACAGGAGGTAGGTTGAGAATACTTAGGAGTGTGAGACAACTCTCTAAAGAACTCAGCAAAATAGTCTCCTAACTTCAGGAGAAGGGTGCTCCTCACAAAAAAGTTGACAGTGACCAGGCCCGACGACTATCTATCAAAAACACATGTCTCTGCATAACACATGTCTCCGCACAGTTCGACGACTACCTATCAAAAACACATGTTTCCGCGTAACACATGTCTCCCCACAGTTGTAAGACCATGCATGCGGACTGACAGCTGCCAGCATCTAACTATAATAATTTCCGAGTTTTTAATGACATACAAAGACTTGGTTACCTAATTTATTGCACTCACAGGTTTTTTCATGGCATTAAAACCTCATCAACCTCCATCCATCATGGTCAAAGCAGAGAATTGTGTGTGGCCTATTAGGAAGGAATCTTTCATATGCATCTGTCATCCAAACTGTGCAACTGGTAAAAGGGAGGATAATTATGTAAAATTATAAACGGCGACGTGTGTATTACTCCATTCATCTCCTCACTCCCACAGTGAACTTTCATCCCATCTTTCTCTCAAATCTACGTCTTTAAATTCTTGTGTATTGTTTGAAACAAACACGGTCTCGTTTTTCCATCTGCATAAAAAGTACAGGAATGAAAACAAATGGAGGCTTGATGGTGTAAACTTTGTCATATCAATTTGGATAGCAATATTTGTTTGAATGTGAAACACAATGGTTAAAATGGCCTTTTGGCTTTTGACTACTATGTTTACTACCTTGGAAACTCTGATTTTAATATGGTAATTTTGTATATGACAGAACATTATATCCCTCCTTAAAGATGTTTGGATCAAAATGGTGCTAAATTAGTATATTCAAGAGATAATAAAACAGTTTTACTGGATCTTATATTATTTTTATAGTTCTTTCATACTACGAAAAATATATATTTTTTAAGATTTTATTTTATTTTTCTTTGATATTATATTTCATTTCTAAAATCTTAAATAATTTTTATTATTTTATAGATCTTTGAGAATTTTTCTTGTAGACATTTTAACAACTTATTTAATACAAGATCATAAAAGTAAAAACCTTGTATTTATTAAAATAATATTTATTTCTCTTATTTGTTTATTTTAATAACATGATACTTATGTTTTGTACTTAATTTAAAGTTAATATATATTGATTAAAATTTAAATATAAAAGCAAAGGAAAATTATAATTAAGAATGTTGTAAATACACAATTAAAAAAAATAATTAAGCAATATAATTATTATATATATAAAATAAAACATCTTGTATTTATTAAAATAATATTTATTTCTCTTATTTATTTATCTTAATGACATGATACTTATGTTTTGTAATTAATTTAAAGTTAATATATATTGATTAAAATTTAAATATAAAAGCAAATGAAAATGAAAATTAAGAATTTTGTAAATACAAAAATTAAAAAAAATAATAATTAAGCAATATAATTATTATATATATAATATCTAAAAATTTATAGTCACTGTTTCGTAACAATATAAAAAAAAATCGAGATAAAAATTAAAGTGTTATAATATGTATGATCAAATATAGTAATTTATTATAATTAACTATGCTTTTCATACAATAAATGTTTTGAAAAGTTATAAATATAAATTTAAATAGCATAAGGAAACACGAGTACTATTTTCTTAATAAGAGTATGCTTATTTAAAACTAGTTTAAAACATATATGACATTTAAAAAAAAAAGTTCAAGTAAGTTTTCATGATTTTTAATTGAATTTTAGCTGATATCTTATTGTTGATAAAATAAGAGAAGTGAGTAACAATTTATTAAAAGTACAAAGAAAATAAATATTAATTTATTATAATATAAATATAACCTCAAATTTTCCTTTTTTTTTAATGAGCAAATGAAAATTATTTATGTTTCTAGAAAAAGATGATGGTTAATTTCTTCTTGCATGCGAAATTTGATTTGGATTTTTACTGTAGAAAAAAATATTTATCGTTAAAAAAAATAAACTTTAAAGAAAATTTATTCTTAAAAAATTTAAAGAAATTTTTTACATATCCTCTAATATTTTTAATTTTTTTTAATTTTTTTCCTCTCCACTTTTTTAAATATATCTATTTTTTATTTTTTTTTCATTATATTTACTATTTTTTAAATATATAAATCATATTATAATTGTTTTTATTTTCGATAAAATAATATTAAAAAAATCTTCATTATATATATATATATATATATATATATATATATATATATATATATATCATATTAAATTATTAATCCAAGAAAATTATAATTAAAAAAAAAGTAATAGAGGAAGAAAGTCTTTATTTTATTCAATAGTAAAATCTTTATTTAGTACGTAATAAAATCTAAAAGAATTTTAATATATTTAGATCTTTTTTATTCTGTTTCTTAATTTTCTTTTATTACCAAATAAAGATTGAACATGTGTAGTAATTAATTTTATATACAGCTCAAAAAGCTACACTATCTATAAGGATTATAATTTATATTCTATTGATTTTCTATAAAAGTTGTCTTATTTTCAAAATTTATACTATTGATTTTCTCAGAACTTGCTGACTATTTTATTTACAATTTTCTCAAGTTTTCAATTTTCAGTTTGCGTCATGTATTTTTCTTTTTTATGGTAAGTGTAGACAACTAAAAACTATGGTGGCACAACTAAAAACAGCAAGAACGATATACGTGGTTCGTCACTTGTGTTTGTGACTACGTCCACGGGAAAAGTGTCGTTTTTTTCACTGATTGTCTGCTACAGTAATTGCTTCACTTGACACTGTTTATTCACGCTCTCTGATTTGAGATTACATTCGATACAACAAACCATTCCAGATGCCAGCAATTACGTGATTTGGTGGGGATGTATATAAGTTGTATGTACGAGTGCTTTGACGTGGCAACAAATACAAATCCTTGTTCATCGTATGCGATTCACATTTGAAAATGGCTCAGCCCTGGCTTTCGGTGCAGCCTTAGCTGCTGATTCTGGAGCTCCAAACACATTCCAGAATCTCAGTGTTTCATCTGCAGCTGCTGACGCTACTGTGCAACCATCTGGACTCTGATGTGAGTTGAAATTATATCAATTAGTAAAAGCTTAAAACAACAATCTAATAGTGGTCAACGAAATACAAAAATAAATCAATTACCTGGGCCATGAAAAGAACTCTGGAAGTATGACCAGTGAGCTCAGCCATCTTTACCATTGAGGGGTATTTCCAAAGTGTTAATTGATTCTGGGTGAAACCATGAGAGCTGAGTAACTCCCTCTCGTTCTTGTTCCACAGCAAGGAGCATACCTGAGACCCAGTGTCAATTGAGTTCAAACATGCACCTGTGTGGGTATTCCAAAACTTAATGCAGCGATCTCCACTTCCTCCACCTGTAGCTAACAAATTCCCTTGGAAGGGACACCAAGCAAGGGCTTTTACAGCAGATGTGTGATCTTCAAGCCTATGAAGCCACTGTGTCGTGGAATTAGAAGATGCGGTTGCTCTATCCCAGATGTAAAGTAGATTATCGTTCCCCCCGCTGGCTAATTGTGAACCTGAAGCTGACCACTTCAAACTACAAACCTCTTGCTCATGACCGCTGTAGGTTTCAACAATATGTGATCTAATTCTTACATCATTGTTGATAATTCTACCATCCATCCCTCCAGTTGTGAGTATGTGGTTATTCCATGCCAAAGATCCAACTCGCTGTCTGTGTCCACCTCTCAAAGTTCTCAACTGTAAAATGAATAACACTATTAGTAAAGTATTAATGAATAGTTTATCATAGAGCTTCTACAAAGCTAAGATAATATACCTGTCTATTTGAAGTTGTATCCCATAGTTGCACTTCAGAGTTGTTCAAACCAACTGCAATATGACGTCCATCAGGAGCCCAGCTAACGGATGTTACAGGGCCATCTTCATCCTCAACTGTAATAAGTTCTGAAGTAGAACCGCTTGTTGCATCCCACAAGTACACTGTGCTTCCAAGTGCTATGGCAAGAACATTGCCGCTTCCCCAGTCGAGCAAATTGAGATAATAGTCATCCACAAGATCCGGAGCATCCAAAGTCCTTTCAGAAGTCTGATGGTAACCAACAAATAAATTAGCACAAATTTTGAAATAATGACTTAACACACAAATCTAAGTCACTTATTCAGACTCACTCAGTTGAAAAAATAAACCCAACTTAGATCTAATCAATTAATGGTTTTTCACATAGTCATCCCATTCAAAAAGTAAGGGCTTACCACATGCCCACTTGACACTACAACTCCACTTTACACAAAATCCCTGCTTACAAACTGAGGAATAAAAAAATAAAAATAAAAAAATTGATGGGATGCTAATCAGATTTTGTAGTGCACCTGAGGAATAAATCGTCGGGGCTTGACTGATCTATTATTATCCTGGATATGCGTGGAGAGCTCATGGGGGATTAAGTCAACTGGTGCAGGTGGCTTGTTCTTGAAAGCGAGAATCCGGGTCCGGTTCATGTTTAAGGATTCTGCAAGCTGCTTCCTGTAGGCATCTCTAGATGGAGAGCTCGCAACTGGATTTTCCTTACCTTTATTCCCATCCGTAAGCATATAGTGAGCAAAATCAAAATCCATTGCCGACCTATTTGGTATGAATCTGTCCAACTGATGGGTGATCAAAACAAAAATACAAAATCAATTGCTTTCCTTTTCATAATCAAATTCAAAATTAGACATAGCTATTTATCATATTGGGTTTTGAAACCCATTCAAAATCTAGGGAAAAAATAAACTAATTTCCAGTTTCTCGACCACTTAGACATAATTAAAACCTCTATTTATTTAGATTTAAAAGCCTAATTCAGAAAGTTGTCCGGAGAATCATGCAAATTATGCACAGATTACAATCAGGGAGAAAAAGATTGCAATAATTTTCTTACATTTTCTTTGGAACTCTTTCTTTGAATAAACTGTTCTTGAAGAGGGTAGCGTGATCGTGTTTTGAGGGTTCCGGAAGAACTCAAAGATCCTGCATCCATAGTTAGGAAGAAAAAAAAAATACCCAAAAAACGAGAAGAACAGGAAACAATATACCAAACAGCGTAAATGAAAAAAAAAAATACAAAAATAAGGCACCAAGCAAAATCCTGCAGAAACAGATTATTAGACAAAACGAAATCAGATCGAAGTGATTAGTAACAATTGACAGAGCCAGAAAATGAACAGAGAGAGGAAGAAAATTGAATGAAGAAGGATTTTGAAGTTGGATTGTATATATAGTAGAAATGGTGGCGGAAAGATGAGAATTAGGGATTTGGTGATTAAGCAGCAACGGCTATTTTTATTTGTTTTTGGAAACAACCGTTGTAGCGTGTATTGACCAAAATGTCCTTTTATTGGTGATAATAACAAGGTTAGAATTCATAAATTGAAATAATGCTTATAAATTGTTGACGAGGACAAATTTTAAAATATTATCAAAATAATGCAATTAGTATATATAGCGTGTAATATAAAGTAAAAATAATTACTGATATAAAATAGATTGATTTTTTTTTATTTCATAAAAAAATATAAAATAAAAACATTTTCATACTATAAATAATAATCTATCTATAATAGATAAAAATTATTTTTGTTACATAAAAGTAATACAAATTGCTAGAGTAAAGTTTACGAGTGTTAATGTTCAAAACATGATTAATAAAAATAATAATTATTGATTATTTTGGGATAAACATGCTATATACGAACTGTTATTTATAAATTAGTAAAATAACAATTATTATTATTATTATTATCTTGCATTTTTTAAGAAAATCATAAATAATATTTTCTTAATATAAACATAAATAATATTATTAAGATTTGTAAATATTTTTAATATTTATAACAACAATGTTACGAAAACTACACCCAATCTTTTATTTATTCCTTTAATATCATATTTTTTACTTAAAAATAGTTTAATTCATGAATGTTTGCCTATTAATATCATTTTCATTATTACTAATTAATTTACCAATTAGCAACATTACACGGCGAAAAATATTTCCATTAATTATTATTATAAATCAATTTAAGATAAAAATAAATTGAAAATTTTCTAAAAAATAACATTTTGCTACGTATTTATATTTCGTGACCGTTATTTAAGATTTATCTTGCATATTTTGTTTTTCAAAAATCATTGATTAATTTTGTTTTTTTAACATAATGTTTATATATATATATATATATATATATATATATATATATATATATATATATATATTAGTTTATAAATATTCATAGTTTTCATCCATTAATGTCCAATTAATAAATAACTGTTTTTTTTTCATCAAAGATTATCGTATGTAAATCAGGTAAGCAAAAATTAAATTTGTAAAATAAAATATGAATGGTTACTTTTTCTAAATTTTTTTAATGTCCATAACTATTTATCCAATATTTTTTTTCAAGTTATGTATGTATATTTAGTACAAATTATTGTAAACATATGCATATCGACACAATTTATTGTAATTTAGTTAAAATAAATATTTAAATTAAATAATTAAATATTCTATAATTTTCTATTTCGATGTTTAAAATAAAAATATATTAAAAAAATCAATATTATTATATCAATAATAGTTAGAGATTTGTTTTAAAATATTCATACTATTTATTGGAATGCAATTAAACTACCTAAGAATTTAGTGATAGTTTTTCTGTAGACTATCAAATATTCATTAATTATTATTATAAATCAATGAAATACATATAAACAAGTTGAACTTGTCTTTCTATATATTTATATTGAATGACCAAAATATTTATATTTAAACAAGTGATTGTTATTGGTCACATTCTAAAAAATCATAATTAATCTTTTATATATTTTTTTAACTGAAAAAATGGTTTAGTTGATTTATTTTTACCCGTTAATATTATTAAAACTATTTTTAATAATTAATTTAGTCAATAATAATACTACATGACAAGTAAATCAATTTAAGATATGAATATTTTTTTAACTTTTTCTATTACACCAATTATTTATAAATCAAGTAAATGATTATTATTATATATATTTAAAAATCACAACTATCTTTTGTTTTTTAAATATAAATATATTTAATATTATTAGGATTTTTTAGATATTTTATTATTTATACAAAAATTATAAACCATTTTTTCTTTATATATATATACATATATATATATATATATATATATATATATATATATATATATATATATATATATATATATATATATAGATAGATAGATAGATAGATAGATAGATAACTAAAAAAGTTTGATTGTAAGTTTTTACTCATTAATGTTGTTGTTTAATAATTCATAATTTTACATACAATAATTTATAACAATATTTCCATCTAGTGATTGTAAAATGATTTAAATCAATTTTTAATTAAATTTCTTGTATTATTATAATTTTTAAAATATGACATAGTTTTGATTCAAATTTTTTATTAAATTTTAATAATTAAATAAAGTTGAATAAAACTGTTTATTTTATTTAAATCTAATACTATATTAAAAATTAATTATCAGTTATAAAATATATATACCTAAGGTTATTTTATAATTTAACTATATTTTATTTACAATATCTTCATACTTACTAAAAATATGATTAAACTTTTTCAATTATAACTTTATATGATTATATAATCAGTTTATAAATATAAGAAAAATTAAAATAATTAATATAATAATAATTATATAAAAATGTATTATATATTTTATTTGATTTACTATCATATAATTTTCAGTATTTTTTTTTACAATTTTTGTGTAATTTTTTTAATAATTTATAATAACAAAAATTATAAAACTAATTTAATTTTGGTTTTATATTAAATCAAAATAGAAAACAGTATATAATTTTTAAGATGAAAATTAAACTAAATAAATGGATGAAAACAGTATGATAAAAATGTTAAATGTTACTAACAAATATGTGTGAAATTACTTATATTAAATAAAGAAAACCATAGTTGTAAAGCTATTGATAATATGGTGTATAAAGTCTTTCAAAATTTAAGTTGCTTGGTTGATTATTTATGATTTTACTTTTTACCTTTAATATTCATAATAAATAAAATAGATTTAATTTTTTTAATATATATATATATATATATATATATATATTATAATTTAAATTTTGATATCTATACTTGTTTTATTTGTCGTCATTAATCTTATAAAATATAATAACTTCAAACAACATTGTATATTGCATGATTGAAAAACAAAAATAAGTGTGATATTAATATTAATTGATATTTGATAATTTATTTAGTTTTTAATAAAAAATATTTTATTTATTTAGTTTATTAATAAAAACTAATTTATTTAATTTATTAATAAATGATTTGTCTAAGTATAATATTTTTTTAATAATATTATTAGAATCAATTTTTAAATATTATTCATCTTAAAATTCTTAATCATCACAATTTTATTTTTCTAAAATATTTTGATAAATTTAAAAAATAACATATATAAATTATCTTAAATTTTAATTATTAAATAATGTAACACTTCCAACAATATTATAAAATTTGTTGAAGTATAAATTTTGGGACTTAATACCTAATATTTTTAAATACTCTTTTTAATCAAAATAATTATGCTTAATTTTTTATAAATTATGTTTAAAGTTTTAGAACATTATTTTTTAATGTTTTTTATTTAATAATTTATATTACCACAAACCAAAGTACTTGATTAACTTGGATAATGAAAATAAGGTGCTACAATGTACATGAAATTAATTAAAGTAAAAAATATCACTGAACTTTTTCCTTAAAGAAGTTTGCTTTTTTTATTATGAGTAGGGTTCAATATTGTCTTCTTTTACCGTTATTAGGGTTGTAGATCTGTTTATATCTGTTTCAGTATAATTTTATGTAATTTTGCTTACTAATTTGCATTTATTTATGGGTTAGCCCAACCTGAAAGTATAAAAATTGCAGTTTTTTAGATCATAACGGAAATACAGGAAGCCAAATACATGAAAATGGTAATATCTTCACTTTACAAAAGTTTGAATTCAGATTACTTTAATATTGTCAACATTTCAAATTTCAAATTCTAGAAAACAGGCAATATCTCCCTCTTTCCATCATGCTTATAAATATACATTTGTGATGACAATATACATGTCCAATTTGCAAAAAAAAGTATCAGTATGTTTCAGAACTCAATGCTGAAAAAGAAAATTGGAATATATTGGCAAAGGTCAAAACACAAATTGTCATTTTCCATGGACTTTGTCATGCAAGATATGAAGGTCAGTTGCACTATCATGCTTTCAATACATTTTAAATAACACTCATTTGTGATTTCATTTTCTTAATGCAGGGTGACAAAATATAGGATTCTATTAAGAGGTATCTAATTTATAAATTTCAAAATGAAATTACTGAGATGTGTACTCTATTCAAAATTTTGGTCTTTCATCAATTGGTGGTTCTTATAGAACCACCCACCACCCATAGAAAATCAATTTTTAGTTTGGAACCAAAGTGAACTTAGTTGATTGTCATGTTATAACTGAAAATAATGGTCAATATATATCACTCTCAGTTATTACGGCTCATGGATTTGACACAGATTACTTGGTTGATAAATACATATAACATCATTATTTAGTATATGGCATTACTCACATGAAACATCATTTCACAAACAGATGTCATGGGAATACTTACAGAAGTTGGGACGGAAAGAAAGCTATACAAGAATGAAAAAAAAAAAAACTAAACATGATATGTTTAGAGGCTGATGGGTAAAGTTCTTTAACCCATTTATTGATGCTTAAGGATTTACTATAGTATAGTTTAGTTTTTTTTTTTTTAACATGTGTTGTTTTTCAAACTTAGTTTTAGAATAGAGTGTATGTTGTTTGACCAATATGTTGATGACCTAAATGCATTCCTTATATCTGGAGATATCCAAAATCATGTCATAATCATACAATTCGACAGAGTCAAAATCTTCCAAGGTAACTAATATATTGGTG